AATTGTTCATAGTGTATGAGTGTGTGTGTGTGGATGTTTCCCAGAGATGGGTTGTGACCGGAAGGGCATCCGCTGCGTAAAATCTTGCTGGATAAGTTGGCGGTTCATTCCGCTGTGGCGACCCCGGATTAATAAAGGGACTAAGTTGACAAGAAAATGAATGAATAAAGACAGATTAGTGAATAACTTTTGAATGCAACATAATTGTGAGTAGAAAAGCCTGAAATTATTATAATTTGGGGAATTTTTTCTCTTCTCTTTTTCATTGTTTTATAACATTTTTAACACTTTTTAATCTGTTTTTATCAGTTTTTATATTATTTGTCATTTTCTTTGATACAGCTTTTTTATTCCTGTTTATGTAAAGCACTTTGAATTGCCACTGTATATAAAATGTGCTATATAAATAAACTTGCCTTGCCTTGCCTTCATCCTCTGTTGGTCACGAAACTAATTTGACTTCAATTAGATTTAACATAAAAATGTAATGTGAATAGTCTCATGACCAACAAGAACCAACAAAGTCGGATTTCTGGATTTACCTCACATTTCTCACAGAATAAATTAAAACCTAAATAGGTTTGAATAAATCAGGACATAATGTTTTTCTACTGGGGTGTCACGTTGGCGCAGTGGGTAGCATGACCACCTTATAGCAAGAAGGTTGCTGGTTCGAGCTCCGGCTGGGTCATTTTGTGTGGAGTTTGCATGTTCTCCCCATGTTGGCATGGATTTCTTCCAGGTGTTCCCGTTCCCTCCACAGTCCAAAGACATAAGGTATAGGTGAATTGAATAAGCTAAAACTGGCCATAGTGTATGTGTGTGAATAGAGTGTATAGGTGTTTTCCAGTGTTGGGTTGTGGTTGTATGCTTGAAACATATGCTGGATTATTTGGCGGTTCATTCCGCTGTGGTGAATCCTGATTAATAAAGAGACTAAGCCAAAAAGAAAATGAATGAATGAATGTTTTTCTACTGCATTTTCTATATGGAAGAGCTGCACATTACCTACATTGGACCTCCCCTCTCCCCTTTGCAACATGTTGTCGGATAGATGTGGTTTAGATTTTGGGAGACCTTTCAGTTCCAGCTGTGAAGCTCTTTAGTGGTTCTAGTCTTTGCCTCTTGCACGATCACCCCTCCTCTCTCTTTCTCCCTCTCTCCTCTTCCTCTCTCACTCTCTAGTTCTCCCTCCCCCATGTACGTGATTGAGATTTGTCTAGACGGGCCCTAGAACACAGGCACTGCAACCATGGGGACTCTCCATAACAAGCTCGTTATGCAAACGCGTCTGATTGGATGGCGCCGTTCCATTGGCTGCTGCAGTAGAGAGTGTGTCCCCCCTCCCACCCTAACACTGCACAGTTTGGTTTCCATGGCAACTCTGAACGGCTGGCGCTGGAGCTCGCGCGCTCTGCGGCAGTGCCGGTCTGCCCTGCGCCGAGGAGACGTCTGCCAGCCAGCGCACAGCTGCAGCACAGCAACAGGCTTTCTTCAATCACACACACACCAAAAACATGTGTGTTCTCTAGCAGTTTCAATCATTCTGATTGGTTTTCCTGCCTCCAGATGTTACTAATAATAGTGGCGTAATGATCTGGTTTGTCGTTTACTGAAAATGCCGAGCTGATTTATCAGTACGCCATAGAAAATGCCTGGTTTTAATTACAACCTATGGATGTAAGGGCTACGTGTTAGTGCTCCCATGCAAAGCTTTAGTGATTTTTTTCAGAAGCAACATTTCTATGTTCATAGGATTTTGTTTTTTAGTTAGCTTGTAGAAATGTGGCTTGAAGACAAGTCAGTTCACATTTTACCATCTTGCTAGCACTTTTAGACTGCTCTTTGTGTATATAAGCACGCGATTAGCAACTTTAAATGGAGAAATAACAATAATAATAATTGTTATTACAAAAAACATACAAAATTAAAACTGTACTGTGAAATAAAGTTGACCATTTTACTATTTACTAACATTTAAATTGATTTGAAACACTGAAGTTTTACACTTTAGTTTAAAGTGTATTTGTTAGAGTAATTATTCATTTAAACACTGAGTTATAATTATTAATTGTACTGTATGGTTAATGTTATGCCGAGTTCAGACTGCATTATTTTAGCCCTGATTTTGACTCGCCGACAGGTTTTGAGAAATCGCCAACAAATGCCTGAAATCACAGGCAAATCGGTGCTCGTTCATGTGAGTTCACACAGTATGAACTATCAATGACGCGATATGAGAGAATAGCAGATGAGTCTCTGATGCCTGTGAGATATTTGTCATGCTAAATATCTGGAGCTGTCAGCGATTCAAATCATGCTGTGTGAAATGAGTTTTGACTGAAAATAACATCTGCGATCACCTACAGCCAATGAGAGAGCAGCATTCACTAGTATGGGTACCTGCAGGCCAGCGGGAGGCTGGGGGAGAAGTTAAAAGCGCTCATTTACAGTTTGTTTGGATCCAATAAATGCAGGAAAACTAGAGTAAATTTGGCAGGAGCACTGTGTCTGTTTGACGTGTCATGTGAGCAATATCACAACCAGGTCAAAAAGTAAAAAAGATTGAGGAGATTTCTAATTCTCATCAAAAGCCAGGTGAGCAACACAAGTTTCTAAAGCTAAAGCCTTCTTTTTCCATTATGTAGTTAATAACGAAAGATATGTGACTTCCTGTTGTTTCCATGTAACTTTTCGTGTTTGTTTGGTGGTGAGAAGTAGTTTGGACAAAGCTGTTTGTGATTCTTCCTATTGTAAAGTCATGCAGTGTGAACTCTCCTGTTGCCGATCCATCCTACAGTGTAAGCACAGCACCGACAGAACACTAACCCAGATAGTCATGCAGTGTGAAAACATCCGTGACAAGATTACCTTGAAAAGCATGCAGTCTGAACTCGGCATTAGAATGTAGTTTAGGTTTAAGGTTGCATGAAATTCTGCATATTTATTTGTAATTATTAGAGTTAGTACATGAAACATGTAGTAAGGGCACCTTAAAACAAAGTGATACCCAATGATCATTATGTAAATGCATGTATTTACATTTGTTTTTATTAAAAATGTTTTAATAAAAATGAGTTACATTGTTAATCTTAAACTTAACCATCTCACTAAATTCCCCACTTAAATAGCAATACAACTTTAATATTATAAGTACATAACCTTTTTTACAATACTTTTTTTCCAATAAACCTAGCACTTTTTGATAGGAGTACATTGTTTAAAATGTCCGATAAGAAATTGGACCACAATCAGTAGTTATGCCATAGAAAATGTATGGCTTAAATTAAAATCTATGGATGTGAGGTGATTACAAATTATAAGGGCCTCTGTTTTAATGTTCCTATGTATAAAAATCTATTTTGCGATTAGTTTTAGTTTGACTGCCAGTGGCGTACTGGCTTTAATGAAAAAATTTACAAAGCAAACTAAATCTAAAAAGACTGCATTACAGTGAGTTTAAATCGGCTTTAGTATTTGACAGCAAGGGTATCATAAATTGTACTTTTTCCTGAAAAATGTTTTAAGAAGGAATTTTCAGTAGCTCATGTTTGCACAAAAGATCCTTACAAAGGATTCTTTTTTGGCAATTTAGTGCACAATAAAAAATGGCTAATTAACAGTTTGCTATATTTTGTTTTGTTATTTTTCATTTAGTAATGCTTTCGATCAGTGGTCACCAAACTTGTTCCTGGAGGGGCAGTGCCCTGCAGATTTTAGCTCCAACCCTAATCAAACACACCTGAACAAGGTAATCAAGGTGTTACTATTGATTACTTGAAACACCCAGGCAGATGTGTTGAAGCAAGTTGGAGCTAAACCCTGCAGGGACACCGGCCCTCCAAGACTGAGATTGATGCCCCCCTGCTTTAGATGGTAAAAATTGTGTTGTTTAATAAAGTGATTGTCATCAACATTTTTAGTAGTTGGGCTCATTGTCCAGTTTTTATGCCATAATTCACATGAACTTTTTGGATATTAGTTAGTTTCAACTGAGATTTTGCGAATTTATGCAATTTTTGCCATATTGACACTAGCAGCGACCTTGTAGCTGCCTGTCACTCTGGGTGGCGACCTGCTGCAAATGCAGGTCTGTGTAGGTCTACAGCACGATGATTACAACTGGACTCTGAGCTGAGAGAGGATCACGTGAGCTCCACTGATGCTTCTATTTGCTGTCACACAAGAAAGTCGATCTTTATTTGCATAAAGTTAAAGGACTTTATTGCATCACTCGACATGCCCACCTGGTCGCCAAGGATTTCTGTCGCTCGCATAGACAAAGGTCGGCGGAAGTCGCTCACTCTCTGTTGAAATAAGCTGACACTTATCGCTTTGCCACTGCTAGTCGCTCGTAGTGAGAATGAGGCTTTGGTCACTAAAAAATTTAGTCACTAAAAATTCTTACTTCCTTAAATTGCTTAGTTACCCTAACTTGCACTAGTAAAACTGGCTAAAAATGTTAAGTTAAACCTTGTGTAGCTAAAATAATTAGTTGAAACCTGAATAACTTACTTAAATAAGTTAAAGTAACATAAAAGCGTTTGTTGTCATTTTTACATTGTTATTCACCAAAACACAAAAAGTTACAAATTGCAATGAGACATGGTTTGAGACGATGACATGTGGCGTATGTGGAGACAGGAATGCAAGTAGTAGCTTTTTATTCCAGCTTTCCTGGCCTTTCTTTTCTGCAGCCACAGAAAAGTTCAAATTAAATACTTAAACTTAATTTGTAAACTTATTGTTTTCTTTTCAAATATGGATTCTTTGGTTGTTGCTGTCATTCAGGGAAAATTTCAAATCAACGGTTACCCACTGTAACTACATGTTTACTATGTTTCTATATAATGTCCGCCCTATACACAACTCCTTAACTTTCAGATTTTGATTGTAATGCAATTGAATCTGTCCCTTAAATTGAACTTAAATTGAATTGAATTTATTTTTATACAAGTGGTCAATCTCCTCTTCTTTAATGTCTTTACTGGTATTCACAGGGGCTTCCCAGCGGGCTGGATGACATGTCAGACAGAGAGGATCATGGCCACAGGTCGGGGAGCGAGAGCAGCACCTACAGCGCCCTGAAGAAGAAAAAGAAGAAGCCCAGAGAGAAGAAAGAGAGGAAAATGAAACAGCGAAAGAAAGAGGATGATGAGGATGAGGACGATGACGATGATGGAAACATGAAGGTTCTCCTGTAGAAATGCTCAGTTCTGTTTTATCACTAATCATGAAAATAAATGAATGCTAGTTTTTTTCATGTGATAACAGGAACCAAAGTCGTCCAGTCAGCTAATGCAAGAGTGGGGTCTCGAAGATGTCCAGTATGCCTTCTCGGAGGACGATTATAAGACTATCACCAACTACAAAGCCTTCAGCCAGTTTCTTAGGTAGGATTTCAAAGTTTTCCTTCTGCGTGGACGTTCTAATGCCCTGCTGTCAACATGTCTTGTTCTATTTTAAAATGTTCCTTCTGGCAAATGCTAATGCCAGTATGAAGTAATGACATTATGATGACAGGTTTTCTAATAAGAGGCATTGAAACACGATGTACTGTCAGACCCACTTGTCTACTGGAACCAGGATAATCTTTTATTTCATAGACACTCTGTTAGTATAAGCTGGCGATTTCATTGCACAGGCCTCTTTGAGTAGTGATGGATGATATAATAAATAAAATCTGACATGAAACAGATTCTTTTCTTTACAATTTGAACTATACTGATATTAACGCCAATACTGATTGATTTTAGTGCTTTTTTCAAGATCGATAATGTTCATTTTTAAATGAAAGACAAAATCGGTCAGAATTAGTTCACTTTAGCTACTACTACTTAAATGGAAATACCTGATACATACTGTCAATTCATAACAAATAGGAACATGAACACCATTAATAATATTAATATATATAACATAATACAGCATTTTACAGAAAAAATAATTACATAATCTATTATTGTTAAAATACATTATTATAAATGTAATTAAAATAAACTAAAATACCAAAATAAACTGTGTTTGATTGGAAGTTCTTGAAGATTTCTTCATCAATTTCTCATCTCAATCTTAAGCTTTCTCTGTATTTTAATTATTTAAAACAACGATGTTCAGAAACATCCAAGTACACTCATAGGTATATTTAAGAATGACAGAGGTAATTTATTCACTTCATTTTGATTGTTCGTAAATATATTATTGGGGCTGCACGGTCGCACAGTGAGAAGCACGTTCGCCTCACAGCAAAAAGGTCGCTGGTTCGAGCTTCGGCTGAGTCAGTTGCCATTTCTGTGTGGAGTTTGCATGTTCTCCCTGTGTTGGCGTGGGTTTCCTTTGGGTGCTCCGGTTTCCCCCACAAGTCCAAAAATATGTGGTACAGGTTAATTGGGTGAGCTAAACCGTTTCTGTGTGGAGTTTGCTGGATGCCCTTTGAAAAGAGTAAGGCTTTAACCTTGGCATCCTGGCCAAATTTCCCCACTGGCTCTGTCCATCATGGCCTCCTAACCATCCCTATATCATAATTAGCTTCATCACTCTGTCTCTTCTCCACCAATCAGCTGGTGTGTGATGTGTGGTCTCGTGCAATATGGCTGCTGTCACATCATCCAGGTGGATGCTGAACACTGGTGGTGAAGCATGCCCCAAAAATGTGTAAAGCTTTTTAAGTGTCCAGAAAAGCGCTGTATAAATGTAAGGAGTTATTAATATTTTTGTATCTGATTTACTGTAAGGATTTCTGCATGTGCAGATTCCATGTGGGCCTACATATAACATATTACTTTGAAGGATCAGAGAAAGAAAGAAAAAAGTCCCTTTCCTTAAATAAATCATGATAGTGGTTAAAAAAGTGGGCAATGAGATTAAATATATCATGAAGTAAACATTTTTTTATTTTATTTTTTTGTTTTTGGTCAGACCCCTTATCGCCAAGAAGAACCCCAAGATCCCCATGTCAAAAATGATGACAGTGCTTGGAGCAAAGTGGAGAGAGTTTAGTGCAAACAACCCGTTCAAAGGCACCTCTGCAACTGCTGTGGCGGCTGCTGTGGCCGCTGCCGTGGAAACTGTCAATGTGGCTCCACCCATCTGTATTAGAAGTATCCAACAGATCTCTCCAACTGGGCCAATCAAAAAAGCCAAAACCAAAGAGGGAAAGGGTAACGTGATGCTCTTTTGTCGATGTTATATAGGGGTTTATAGAGGCTGGGAGATTTAATGGAGGCTTATACATCTGTAACATGTTACATTTTTAGACTTTGCCAATTTTTAACTCTCCAAATTAACTTGAAGCTATTTTTTTTAAATGGCTTATTAAAATGGGATAAGAGAAGGTCACAATACTATATGCTACAAACTAAACGTATATACATTCAGCTTTTACAAAAAAAAAAAGTATTTAATGTGTGTCTGCAGAGCAGAGTGCTTTTTTCAGATCTCAAAAATAAAAGGTTTCTGTTTTGTTTATCTCATCTGGACTGCATTGCAGGGCCTGGTGCTAAAAAAAAGAGCAAGCCAGGAAAAGAAACAAAAAAGAAAGGAAAACCGAAGAAGTCCAAATCGAAAGCAGGCCCGGGTGGAAAAAGGAAAAAAGGCTCTTCGGTGAGAATGCTTTTTCACTGAGATCTTACTAGAGTTTAACCTGTATCACATGGACAGATTCCCCACAGCTTTTCATTGGAGATTTCATCCAAGAACAATTTACGGATCATTTGTATGTATATACTTCCCTGTTTTTATGGTTCCACCCAGTTTTATTAGGCTCTTTCTGGAGTTGGTTTCCATGTTATGACCCTTTTCGGTTTGGATTTTGATTTGACACTTCTTGTGCTTATTACAAAAGTTGTCCCGTGTAATCAATCATCTGGGTTTAAAGAGCAGGACCTGACAGTTTAATTGTTGGAATGCCTTATTTCTTAGAGTGAGGAGGATTTCCTGGATGACTTTTCAGACTTTGATGACATCAGCATTCACAGTGCCTCTGTACGCTCAGACACTTCAGCGGCAGCAAAAAAGAAGTCAAGTCGCAAAGGACGAAAAAAAAGAAAAAGTAAAGTCATTTTTATTTATGTATTAATATAATTATTAATATTACTGATATTGTTATTATTTACAGTAGTAGTAGTATTGTTAATATTGCTCATATCCTTATGATTATTTCAGTTATTTAGTATTCAACTGTGTAATTTAAATGTTTTTATGGATGTTGAATGTTATAAATATACACTCACCAGCAACTTTATTAGGTACAGTTTACTAGCAGTCGGTTGGACGCCCTTTTGCTTTCAGCACTGCCTTAATTCTTTGTGGCATAGATTTAACAAGGTACTGGGAATATTCCTCAGAGATTTTAGTCCATATTGACGTGATAGCATCATGCAGTTGGTGCAGATTTGTCGGCTGCACATCCATGATGCGAATATCTCATTCCACCACATCCCAAAAGTGCTTTATTGGATTGAGTCTGGTGACTGTGGACGCCATTTGAGTACAATGAACTCATTGTCATGTTCAAGAAACCAGTCTGAGATAATTTGCGCATTATAAAATGGTGTGTTATCCTACTGGATGTAGCCATCAGAAGATGAGTACACTGTAGTCATAAAGGGATGGACATGGTCAGCAACAATTCACGAACCATTGATACAAGGCAGGATGGATCCATGCTTTCGTGTTGTTGATGCCAAATTCTGACCCTACTATTCAAATGTCGCAGTAGAAATTGAGACTCATCAGACTAGGGAACATTCTTTCCAATCTTCTTTTGTCCATTTTTGGTGAGCCTGTGTGAATTGTAGCCTCTGTTTCCTGTTCTTAGCTGACAGGAGTGGCACTCGGTGTGGTCCTCTGCTGCTGTAGCCCATCTGCCTCAAGGTTTGATATGTTATGTGTTCAGAGATGCTCTTCTGCATACCTCGGTTGTAACGAGTGCTTATTTGAGTTACTGTTGCCTTTCTATCAGCAGTAACCAGCCTGGCCATTCTCCTCTGACATCTGGCATCAACAAAGCATTTGTGCCAGCAGAACTGCCACTTACTGGATATTTTCTCTTTTTCAGACCATTCTCTGTAAACCCTAGAAATTGTGTGTGAATCCCAAGAGATCAGCAGTTTCTGAAATACTCAGACCAGGTGCCAACAACCATGCCACATTTAAAGTCACTTAAATCACCATTTTTTCTCCATTTTGATGCTCGGTTTGAACTGCAGCAGATCGTCTTGACCATGTCTACATGCCTAAATGCATTGAGTTGCTGCCATGTGATTGGCTGATTAGAAATATGCGTTAACCAGCAGTTAGACAGGAACAGCAGTTGTACCTTATAAAGTGGCCAGTGACTGTGTATACATACAATTTAGGTTTTCAGTTACAGTTAAAAATGTTTTGTTAAATTAAAAGTAAATGTTTGCAAATGTTTTTATATTGCAACTTTATTTCAATCCACAGTAATGTTTTAAAATAGATTCAGTTTTAACATAAATGTCCTTACTGTCACTTCAGATCAGTTTAAAATCATGAAGTATCAGAATTGTGCAGTGCTTGCATTTTATAAATCATTCTGAGTTTCTCTATTGCTAATATAGGAGAGGATGGAGACGGCTACGAGACAGACCATCAAGACTACTGTGAGGTTTGTCAGCAGGGAGGAGAAATCATTCTGTGCGACACCTGTCCCAGAGCATATCACCTGGTGTGTCTGGATCCAGAGCTGGAAAAAGCCCCCGAGGGCAAATGGAGCTGCCCCCACTGTGTAAGGAAATTCCTTCCCACATGACAAACATTGATAAACTCATGCAAAGAAACAAGCATATTCGAAGTCATAGAACCAGCATTATGAGAACTGACAGTTCACTGTCTTTCAGGAAAAAGAAGGGATTCAGTGGGAGGCCAAAGATGACGAAGAGGAGGAAGATGAGGTTGCAGGTGAAGAGGAAGATGACCATATGGAATTCTGCAGAGTGTGTAAGGATGGAGGAGAGCTGCTGTGTTGTGACACATGTCCTTCCTCCTACCACATCCACTGTCTCAACCCACCACTTCCTGAGATTCCCAATGGAGAGTGGCTGTGCCCACGATGCATGGTGAGATACAGTTGCATGGGGTTGGTTTGCTTTTGACTGCAGTGCAAAAAAAATTGGAGGAATTCGAGTTTTTGATGACACTGCTATGAAGATATTTGGGTCAGACGTTATGGTCATTTTAAAGTACAAATGAAATCACAACTAACCATATGATTTTTTTAGCTCACATTGCTAGTTTTGGGGTGAACAATTTATCTGTGGATGTCATGAAAAAAAATGTAATCTAAAATTAAAACCTGAAAATGCACGACCTTGTTTTCATTAAATTCTCAGATGACGTTGGTCTGAGGTATTGGAAGGGCGTGGTTAAATATGTTAAGCACGCCCCTCCAACTGGGACAACAAACAGAAATGGTGAGGAGGTGTCTGTTAGGTTGTAATAATTCTTTTAAAACCCTTTTCCCGATCTTTCAGAATGTAATGCCTACTTTACTACATCCAATTAGCTCAAAAACAAGCCACACCTACTGTTTATCATTTAATATTCTGTTTCTATAGGAACTGTCACAGTGCAGAAAAAAACAAAACAACAGTCAAAGCTTCCAGTTCATTTGAACTTTAAACAGTCCTATTGTGTTGCATGATGATGATATGATGCAATATATGTGACCCCAGAATGTGTATGTTAAGTTTCTGTTTAAAATAGCTCCCAGATAATTTATTATATTGTGTAAATACTTATTTTTGTATATGTCTCTTTAAATGCAAATGAGCTGCTGCTTGCGTAAATGAATTGCTTCCAGAAAGGCAGTACCTTTACAGCATTGTACCCATTGTAACAAAACATCTGCAAGTCTTTTAATGTGTTGTCAGTTTAAACTCCTCAGTGCACATACATGAAGTATCAGATGACAAATTCCATGATTATTAAACTTATTTCTGTTTCACGTTAGATGTAATACAAGTTAATGTCAAAACGCACTTGACATAAAGACAACAAATTACTGACACGACTTACCCAAGCCCTGCCCCCTTGGACAGGAATTATTTACAATTAGGGTAACATAACATATGCTGTTTGTCCCTGTAGAAAACTACAGCATTTGAGAGAGTTCAGAAAAAAGGTGTTTACTGATTTTCTTTATTGATTACCCCCCTTTGGAGGGGAATGTGTTCTTTTTAACTTAGCAGGTAATTCAACAACATTACCTGTTTAAAGGAACGTGTTAAAATCATAACAGCACAACTTTATTTGAAAAATAAAAGTTTTAGTTTTTATTATGTAACAGCATTTATTGTATAATCAAACTACATCAGATTTGTGCATAGTTGAGTTACATTATGTATAACTGTAAGGTGTAACTGAATATTTAATTAGCATTGTTTAATTTTACATCATCATGTTCAGCCCACAGTACCAAGGCTGACAAGTAACATTTTAAGAACTCACCAACACTTATTTTTACTTGCATTTGATACTTGACTAAGGGTGCTTTCACACCTGTGAATCGATTCAGTTGTTCTGAAACAGAGATTACAATTGTTACATTGTTGCTCTTTGCTCTTGGAGCGGTTCGCTTTCACACTGCAAAGTTTCTAATTGGACCAAAAGAGCTAAAACAAGTCACGTGCGAGTAAACTCTCCTCACATTAGTCAGAGTGTCAGGGTTTATTTTGCAGCGTCCCGCTAAGCTGTCAGGAGAGGTGGTGGTTTGGTGGTGATTGATAGGGTGCGCGCATGCGACGTGTCTGAGGAGAGACGCGGTGGGGAGGGGTGAGAAGGGTGCGCAACGATGCCTATTTGAGGACCGGGAGGGAGACGCGAGATTACCGGGAGATCATCACTCGTTTGCGGGCATCCGGAGACTCGCGAAACTTCCCGCCCTACTCATAATTCTCTCTTCATATAGCCGTAAGCCTATTACATATCCATAAAACACAGTGATTTAACCGCGCTCGGATCGGATTGCTTTCTCACTGCAATCGAACCGCTCCAGGGTTCGTTTCATTCGAGCCGAGTACCCCTCATTTAAGCGATCTTGGAGCGATTACTTTAGTGTGGAACAGAGCGCGATTGCCCTTTTCACATATGCCAAATGAACTGCGCTAACTGGGCAAACGAGATACGTTCCGAAACAAAAGTGTAGGTGTGAAAGCACCCTAAGTGTTAATTTTAGTCTCTGAAAATAACTGTTTTGTATTTTATACAGTTTGAAATGTATAGTTTAAATACTCAACTTTTAAACACTCATGTATGCTTTATCTTGGTAATTTATTACATTTTTCGGTATTTAAATTAAAGAGTTAGTTTTGGTTGAACTAACACTTTAAATGGGACCTATTATGGCCCTTTATTCCAGATGAAAAAATAAATCTCAGAAGCCCTAGAGTGTGAATGTGAAGTTTTAGCTTATTATAACCCACAATTCAATTGAGATTGTGCTCCAGGCCCTCCTTTCAAAAGTGGGCGGAGCTACAAATGGCTATACATCAGCCTAGCAGCTGCTTGTCACTCAGGACTGTCTGCACTAATGAGGAAGACATCATCAGTAATGGGTGGGGCTTTCCCCTCCAATGACATGTATAAAGAGGGAAGGTCAACCAATATGTTTCTGCAGACTGATTTTATCAAGGGTGATTTTAAAAAGATAGAATAAATTCATTTTTACCATTAGAGATGGGCTATATTCACACACTTGTTGACACAAAACTGTGTTTAAACATCTTATTAAAGTGATACTTGCATAATAGTTCCCCTTTAAAATTTAAAAAGATTTCAGCTGATGGAAGGGCATTCGCTGTGTAAAACATATGCTGGATAAGTTGGCGGTTTATTCTGCTGTGGCGACCCGTGATCAACAAAGGGACAAAAGGAAAGGAAAATGAATGAAATAATGATTCCAGCTAGAATTAAACTTTAAATGTGCAATAATAGCACAAATTATTTTGAACTTTATGCACAGCATTCATCATCCATCATTCATTTATCTCCCAGTGTCCACCTCTAAAAGGCAAAGTCCAGAAGATTCTGCATTGGTCGTGGGGCGATCCTCCTCTGCCACCTGAGGTTCCCCTTGGGCCGGATGGGGAGAAGGTGGACAATCTGGCCAAAACACCACTTAAAGGCCGTCCAGAGAGGCAGCTGTTTGTAAAATGGGCTGGCCTGTCCTACTGGCACTGCTCCTGGGTCAGCGAACTACAGGTGGGACTCCCACATTACTACAGTAGAGCCAACATTAATTAAATCATGCATGCTCTTTTGGCTCGTTCCTGGACCTCTGATTAAATTTAAGTTCTTTCCCTTGATTCAGTTGGAGCTGTATCACACAGTAATGTACCGGAACTACCAGCGCAAGAATGACATGGATGAACCGCCACCGTACGACTACGGCTCTGGGGAGGAGGAGCTTAATAATGAGAAGAGGCGGAGCAAAGACCCTCAGTATGCTGCCATGGAGGAGCGTTTCTACCGCTACGGCATCAAGCCAGAGTGGCTGATCATTCACCGCATCCTCAACCACAGGTATGAGGAATACAAGTACTTTAAATACAGGATTTTGCAGGTTAAAATTTTGTCAGCTTTTTGTTTCACATTGTTTGTTACAATATTTGCAGCAATTTTTGTGTTGTCATAATGTGAAAATATACACAAGCTACAGTCTTGTAAAAAGTATTTTTTTTATCCTCAAGAACCATTGGACCTGCTAATACTTTAAAGTCAGAAAAACAAAGAGATTCTTATAGCCTATTATATCATATTTGATACTCGTACTATACATGATCAAAATAATCACAACTTTGTTGAAATTCTTTTTTTTTTCATATTAGGGTATCATGTTGAATTTTATTTATCAATTGTGATGTACAATGCCTATAAAAATCGTCATACCTCTTTGAAATAATGGCTTTATTTGTCATACAGGCTGAAATCAAATTATATTTCAAATAACTTTTCCACCCTTTGAAATGTTTTTGTAGTCTTCTCCCAACCTGTGCCTTTCTACAACTTTTCCCGGAAGGTATTTAGCAGGGTGTAATGTGAGTAATGGTATAGATTTTCACAGAGTATGCTGATTTTCTATAGGCTTTGGACGTTTGTTCATTAAATCAGCATTGTATGTCTTGTTTCATTATTAGTCTAAGCACCAAAATGTTTTCTTACTAAAGACCGATTATTACGGATGAACTTTAAAGATGGCAATTATATTAATATGCATTTCATGTACTATTCTTATATATTATAGTAAAAATATAATTGATTTACCTTTGTGGCCAATTGCTAATGCTATACATCTGGTTTAAAGTTCTGTTGAATTCAAATGTTTTCTATGTGTTGAAGTTTTGATAAGGATGGAGATGTACAGTACTTGATAAAGTGGAGAGATCTGCCGTATGATCAGTGCAGCTGGGAGGCTGATGACTTCGACGTCCCAGATTATGACAGCCTTAAACAAGCCTACTGGGATCACAGGCAAGTTGTTTAATTTATGTTGATGTGGATGGTGCATCAATATGAATAATGATAAGAAGTGCCCTAAATACTGTTAAAGCTCTTGAAGGGGTGGTCCAGAATGTAATTTTAAGGCTCGGTTTTGTTTATATTACATTATTACATAACCCTGCAATCTTTAGTTAATATAGTCTGAGCAGGATGAGCCAGTATACAATTGCTAAAAAATAAACATTTATTAATCAGTATATTTATATACATTATATTTAAATACATAAATACTTTAATAAAGTAATGCTTAAGTTAAAAATCAACTACTTTTTCAATATTAAGTAGAATTCAAAATAAGTACTCAATTCTTGTGCTAGAGTAATTTATAATTAGTGTATCTATACTAGGGCTGGGCGATTTGGCCTAAAATTAAAATCACGATTAATTGAAATTTTTAACTCGATAACCATTAATGAATGTTTCTTATATTTATTTATTTCATTCTTTTGCCCTCTCTGCGCCACCCACACTCGTCAACATTACCAAGCCGACCAATCACAGAGCTTGTGCTATGCATTGTCGCGACATGTAGTTTTTTTGAGAGGTCAGCATCAGCATCAGTCATGGCGAGGGGTATGTGAACGCATAAAAGCTGTGCTAGACCATACGCTGCGCTCGACGCAGAAGTGCAAGCAGAGGTGGGTCATGTGACTCCACACGCGATAGGGAAAGTAATTGAAAAAAATGACCTGGAAAAAATTGATCGATTATAGGCTCTGACTGTCGATTTCATCCTAATCTATACTTATATGTGCATCATTCATTTGTAAAGTACTGTATTCAATAGTTCTCACAAAACAACAACAACAAAATACTGGATGTATGCCTCTAGTGTAGGGCTGCACAATATACGGTTTCACATTCGAAATCGCAGTACGATTATTCCCAGCAGTCACATCGCAGTATATGTTAATTAAATGTTAAGATTATAATTACTCATTTGCATGTGTTTTTCAGGCCTGTGATTTTGATGATGTTAAAAGCATTCAAGCATAATAAACTGGACCATTTGTAACTTTAGTAACAATTAATTTTATTGGATTATTTATACAACAAAGACTATACAGTATTATTTTACTTTTGATTGTTCATGAATACAGTTTGGAAAACCATAAAACAATACAATATTTTATAATCAATCTTTTTATTTATTGTATTTATCTATGCTTAGTCGATCTCTCTCTTTTTTTATGTTGTAGTGCCGAATTTATACCATAGTAATTGTAGTGTATTGAGTGTGAGGTGGGACTCACAAATCAGGAATTTAGGTATTTTGTGTTGGCCACTCTTTGTATAACCATGTTTGTTTCTAATGAGCCTCCTGTTTTCGTTACTTCAGACTAGTAAAAAGAATTAAAGAAAAAATGCTCGCATGTGTTTAGCGTTTTTCCTTATCGCAAACACAACAGTAGTGTTTGCATTGCTTTAGCTTTTTCGGGGTTAATTGTTGTAATATACCAATTGCAACTAAAATATTAGGAAATGTCTCTGGACTAATGACATTTCATATCGATCAGCCTTATAACATAAAATATCAGCAAAATCACCTGTTTATCATCACTTTAGACATTACGCTAGAGAATCATTTAAATACTAGCTATAAAGTGGCGTTTGTGAAGTACCAATAGTTTCTGCTGTTCTGACATCAGCTGCAGATGTGAATAAATGGCAGAAGAAAGTAGTTCATCATACAAAAAGGTTTTTTAGACTCCATGATTGTTTTTAATTTTTACTTACATGATTATGCCGCCGAACTGTTGTATAAACTGTTGTATAAACACAATATCACTGTCACACTCGTGACACACAAAATCACAATATCACACTCGTAGCAGTGCAGTCGGCTTGCAGGTTTGAGCCAACGCATGCCTCCCGACGCTTCTTATGGGATGTTGCTCATATAAATCGCAGAAAAAACAAAATAATGCAATGTTCAATTTTTCCAAAATCGTGCTGCCCTCCTCTAATGCATTGAAAATAATGTGCTGCTGCTGTATGTAGGAAAAGCACCATACATTTATACTGACTCACTGATTGTCCAGAAACCAGGTGCTCGGTGAAAATCATCAGCCCCTGCTGTTCAGGAAGGGAAAAAGACCCAAAGAGGAAATGAAGAGGAGAGAGCCTCCACCAGACACTCCAGTTGTGGATGTGAGTATCCTTTCTATTTTACCTCACGACACCTTCTTAGTTCCCCAGTATGGCTCTTGCCTAATTATGTGTCACCGGTCACAGCCCACCATCAAGTTTGAACAGCAGCCATGGTACATCGATGACACTGGGGGAACTTTGCACCCGTACCAGCTTGAAGGTCTGAATTGGTTGCGCTTCTCTTGGGCTCAAGGAACCGACACAATCTTGGCTGATGAAATGGGACTTGGCAAGACTGTGCAGACTATAGTGTTCCTGTACTCACTCTACAAAGAGGTCTGGGCGCCACTTGAACTCTCTTTTTAAGTGCATTTGAGAGAGGACTGGAACAGAGTGTAACTGAGCCGCTTGTTTCAGGGTCATTCCAAAGGGCCGTTTCTGGTCAGCGCGCCACTTTCCACCATCATCAACTGGGAGAGGGAGTTTGAAATGTGGGCTCCAGATTTCTACGTGGTCACTTACACGGGGGACAAAGAGAGCCGGGCTATCATACGTGAAAACGAGTTCACTTTTGAGGACAGCGCTGTCAAATCAGGACGCAAGGTTTTCCGCATGAAGGTGAGGAAAAAAAGTCGTGTTTATATGAAATTGAAACATTTTTTATCTTTCCCAAAGCTGACTTATCACCTTAAGGTCCACTGAAATACCAGCTTTTAGTCCTATTCATACTGGATAAGTATTACCTCATGACCTCTAGTCATTTGTAATAATTGCAGATTTTGTCTGTCATCGTAATACTAATAAAATCAACCATGTCTGTAATTTTTAAAGTAAAAATTTCCTTGCAAATGACCTATGATATTTTGTCAAACATTATGTCCCTTGATAATTATTGATGCTGCAATGTTAATTTAAATAGATTAATTTAAAGTTATTGGCATATCTGCAATAATATGAAAAGGCGAATACCAATGGTTTAGTAATTACTTAATAAATGAGCTGAACCTCTTTTGAATAATCAAATGTTTTTCTCATAGCAAAATATAAGGAATAAAAATATAGCACTGGCACAAAACTGTTCATTAGTTTGGGCTAAAAGTTTGAACAATAAAAGAAACCGAATCCACGTTATTAAGTAAATATGATTATGATTAAAATTTATAATTTACAAATGGTAATAGCACTGGCTTTATTAGATAAGTTTATTAAATAATCATATCAACTTAGGGCTGGGCCTATAAACAATATTATATCAAATCGCGTTAAAATTTATGTCAATAACAATGATAAGCTCGAGACTTTTTTAAACTTTATATTAATCTAAGAGCCAATCACACTGCATAAATGTGCACCACCAAAAGTGTATCAGCCAAAAATAGTATGCCATTTAATGGACCCTCTAATTTTTGTCGCTTCAGTCATAGTTGGGGTACTCAAATTTGAATGCATTAACAATCTATATAGAAATATGTATCCTCATCGTTCAATATGGAAATAATTAATGCATTTTTGCCATATCGACCAGCCCTATATCAAATAAAAGTAACATAAATAATGAACAGCAATAATCACATTTGAAGAATGCCATGTAGCAATTATAAAATGACTGTTAAATGGATCCAGTCCATGAGCAATAAAGTAATTTTAAACTACAAGTACTGAATGCTTGTATTTTATAGAGAAATTTTATCCCTTTTTTGTAACACACTAGCTAATAGATAACCTGAAGACTAACACATTTATACTGGCACCCCCAAAAAATGTCATTTAGATTTTTCAGCAAGCAAAAGAGTCTAAATACATGAAAGGTTTGATTCAGCGATGCATTGTTTCTGATCAGAATGACTTGTGTTTTATCCCCTTTTCAACACAGAAGGACACGCCAATTAAGTTTCATGTCCTGCTGACATCATATGAACTGATCACCATTGATCAGGCTATACTCGGCTCCATTACCTGGGCCTGTTTGGTTGTGGATGAAGCCCACCGACTGAAGAATAACCAGTCAAAGGTACAGAGTTTTTTCTACATATGAATTGCATCCATGACAATATCCCAATAGTAAATATACAGTTGAATCACAATTTTTAGCCCCCTGTTTTTTTTTTTTTTTTTCCAATTTCTGTTTAACGGAGAGAAGATTATTTCAACACATTTCTAAACATAATAGTTTTAATAACTCATTTCTAACAACTGATTTATTTTATCTTTGCCATGATGACAGTAAAGAATATTTTACAAGATATTTTTCAAGACACTTCTATACAGCTTAAAATGACATTTAAAGGCTTAACTAGGTTAATTAGGTTAACTAGGCAGGTTTGGGTAATTAGGCAAGTTATTGGATAACAGTGTTTTTTTCTGTATACTAACGAAAGAAATATATAAATTATATATATATATATATATATATATATATATATATATATATATATATATATATATATATATATATATATATATATATATATATATATATATATATTAAAGGGGCTAATACTTTTGACCTTAAAATGTTTTTTTTATTTTATATTTTATATTTTTTTATATTTTATTTTTTATTTTTACAGAAATAAAACAAATAAGACTTTCTCCAGATGAAAAAATATTATCAGACATACTTTAAAAATTTCCATGCTCAGTACAAACATAATTTGGGAAATATTTAAAAAGAAGAATAATTAAAAGAGGGGGCTGATAATTCTGACTTCAACTGTAGGTGCAAGCAGCAATTATCATGGCCAAGCAACCCAGCGACACATCATAAACAAGCACAGAAACAAGCTTCAGAGCAATGGGGAAATTCTATAACTTTTTGGCAGCATGGTCTGAGCCAAATTTGGTGGAAATTGGGCTAACGATCTAAAGAGAATTCAAAACAACAGATTCTTAAACTAATTCAAGATGGTGGACAGGAAGTCAATGGGAATAAATGACATCAATGTTTTCTGTATGATCCAAGGAATCGAATAAGACCAGTCTCATGACAATAGACAAAACTATTCAAAAGTCAATTGATACATTTTTTAGGATTTTTTTGTGGTAGAATGTAATTGTTTGTCAATATTACCAATAAGGTGGCTTAAACTGACGTAGTATGGTCTTTATCAGGTCTAGATCACACACATTAAGTTTGGTTTCAATACTTCAAACTATTGCAGTGAATATTATCATTGGCAGCCTTACATCAAGTTTGTGCATATTATAGATGACAACCGCTTTGTCTATCAACATGAATTTCATAACTTCTGGTCTGCATGGTCTGAAGATTATCCAAGGCAAGTTTGGTAAAGATGAACCAATGGTCTAGGAGGAGTTTAAAAAAATGGCTTAAACAAAATCAAAATGGCGGACAGGAAGTTTGGTAGATTATGGAATAATTATTATCTGTGTTGTCGGCATGACCCAAAGGAGTAATTTGAGACCAATTTTATCAAAATGAGCATGTGCAGTCAAAAGATATTACCAAACAAGTTATTACCAAATTTGTATTTCCAGAAGTTATAAACATAAGTAAAACTTTGGACAACTGTGTATCTGTGTGCAAAGGTTTGTTCAAATGCCGCAAACAATTCATAGGGCTGCCGTAGACTCCCAGAGCGGAAGAAGCAGAAGAAGAAGAAGAAAAAAAAGAAGAAGAAGAAGCTGGAAGAATAATAATAAGAACCAAAACGGATACAATCTGTGCCTTCGGTGCTTGGCCCCTAAATATATGTTACATATATTTCTCCAATAATTCAGCATAATTTTTTTTTTACTGTTAAAACATACATTTTATTTGCAATACCAAATTACATAATATATTAACACTTTCTTTTTATTTTCAGATTTAAATTAAATTTTGAGTGCTGGCCAAAGATAAATCATGATTAAACATATCTAAAATAAAAGCTTGTTTTGGCCTATGATAGTGTGTGTTTTATTCTGGAGGAGTTTGTGGACATACAGTATGTATGTAATAAAAACAAATACATAAAAACAAAACTACGCAATACTTTATTCTGCATAGATATTTCAGTATATATATATATATATATATGTATATATATTTTATATCTAAATATAAATAAACATTTTCTCAAATATATGCATGTGTGTGTTAATATATCAAATATTCAGTTAACACATATATTATGTTTAATCAAACTTTTATTTTGGATGTGATGAATCACGATTCTTTTTTACTCAGCACTAATCATGAATATACATGTTTTAATGTTTGTGACATTTTTTTATGTTAAATTTAAGTCATGCATTTTCTTGATAGTTAAAGGTTTACAAAATCCTAAAACTTTTTTTTTTTTTTTAGATTTTGGAGCACATATATTTAGTGCCTTTAACATTTCAACTCCTTTAATGCCATCACAATATTATTATTACTAATTACAACTTTACATGTGTTCATCAGCAGACCATAACCCATCAATCGTTTCTCAGTTTTTCAGAATTCTCAATGGCTACAAAATCTACTATAAGCTGCTCTTGACTGGAACCCCTTTGCAGAACAATCTGGAAGAGCTTTTTCACCTGCTCAACTTCCTCACCCCGGAGCGCTTCAAGTAAGATTACAGACTGCATGATTCACCTGCTGATTCATACCGCACAATAATGATCCCCCGCAGAGTCATTTCAGGGCTCGTACTGGAGCGTGTTTTTCATACTGTATGCTGTGAGTGTGTTCTGTCTTCCCTTATGAAAGTGTTGTTGTGCACAGTAACCTGGAGGGCTTTCTGGAGGAGTTTGCGGACATCTCGAAAGAGGACCAGATTAAGAAACTTCACGACCTGCTGGGGCCACACATGCTCAGGAGATTGAAAGCTGATGTGTTTAAGAACATGCCAGCAAAAACCGAGCTCATCGTGCGAGTTGAACTCAGCCCTATGCAGAAGTCAGTCTCGGTTTCTTTATTGCTAATGCTGAATTGCTGAATGCAAAATATGTTGATCATGATTGCTCAAACATCCGTCATAGTGTTATTTCAATACCAGTATTATCTGCATTCTCTTTTCATTTCAATTACAGTTAAATCAAACAACATTATCAAGTGTTTTCAGGTCTTTTTTTAAATGTCTGTTCAAGTCTGATTGTTCATTTTGGTTTTAGTACCTTTAGTGCATTGAGTTAATTTAAATGTGAAATGTTTTCTTGCCAATTGACTTAAATGATTAAAAAAAGTAGTTATAATAAACATTTGATTCAATTTACAGGGTATCTGTGGAGTTTTAAAAAGTTTTAAAATGTCTTAAATCTCAAAATCAAAATTTCAGGCCTTAAAAAGTCTTAAATTTACTGAAATATTGTGTTGTAGTTCTTAAATCTTTTTAAACATGTATAGCTACCCAATCTGGGGTGTGTTTCCTAAACAATGTTATAACTCATGGCTGAACTATCAAAGCACGATGCACCGTTTGGCAAAAGAAAAATGTAGTTTCCCAAAACCGTAGTTTCTCTGTTGCAGATCTATCGTTTGAACCATGTTATTTATAATGTAAAACTTCCGTAATATCACTCTAAATGGAGTGGAGTAACAACTTCTTTAGAGAAAACCCCATAATTTTTTGTGCAAATTGTATTGTTTTACACGTACACGCATAAAAAAAATCCAATATTAGTTTTGGTAAAATCGTTTTCCATATTGATTGAAATATATGTAATTATTTAATTATTAAATTATTATTATTATTGTATGAATACATTTATTAAATTATGAAAAAAAAGTTTGATAGGGCCAGTAAAAATCATTTTTCAACTGGGCCATTCAAAAAATTCCTTAGCGTTTAGCCCTCTATGAGTCTAAAATTTCATTCATAATGGTCTTAAAATGGCTTTGAAAAACTCGCTGAAACCTGCAGAAACCCTGAACATATGATTTATGCAACATCATTTAGCCTGGTTTCGTATTGTTCAAAATATTAAAATTAAATATCAATAAAATAAAAATTATATGAAGCAATAAAAAAATATCTGTTTCACACTATTACAGTTATTTTAAATTTTAATTTTAGCAAAAGTTGTAGATTTATTTTTGTCATTTGTAGTATTTTATGTTGTCTACTGTTTATATACAGTCATTTATTTTGTGTCTTATTTGTTTTATTTCGGCTTGAATAAAAGCAGTTTTTAATTTTTAAAAACCTTTTTAAGGTCAAAATTATTAACAACTTTAAAGCTATATTTTTTTCAATAGTCTACAGAACAAATGTCACTTTAATCTGTATAGAAGTGTCTTGAAAAATATCTAGTAAAATATTATTTACTGTAATCATGGCAAAGATAAAAGAAATCAGAAATTAGAGTTATTAAAACTATTATGTGTAGAAATGTGTTGAAATTTTTTTTTCTCTCCATTAAACAGAAATTGGGGAAAAAACAGCGGGGCTAAGAATTCAGGGGGTTAATAATTCTGACTTCAGCTGTAATTTTCATAACTGATCATTCTTTAAATCATACAGTTTCTGTTGTATGTTGTTTAAGATTGTACAAGTAAATATGATGATATGCAATTTATAATTAGTTTAGTACTGTAGTTTTATTTTATTCATATTTTGAGTTAATTCTTATTTTTATATTTTCTGTTTCATTTAGTTTTTATTTACCTTTTTAAGTAATTTTGCTGTTGTTTCAAAATATCTGTACAGCTTTTATTCATCTTTATTTCAGTTTTAATTATTTTAGTTTGTCAAGTTTAAGTAAATTAAAAATAAAGTCTAGCTTTGTAGGTGAAATTTAACCAAAGTTTTACTTAACATTTTAATGATTTATATTTAGTTTCAGTTACCTGTAATAACCCTGTTTTATTTGTAGAATCATTTAACAATTTTTCTTTTTCACAGGAAATACTACAAGTTTATTTTAACAAGGAACTTTGAGGCTTTGAATTCCAAAGGAGGAGGGAACCAGGTGTCCCTTCTGAACATCATGATGGACCTGAAGAAATGCTGTAACCATCCCTACCTGTTTCCAGTGGCTGCAGTGGTGAGGATGGACATATGGAGACCTCCAGTTCATATCACTGCTGTGGTTTATTTTTAACACGAGTAATGCCGATGCATTCTTCTGAGCTAATTTATGACTCAAAAGCTTTTGTTTAAGAGTCTATTGTCTTTTAGTTTCTGCAGGGAATCAGGTGCTTTTTTTGCACTCTCATGTTCAAGGACAAAAGTTGACAAGTGATAGTGATTGAAATGGCAAGCTTCACTTTTATTAATGCTTGTACTTTACCTTTTCAAGACTATAAATGTGAGTATGATATTAAAGGGAATTATTCACCAGATGGGGCAACTTAATAAGATAAATAGGCTTTGTAGCTGCAAAACAAGCTTAAACTTATTTATTGCTTTCATTTGTGTAGCAGTTGTTTTTATAAATGAATATGCAGATGTTTTTGAAAATTTCTTACAAACATTAGCAAAAAACAACAACAAAAATACATATTGAGAGTCCAAAAACAATACCTGTGCGATTAACTCTGTTAGCATGCAGGTAGAATGACCCTATAATTCAAACAAACGCGAAATCTGTATGTGTTTTTGTTTTTATATTTACAAGATATGATATAGTTAAACAATATCAAACATTCAAGAGTGCTATTTCCTGAATACTAGAACATAAGCCTGGTCGAAAATGTGATACTGATTTTATACAACAGTTCACCAAACAATTTAATATAGAGTGAGTGTTACTTTAGATACACTATTATCTGTTTTTGCCAAGGAAAATGGTTCCATACAAAGCCAGAGCAGAACATTTGCAAACCTTAGAGCTATACAGCAATGTTACAAAATATTTCAGACTAATATTGTTGGTTTAAGACTTCATTTCATGAAAATGCACAGTAATAATAATTATAAATTATCAGAAGAAATGTACTTAAAGCATTAATCAGTATGTTTTAATGATTTCTAAAGGACATGTAAGACTTCTAGTAAAAAATCAGCTAAAAATCGTAATAGAAGATAGTCCATCTAAATACCAATATTTTACAAAAAAAATATTATTATTATTTTTTTTGTATAAAATTAAACGTAAAAACAAAACTCAAATGTTTGACTATAGTCTTGAATCTAAGACTTGAATCTGAACATCTTCTAATAACAATTCTGTTTTTACATTTGCAGGAAGCTCCGGTGTTACCCAATGGCTCTTATGATGGTAACCTTCTGGTAAAATCCTCAGGGAAACTCACCCTGCTTCAGAAAATGCTCATAAAGCTGAAAGATGGAGGACACAGGGTTCTCATCTTCTCTCAGGTATGCTGTTTGGCATTTATTCCCTCATCTAGAGCTCAGAATACCCTCTGAATAAAAAGAAGAATAAAAAAACCTTAAATATGTGGCAGTCCTGCCTCTATTTCAGTGGAAGATTAATTAGTCAGTAAACTGTGAATAGAAAATAAGAGTGGAGCTCATTCATCTTTTAAACGGTGTTGACAAATGAAAAGGCGGAGCTTATATTTATCTCCGCTTTATTGTTGACTCTTTTCCCTCCCATTTTAAATTGCCTGCGCAATCACTGCATTCATTAATGTGATGAATGGCACAGGTAAAGGGGGGTTGTCTCAGAGAGACTTCATTTTGCCACCCTTTTCTTTCCCAAGTGCTTGAGAATAAGCATAAATATTAATGTGTATTGCATGTTATGTGTTTTCTTCAGTCCTTTCAGCTAGATTACAGAGGAGGGCCTTGGGTGACCACCTGATTATCTTTCTGTTGCAGGAAAGCATATGCGATTTTATGGGACAATGCAAGAAAAAACATGTTTGCTAATTAAACATTTACTACATTTTATTATTGTGTTATTGTAAAGAATAATACAGATACATTTTACATTAGACACATTGTTTCATGCTACCAGTCAAAAGTTTGGCATCGGTAGGTTTGTCATCTTATTAAATTTAGTTTTAAAAATTTTATGTATTCCTGGGTTTTAAAGCTGAATTGTCATCAATATTTCAGTCTTCAGTATCACGTCACATTACAGTTTGGTGACCAGCTGATCAATAAGCATTGATTAAAATAAATAATTAAACATTAATTATAATTTTTAATGTTCAAAACTGCTGGGTTGCTTGATTTTTTTGTGAATATCGCACAATGCTAGAGTACTATTAAAATGTATACACTTTTACCTTTCAAGGACACATCACATTGTTCAAAAGGAAAAGAAAAAGACATTTAGGATGCAAACAAAATCTGAGAATACTAAAAAAGTATTAAAATGTATCACAGTTTCCACACAAACTTTCTGACAAAATCATCATTAATTTATCAATAATTATTATAAATATAGTGTATAAAATGTAGGGAACGCAGTGGCGCAGTAGGTAGTGCTGTCGCCTCACAGAAAGAAGGTCGCTGGGTCGCTGGTTCGAGCCTCGGCTCAGTTGGCATTTCTGTGTGGAGTTTGCATGTTCTCCCTGCGTTCGTGTGGGTTTCCTCCAGGTGCTCCGGTTTCCCCCACAGTCCAAAGACATGCGGAACAGGTAGGCTAAGTTGTCCGGAGTGTTTGTGGATGTTTCCCAGAGATGGGTTGCGGCTGGAAGGGCATCCGCTGTGTAAAAACATGCTGGATAAGTTGGTGGTTCATTCCACTGTGGCGACCCCGGATTAATAAAGGAACTAAGCCTAAAATAAAAAAAATCTGTATATTGTAAAGATAATTGAAGGATCGTGTTACGCTGAAAATAGAGACAATTCTGCCTAGAATTAGATGAAAATTGCTGACAATTTGCTGAAAATTCAGCCTAGAATTACAGGAATTATTAGCATTTTAAACTACATTCAATAGGAGAGCAGTTATTTTAAAAGATATTACAATTGTACAGTTTTCAAAAGAAATAATAAAAGCAGCCTTGGTGAGCAGAAAAGTCTTCATTTTAAAACATTTGTTCACTTCTGAGAATAGGAAAAAGCTCAGAGGATCATTCTGCAAAATTCAGGAGAGCTGGTCAGCCTGCCGGAGCCATGTTTTTCCCCTCTTGTTGTATTTTGCATTAATAGACTGAACTGTAATCTGTATTTGCTTAACATTTTGCTCAATTCTGGCTGTTGTGCCTTTCTCGGATGCTGCTGTTGTCTTTCCTGTTTGCGTCTGATCCTATATGGTTGATCCCCCTCTTAGATGACAAAGATGCTGGATTTGCTGGAGGACTTCCTGGAGTTCGAGGGGTATAAATACGAGCGCATTGACGGGGGCATCACAGGCGGGCTGCGACAGGAGGCCATCGATCGCTTTAACGGTTAGGATGCCGACAGTGAATCTGCATTGAATGTTTGTATGTGTGGGAGAGTGTGGATACTGAGGCGCTCGGACTGACTCTCTGTCACCCTGCTTGCAGCACCCGGCGCTCAGCAGTTCTGTTTTCTGCTGTCCACACGTGCTGGAGGATTGGGTATCAATCTGGCAACCGCAGACACAGTAATCATATATGACTCTGACTGGAATCCGCACAATGACATTCAGGTAATGCACACAACAGTGCTGGGTCAGCTACTTTCAAATTGTGACTTATAATTTAAAGTGCTGAAAAAGTATTAAGCTCAACTGAAAGCTATTACACTTTTTCTCAGTCGCTCGCTTTGGTGCATTTCTCGCAACACTATTTACATTTGCACAACAGTTAATGCATTTTTGAAACAATTAGTCATTTGTGCACATCTTATTAGCGGTTTCTGGTTCCTTCCAACAAATTGCAAATGCTTTTCGACACGCATCAATTGCTTTCATACAACTCTCTGCTGTTTATAACATTAGCATTTGCTTATGTCATGTCAGTCAAAACTAACTAAACTTGTGAATGTTGAATAGTCATTCCATATAAAACTAATAGACCTCATTTCACTACTTGAGTCATTACATATACACATGTTGAACTAGATGTCAAAATCTGTCAAGCTAATTTTATTTAAAAAAAGTTTCAAACTTTTTTATCTTGAAAATGTCTTGTAAATTGAACAATTTCATGAATGATTTACAGACCTTTGTGTGTTCTCATATGCACTGCAATATTATTTACAGTTGAGCACAGCTCTACTCAAAGGAAATTTGTGTTTGTTGTAAACAGGTTTTTTCATATATATTTTTTATTCAGATCAATACATTACAAAATGTGGAGTTATTAAAATGCATAATTCATCCAAAAATTAAAATGTACTTATACTTTAGTGGTTCCAAACCTTTATTGGCCCTATCATACACCCGGCACAATAAGACGTAAGACGTGTTTTGCGTGACTTGTTGCTTTTTTCAGACCAGCACAACCCTAATTTTCACACTGTTTAAAAGTAAATCCATTTGCGCCACTTTGTGGACTCATGGGTGTGACGGTCAATAAAGGAGGTGTGTTAAGGTGCATTGTTGGCGCATTGCTATTTTGAGAAACTGAAATTCTTAAAGGAAGTTTGTGTTTGTTGTAAAAAGGGTGCCTGTATTCTTTTGCACAATGCTGTGAATAAATTAGTATTGCAAAGAGCATATGCAGTAAAAATGTGAAACCAGAAGTAAAATGTTTCTACTGAGAAAAACTGTAATAAAAAGCAGCAAGACCGGGGCCATTTTATAAAGACAGACAGACAGACAGACAGACAGATACATAGGTAGATAGATAGATAGATAGATAGATAGATAGATAGATAGATAGATAGATAGATAGATAGATAGATAGATAGATAGATAGATAGATAGATAGATAGATAGATAGATAGATAGATAGATAGATAGATAGATAGATAGATAGATAGATAGATAGATAGATAGATAGATAGATAGATAGATAGATAGATAGATAGATAGATAGATAGATAGATAGATAGATAGATAGATAGATAGATAGATAGATAGATAGATAGATAGATAGATAGATAGATAGATAGATAGATAGATAGATAGATAGATAGATAGATAGATAGATAGATAGATAGATAGATAGATAGATAGATAGATAGATAGATAGATAGATAGATAGATAGATAGATAGATAGATAGATAGATAGATAGATAGATAGATAGATAGATAGATAGATAGATAGATAGATAGATAGATAGATAGATAGATAGATAGATAGATAGATAGATAGATAGATAGATAGATAGATAGATAGATAGATCTTTTTTCCCTTTATCTTTATTGGTTATTCTATGTTCTTGCAGGCATTCAGCAGGGCGCATCGAATTGGTCAAAATAAAAAGGTGATGATCTATCGCTTTGTAACTCGGGCATCCGTAGAGGAGCGGATCACCCAGGTGGCCAAGCGAAAGATGATGCTGACCCACCTGGTGGTGCGGCCCGGCTTGGGCTCCAAGACGGGCTCTATGTCCAAGCAAGAGCTAGACGACATCCTCAAATTTGGCACTGAAGAGCTTTTTAAAGACGACGTGGAGGCCGCCAGAACGATGGGTGAGCTGAAGGTGTTGGAGATGAAGAGTATTGTACTTCCACTGTGCGTTCCAATAGCTGAAGTCCTAAATCTGTCTTCAACAGGAGACAATAAAGAAGGAGAGGAGGTCAGTGTGATCCACTATGACGATAATGCCATCTCCAAACTTCTGGACCGTAGTCAAGATGCCACCGAAGACACTGAGATCCAGAACATGAACGAGTACCTGAGCTCATTTAAAGTGGCTCAGTATGTCGTGAGAGAAGAGGACGGAGAGGTGAGAAACAAATGCTTTACTTTCTGTTCTTCATGCCTTTTTCTATTAAACTAGGGATCAAAGATGAACGCTAGCTCATCCTTTCAAAATGACTGCCTTTATTATTTTTTTTCTTTGCTCGAAAGGGCATAGTTTTGCAAGTTTGCTTTTTCTGCAAAAGCATATTGGATTGTCGTTTGTATATGGATTTAGTTTTGTGTGGAGATGCGGCATTGTTTTTGTTCAGGCTGGAAGTGAAGGTCAAATTCGGTAGCAAATCTTACTTGTTTTTTGTTTTGTGAAAGATAAAGAAATGTGCAATCTGATGTTTAACAGTCAGTTTCTAATTATTTTTAATAAAACTTTTTATTAGTTTAAGGTCAAGGTTAATATTTTTTTCAGCATATTCATTCATTCATTCATTTTCCTTCGGCTTAGTCTCTATTTCAAAGATCGCCACAGTGAAAAAAACTGTCAACTATTCCAGCATATGTTTTATATGCTTTAACGGATGACCTTCCTGTTGCAACCCAGTACTGGGAAACATCCATACACACTCATTCAGACACTAATACACTACGGCCAATTAAGTTTTTTCAATTTACCTATAGCGCATGTCTTTGGACTTTGGGGAAAAGTGGTACACCTGGAGGAAACATACACAAATACTAGGAGAACTTGCTAACTCCACACAGAAATGCCAACTGAGCTGGGACATGAACCAGCAATCTTTTTGCCGTGAGGCGACAGTTCTAAGAACTGAGCCACCATGCCACCTTTTGCTCATTATACTCTTCAGCATATCTTACTTGTTTTTTGTTTTGTGAAGGAAAATATATGCAATCCGATGTTTATGAATCAATTTCAATTTAGATTTATTAAAACGTTAAATAGTTTAGGGTCACTTCATTTTGTTGTTAAACAAGGGTGCATTAAATTGATAAAAAATGTTTGTCCATTTTTTAGCCACATTTGATTTCTAATTCAAATAAATACTGTATCATGGTTTCAACAAAAAAAAAAAAAAAAAAAAAAAATCAGCATTACTCTGTTGAGCATGATCAGAATTTTTTCTGGGACACCAACTCTGATTAATGAACAAAAAGAATCATGTAACAAAAACTATAGATGTTAAAAAATTAAGATGTTTAAAAAAATTGCTTTTCCATCACATCAAGCAGTCATTTAAATTGTAATATAAATTACATATTATATAAACATCATAAAAGGTGACGCGGTGGCGCAGTAGGTAGTGCTGTCGCCTCACAGCAAGAAGGCCGCTAGTTCGAGCCCTGGCTAGGTCAGTTGGCGTTTCTGTGTGGAGTTTGCATGTTCTCCATGCATTTGCATGTGGTTCCTCCGGGTGGGTTAAACTAAAATTGCCTGTAGTGTTTGAGTGTGAATCAGTGTGAATGAATGTTTCCCAGAGATGGGTTGCAGCTGGAAGAGCATTCAATGGGTAAAAAACGTATGCTGGATAAGTTGGTGGTTCATTCCCCAGGTTAATAAAGGGACTGAGCTGAAAAAAAATGAATGAATGATTGAATGAATAACCATCATAAAATTTGTTAACAGGTTTTTTCATATGTGTTTTTTATTCAGATCAATACATCACAAAATGTGGAGTTATTTTATTGGATAGTTCTTCCAAAAATGAAAATTTACTTATATTTTAGTGGTTCCAAACCGTTATGGGCCCTATCATACACCCGGCACAATAAGGTGTAAGACGTGTTTTGCGTGACTTGTTGCTTTTTTCAGACCAGCACAACCCTAATTTTCTCGCTATTTATAAAGTAAATCCATTTGCGCCACTTTGCGGACTCAAGGGTGTGCCGGTCTATAAAGGAGGTGTGTTAAGGTGCATTGTTGGCGCGTTGCTATTTTGATAAACTGAAATAGACTGCGCCATTGACCAACTAAAAGCTGGTCTAAAGTGCAGCTTAGAGTGCGATAAAAAATTAAATTAAATATGTAGGCTAATGGATGTCTTTAGTGGAGTGCACTAGGTGTAAGGTGTACAACACCTTTTTCCTTATCCATGAAAGTAAAGGAGCAAAGAGTACAAGTAAAGAGGCCGATTGGAGGAGGCTCATTATTTATCCTTGCGCTGCAGATGGTCTGTTAAACTGTTTTCTTGCTAGTGAAACATTCAGTTTTTCCATTTAGTTTTTCCACTTAAAAGTCCATCAGGTAAATAGCAAATGTGCCATCACACGGCGCACTTGACTCTTAAAGGGAATGGGAGTTGTTCGACACACAATAAGATATTTAGAAAAATGTTAGAAACCTGTTACCATTGACTTTCATAGTAACAAATACTATGGATGTAGGAAGTCAATGGTTACAGGTTTTCAAAAAAAATTGTCACAGAAAACTGAAAAGCTCGAGCGAAGGTTAAATTTTTTTACTTTTGCATGAACTATCCCTTTTTGTTACAGTTAAATTATTGAAATTTTGTGCAATAACATCATAGAATGTATGCAATATGTCGAGCTGTGTTTGAATGCTCTTATTTTCAGTCTCTTTTTCCTCATACTATGTGACATTCACTGTGACTGAGTGAACAAGTCAGCAGTTTTGGACATGAATGTGTAAAATGTCGCTTATTCTCTTATGTGCCTGCGGGGAGATGTCAGGATAGACATGGGCAGAAGCAAAATTTCAGTTTTCCATCCTCTTTCCACACTGACAGCTACTCTCAGCATGAGAACGTCTCTTGGGATCAGGCTGATGCTTACATCATTACTATATCAACCCATGTAGATAAGCAGCTGTCTGAGAAAATGGATCAAATTTCAGCAACAGCAAAATGACAATGCAGACAGTAAGCCGTAAAGATTTGTAGATTTGTGTCTATTTGCAGGTCCTCTGGATATAACATGGAAATATATACTGTGGAGGGTCATGACATGTTTAGTTAGCCAAACTTGATTATAATGATAAGAAAACAATTTAAGAAAAAAAAAAACTGTAATTGTGTTTTGCTCTAAATTTTATTGGAGTTTGCATGTTCTCCCTGCGTTCACAAGGGTTACCTCTAGGTGCTCTGTTTTTCTCACAGTCCAAAGACATGCGCTATGGATGAATTAAATAAACTAAATTGGCCATAGTTTATGTGTGTGAATGAATGTGTATGGGTGTTTCTCAGTACTGGGTTGCAGCAGTAAGGGCATCCGTCATGTAAAAAAATATTCTGGATAAATTGGCGGTTCATTCCGCTGTGGCGACCGCTGATGAACAAGGGACTAAGCTGACGGAAAACGAACAAATTAGTGAATATCTTAATCTTGACTGATTATCTGATCTTAATATTTGACATATTAAAAACAACAATTTGATAGCATATTAAAATAATATGTTTATGGATCACAGTGCAGTGAAAAACGTAATCAATGGATGTTTTAAATATTGATATGTTGTTTTTAAGTTTAATGTTTAAAGTTAAGTTTAAAATCATTTAAAATTTTATAAAAGTTAGATGATCACTTACTCTTTAATATTTTTATATTTATAATACATACTGCTTGAAGTATGCACTTTTTAATCATTAATGCATCTGTTGCACAGAATACTAATGCAACATTATTGATTAATATTTTTGACATTTTATATTTTCCCAAAATCACACTTTCCTTGCATTCATCATTTCTTTTTTGTCCAAACTTTTTTTTTTACAGTAACTGCATCTGCAGTAAAAGTTTATTTACAAAATATATTTGTGTATATTTTCATGTGTATTAAGATATGCATGACTATAATGTATAAAATGCTTGTTTATTTTTATTTCTAAAACAAATTATATAAGGTGTATAAACTGTTTAAAACATATGCTGAATAAGTTGGTGGTTCATTCCACTGTGGCAACCCCTGATGAATGAAGAGACTAAGCTGAAGGAAAATTAATGAATGAAATTAAATATAAGTATAAATATACATTTGAATATATTTATTTTGTATATTTTTATATTTCATGTACACTATGTTTGTGTATTTATACATATACAGTATATCATACAACAGGGGTGTCCAAACCTGGTCCGGGAGGGCCAGTGTCCTGCACAGTTTAGCTCCAACTTTATTTAACAAACCTGCCTGGAGGTTTTTAGTACACCTAGAAAGAGCTTGATTAGCTGGTTCAGGTGTGTTTAATTGGGGTTGAAACTAAAATATGCAGGACACTGGCCCTCTAGGATTGAGTTTGGAAACTTCTTGAAAGTACTTTAAAATACTTGAATTTTGACATATGAATTCATGACCTGAAAATTACTTAAAAATAAACATCTGTGCCTGAATTAAATTAGAAAAAACGTTTGTTTTATTTACTCAATTGTGAAAAACAGAAGGTAAAAACTGAGAAATTCTTAAATTAAAAACCTTTAAGGTTTAAATTATATACAATAACACTGACAAATATTGCTTATTTGATCAATGTTTCAGAAAACACATTTGAATATTATCAGTATTGAATCCAACATAGTTTTTAGAAGTTTTTTGAACATGACTCTTTAAAAGGTCAAAATTGCGGAAAATTACTAGGGATGTCCCAATCACATTTTTTTGCCTCGAGTCCGAGTCCAAGTTATTTGTTTTTGAGTATCTACCAATACCGAACCCCATCTGAGAGGTAGCTTGAACAATCAAGTAATAAATTTCATCAATTCTTCACTTTTGGACTTGAGTGCAACAATAAATATTTTTTTTAAAAATCATATAAAAATAAATATTTACCAGGCGATCCCAAGTTTACACATCTCACAGTTTGCTTTGGCAATGTTGTCATCATTGACTTTATAATTCCTCCAGACAGCAGACATACTCACGCTTTCCACCTCAAGTTGCTTCCATGTACTACTTTGCCAGCATTTAACCTATAGCGTCACTGCAACAAAGCGATGCTGCACACGTTGCTGTTTCTGTATGAAATCAAGAAAGAAGTCTAATTCTGTGCCACCACATTACTATAGATGTGTTAAAAAAATAATGAAAATATATATTCATATTCATATTCCGATCGAGTCTGAAACCGCGTGATTGGCCCCGATTTTCAATCACGTGATGGGATCTGGACATCTCTAAAAATTACTGACACTTTTTAAATGTAAATAATAAGTGCAAGTGAAATATTATGTACATTAAATGCTTTCATGGCTCTACATATGCTGGAGTATGAATTACAAAGATGCTTGATTTAATATAAATGGTGCTTTAAAACGTCTTTGCAAACTGTTCATGAAAGTGTGGGAACCCGGTATATACATAAATGTACACAGTGCACAAGTACATATATATAATGTAAATACAAACTTTTATCTTGGATGTGATTAGTCATGGTGTATTGTTTGACAGCACTGCTTTAAATATGAAGCTACTAAAATTATTATATGCTACTAAAATACTTAGTAAAGGATGTCGAATTTTGGGATAAAAGCATAAAAAAAAGCTTTATCCAGCTTCAGAAATAAGACAAAATAATAATTACATAAACAATTATCATATCATACACAAATCCCAAATGCTCAGGATCATTGTAAGTCTATAATAATTCTAAGTAGCTTAACCAAAGTCAATAAGAGCCTGTGATGTATGATCTGTGTTTGTGTGTTTCTGCAGGAGGAGGTCCAGAGGGAGATTATTAAGCAGGAGGAGAATGTTGATCCAGACTATTGGGAGAAGCTCTTGAGGCACCATTATGAGCAGCAGCAGGAGGATCTGGCTCGAAACCTGGGCAAGGGGAAACGCATCCGCAAACAGGTCAACTATAATGACGCCTCTCAAGAGGACCAAGGTACCCAAACACAGACGCTGACAGCATTATAACTCAGCATAAATCTCTCTCTGTGTGTGTATGAGTGTTCAAGCATTTCCTCTCGATCCCATTTACAGAGTGGCAGGACGATCTTTCGGATAATCAGTCTGAGTACTCTGTCGGGTCTGAAGATGAAGATGAAGATTTTGAGGAACGGCCTGAGGGTAGGTGTCCTCATTATACAGAGTTTGGGATCAGTAACTTTTTTTGTATTCTGCAAGGACTGTTAAACTGACAAGAGTGAATGTAAAGACTTCTGCATTGTCAGAGATTTCTGTTTCAGTAAAACTGTTTTAAAATAACTTTTAAAATAGGTTGAAACAGATTTTTTTGTTATCATTTGCAATAAATTAAATTAATATTTTATAATGGGTTTTTTTGCTGTATTTGTAAATAATAAAATACAATCTTGGTGAGTATAGAAACTCCAAAGTAATTAAAATAATAGTGTTGAAATATATAAAAACATTAGAATAAAACGTTTTAATGGGCTTTATATTACAAATGATCAAATAATTTCTAAATAGCAAAAAATACAAATAAATGAACATTTAAACAAGCAAACAAATAAATAAATAAAAAATACATGAAACATTATACAAAATGCCATATAATGAGTAGAAAAATGTAATAATATTTTATAACATTGGATTTTTTACTGTATTTGTTATTAATAAAACATATTATTAATGAGTATAGAAACTTTAAACTTTAAAGAAAAAATAAATAAAATTGTTAAAATAAAAACATTGGAATAAAACTTTTACATGGGCTTTATATTACAAATTATCTAATAATTTCTAAATAACTAAAACTTACAAATAAACAAACATCTAAACAATAAACAAACAAGTAAATAAATACAAAATACATGAATAATTATACAAATCCATATAATGAGTAGAAAAAGGTAATATAAAAATACACTGTGGCATTCTAGGTGAGTATAGGATTGTGTGTCAAACCCCAAATTATACACAAAGTTTAAAATAAATAAACACATTAGAATAAAACATTTAAAGGGTCTCATTGCTAAAATAATCGAATAATTAAAAAATGATGATTAAGAATAAAATAAAAAAATAAACGAATGTACAATTTAAACAAACAAACAAACAAAAAACCAAACAAAAAACCAAACAAACAAACAAACAAACAAATAAATAAATAAATAAATAAATAAATAAATAAATAAATAAATAAATAAATAAATAAATACATGAACAATTATACAAATATATTAAAATAGTATATTTCCATGTTACAATGACCAGAAAAATTGAATAATATTGTAAATTAACAATTTCTGATAATATATTAAACACACTGTGGCATTATTGGAGAGTAGAGGAACTTGTATCATACCCAGAGTTAATTAAAATAAAAAGGTTGAAATAAATAAACTCATTAGAATAAATATTCAAATAATTACTAAATAATGACTTAGCTCAACATAAAAAAATACAAAATTAACATAAAATTTAAACAAACAAGTGAATACAAAATACATAAACATTCATAAAAATACATACAAATTGTAGATTATCATATTATAATGAGTAGAAAAGAATAATATTATTGTAAATTAATACAAATAAAAATTCTAATGACATTTTAAACGTACTTTGGCAGTATGCATTTTTCTGCTTTGTAATGTTTGATCAGACTTTATTGTCAGTTGTAGTAACTTGCTGTTTTATGACAGCTAGAGTTTATATCCTGCTCAAAATGACCCATTCATTCTCAAAAAACAATTTTGTTATTTGTTATAGTTTTATTATTTGTTATAGTGAATAAAGTATTGTTCGCTTACGTACCTCATTACTTCTGTTTTTTTTATATGTAACCTTACCGCCAACCTGATTTCACCAAGTAGGACATCTATGACATCTATGTTGATCCTGAAACAACATTCCAATCAGCCAATCAGAATTAAGGGATGCGTTTACTGTTTATGTTAAGTTTAGGCTCATGGTTAGGTTTATGCACTTCTACATGATTGTTATCCAACTATTATTCCCCTCTTATTTGGGAATAATTTACAGTTATGGTTGGGTTGAGGGGTAGGGAATAGGCATAGATTACATTTTCCAACAAAAGTAATGTTCCAGGATCAACATAGATGTTAATCCAGGATCGCATTGTACTTGGCAAGTCATGATGTGTGTGATTACTTAAAGGTTGTTTAGGTGAAGCAAATGTGTGACTTAATTCAGTTCTACATTGTGCAAAACCTACAAGGAGAAAATAAAAGGAGCTTGAAGCAAAGTATTGCAAAGTAAATATTAGATGACTAACCATTGTTGCTTTTGGATGAACTAGTTAGGCAGATTTGACTTTGATTTCCCATAAACTAAACATTCTTTTCGAATCTGAGTGCAAAAAGTGCAAAAAATTTGGTTTATTAAGAGACTAAAGATGCCTCAATAGGCTCAATAGTATTGCTATTTATGGCATCTACTGTAAAAGACCTTTTCAAATAATAACTGCTTGACTGCGGTAATTAAAGTATTTTTTGAGACTTTTGGAGATCTAAATGTGCTCTTTTTCCTCCAGGTGGACGCAGACACTCCCGCAGACAGCTGAAGAGTGATCGGGACAAACCATTGCCGCCACTGCTGGCTAGAGTTAGTGGAAATATAGAGGTAAATCTTTTTACAGTGTTATGAAAAGAGGGAGTTCTTGTGTGTTCCTTTCATTAGGTGAAGCTTTTGGCTATTTTCCTTTGGGATTTCAGGTTTTGGGATTTAATGCCCGGCAGCGAAAAGCCTTCTTGAATGCGATTATGCGCTGGGGAATGCCTCCGCAAGATGCCTTCAACTCACACTGGCTCGTCCGTGACCTTAGAGGGAAAAGTGAGAAGGAGTTCAGGTATGTACATGAATGGGGTCTCACTCTAATCTGCTTGTTAATTCATGTGGCACATCATCACGTGTCACAGTTTCTAGATCCAAATGCTCTATCAGATGCCAAATGTGACCGTGAACCACAAAACCAATCATAAGTGTTTAAAATTTTGTTTTATACTTCGTCTGAACAAATAAGCTTTCCATTAATTGTGTAGTTTCTTAGAATATGACAATATTTGGCAGAAATACAATCTGGAATTTGAAAAAAAAAATCTAAAATATTGGGAAAATCACCTTTAAAGTTGTCCAAATTAAGTTTTTAACAATGCATATAACTAGTCAGTTATTATGTTTCCATATATTTACAATTGAAAATGTACAAAATATATTCATGGAATATAATCTTTACATAATATTCCAAGGATTTTGGCATAAACAATCATTTTTAGCCATACTGTTACACTCTGTTGTGTATTGCAGAGAAGAAAAACAAAGTGTACTGTAGCTCCAAATGCAGCATTTAACATACATTTAATGAAAGACTGTAACAAAACTAAACTAAAACAAGGCAAAACAGACTAGGAAACACACGGCCATCATGAGAGCAATAAAAAAAACAGACAACAATTGTAATCTTGTAATCAGTGGGAATGAACCGTAGCTTTGTGTGTGTTTGTGTTTGTGTGTGCCTCCAAATGACTGACAGCTGAGGCAGGAGAGTTCTCCAGCAATCTGCATTGGCTAGATCACTGGTAATCATGACAATGGCTATTGTCAAAAGTATACCCATGCAACATAAGACCAAGGTTACAAATGTGCCCAATAAATGGCTTAATATACGCTAACAGTGTGCTGTAAATTATGATAATAATGTTTTTTTTTAAACATTGTTTATTGGGTTTTTACAAGTTAAATACAACATACAATAAAGTATGATAGATCATGAACGGCTATTGAGGGTAAATTTTAAAATGAATTACAAATTAAATCAAAACTGACCATATGATTTTGTAAGCTCACATTGGTAGATTTGTGGTGAACAATACATCTGTGGATGTCATTAAGAAACAAATAATAGTTTGCCCTTGTAATCTTTAACCGTTAAATTGTCGGATTTACTTATATCTTAAAAATTGGGCATGGCTAACATACTTAACCCTGCCCCTCCAACTGTCAGTTTTGACAACAAAAAGAAATAGTGAAGATGAGATGTCTGTTAGGTTGTAATAACTCTTTAAAACCCCTTTCCAAATCTTTCTGAATAAAATGCCTTCTTTACTACATCCATTCAGCTCACAGTGGAAAAAAAAAGCCACGCTCACTGTTTTCTTATTTAATATTCAGTTTCTCTAGGAACTAAACCACGATCGTAGCTAATGGTTCATGTGGACTTTAACATCTTAACAAGCAGATAATCTGTTGATATTATTTTCATTTATTGTTGTTGTGTGTTTCAGGGCTTACGTGTCTCTGTTCATGAGGCACCTGTGTGAGCCGGGAGCAGATGGAGCAGAGACATTTGCAGATGGAGTCCCAAGGGAAGGCCTGTCCCGCCAGCATGTTCTCACCCGGATCGGTGTCATGTCTCTGGTCCGCAAGAAGGTGATGATTTACTTACTTCTCTTTTATCTGCACTAGTTTTTAGCTTGATGAATGTAATTACAGTATCTAATTTACAACAGTGTTATTTAAATATCAGTTAGATTTTATATTATACATTCTTTATCGAAGTTTTGGTAATGTTGTTTTTTTTTGTGTGTAAATAGATGTATATTCATTTGATTATTTTACTTCGTCTCAGTCCCTTTATTCATCAGGGGTTGCCACAACGGAATAAACCAGCAACTTATCCAGCATACGTTTTACTCAGTGGACACTTCTAGCTTCTAGCTGCAATCCAGTTCTGGGAAGCATCCAAACACACTCATTCACACACATAGACTACGGCCAATTTAGTTTATTTAATTCACCTATAGCGCATGTCTTTGAACTGTGGGGGAAATCGGAGCACCTGGAGGAAACCCACACGAACACGGGAAGAAGATGCAAATTCCACACAGAAATGCCAACTGGCCCAGCCGGGATTCGACTCAGCGACCTTCTTGCTGTGAGGCGACAGTGCTATTCACTGAGCCACGGTGCTCCAAATAAATGTATATGTTGTTTTTAATTATTTTTATTTAGTTGGTGTTATTTTAGCACATCAGGTAAAGGTAAATTAAATGAGCAATATTTAGTAAACATTGATTTTATTTTGAGTAACAAACATTTTTTTTTTGTTAACTACAATAACCCTGGCTTAATCTTTTTAAAATTATTTATAATTTATTAGAAACACTGTAGCATTGTTTATCTGAATACATTTTTTGTAAAATTTTTTTTTTCTATTTTTAAAGCAATGAACATTAAATAAGCATCCAGATTGAACAGGCCTTTTATAAGTTACACACATGCTAGTTATTTACAATTAATCTTTTAAACGGTCACAAAACCAAAACACATTTTTTGAGATGTTGACAGACATATATGTTTTACATTGCTTAAAACACTAATAGGACACATAAATTTCACAAAATAGTGAAAAATGGTTGTTTGCGTTATTTTGAGCAAATTCGATCTTCTAATATGATTTTCGCCGCATTTTGTGACACGAGTTTCTATACACACACTGCTGTTTGACACTATTCTCTGCACCTACAGTGTCAGTGAAAGAACACAGACACCTGCATTGTAAAATGCTTAGGTTTTTTACCCATACGTGTGCGGTATCAAATTCCATTAAATCTCTCCCAGCAGTTCATACTTGCATCCAATATCTCATTTGCTTTGAGGGATATGCATGAAATGTTCCTGAATGAAAGTGAAAGTGCCAAACTGCAGTTAAGTTGACAAATTAAAAATTAAACCCTCGAAATTACAAGAAACATTTAAGGAAATGTGGATAGCATATTGATGCAATGACATAAATTGAATTATGTGTTATAATATGTAAAACGGGATCATGAAAGGAGCATTCAAAAAACAACTCATGTAAACACCTTAATCATATTATTGTCTTATTCAGATTAAGGCAAATAATTTGATTAAAGATGTCTATGTAAAGATAGTCTTTTTCCATCTCCCCTGCGTCTGTATTTGTGCTGCCTCTGTGAAAATCAGCACGGGCAGGTAATGAAACTCCCCTTTTCATGCAAACCCTTCCCTCTTTCAACACTCTTACATAAACAAAGCTAGACTCACCCATTTTCCTGACTTTTCTTCAAACTAGAGGTGTGAGAACACCCTGCTCAGACAGGGGGGTTCATGGCCCTTTAGTTCAAGTTCAAGTTCATATATTTATAGAGCATATTTAAAAACAGTCACAAGACTGATCAAATTACTGTACATAAGACAAAGTAAACTAAAAAGAGATTATAAATTTAGTTTAAGATTACAGGATTATAAATTTAGTTTAAATGTACTGTAATACAAAATATTTTTTTAACATTAAATAATAAATATGTATCCACAAGAATCATTCTTTGAAACAAATCTATATGGTTTTTAAATATAAATACAAAATAGTAATAAATTATAAAATAAGAAAGGGTTTCTGCTAAAATTCCTCTTGTTTGTGTTGCGTATGTAGGTTCAGGAGTTTGAACATGTGAATGGGAAGTTTAGTACACCAGATCGGATTCCTGTAGGATTAGAGCTGAAAAAACTAACAGAAAGTGTCTCGTCGGATCCAAACACCCCTGTTCCTGCCAGTCCTGTTCCAACTCAACCCAGCACACCGGTTCCTTCAGGTAAGACTGAACATGTTCTTACGTCATCATAAAATGCTGGTTGTTTATGGTTACCTACACAGTAGAATTGTACTTACAGATAAGACAGAGTCAGTGTCCGGGTCTCAAGAAGATAAGGAGATTGCAGAGCCAGAGAACACCAAACCGCTGGACCCTGAGGTCATACTGACGTAATCAAGAAATTACCTTCTGTGTCCTTCCATCTTTTCTTTTGTCTTTACTAAAAGATCTCTCTTCTTGTAACAGCCAGTTGTTCCAGAACCCTCTCCTGCGCCAGAAAAGACCAATGAGGGAGAAGAAACAAAAAACGGCAGTCCTGAAGAGAAACGATTGGAGGAGAGCGAGAAAAGTGACACCCCTCCAGTCCAATCAGAGCCATCAGCCAATCAAGCACCGCCACCTACTAAGCAATGTGAGCAGCCAGCCAATCAGACACCTTCAGGTGAGGATTTTTCACCATGACAGTAATGATTCTCACTCACTTAAGCTGCAGTCACACTACAGTTTGAGCATGTAAAGTTCTGTAGTACGGTGCTATGAAAAGGGGCGGTATTAAACAAAATGATTAGACATTAAAAAAGCGAACGATTTCTCAATATTTTTAATATCTGTCCAGAGAACTCATGTTTTGATCTTCAATTGGTCTTACGCAATCATGTGATGCAATTTCGCCGGTCAGAGTTCACGAAGCTTGAACTTTCCAACACAGCAAACGGCGAAACTTGTTTCACAAGCTTGCATTTCTGCTTTGCCACATTCGCATGTGTATGAATGGAAGTCTATGGGGAGAAAAATCCTGTGTGACTGCGGCTTTACTTACTTTTTCAGTAGCTTATACCTTCTTCTTTATTAACACCAATTAATAATGCTTCTTTAAAGTATTATTCCCTATAATGAAAGTTTCAAATGATTGCTTTTCTTATAGACTGTGGTAAAGGAAAAGAGACTTCTCCAGAAAGAGGGGAAACTAAACCCAGCCCTCCAAAAACAGAGGATAAGGAACAAAAACCAGGTCAGTGTTTGTGGTTTTTATGATACTTCAGTTAACATAATAAAATATTTTTCAAATCCATTTTATCTACAGATTGGCATTTTAAAAAATACATTTTGCAAAAAAAGGAATACAAAAATGGTCAATAAATATTACATCTTATCAAATATTACAATAAAACATTACAAAAACATACAAAACCCTATGACCAAAATTTGTGTACAGATTCAAATCATGCAATGTGATTTTTTTTGTATTTTTTTTTTTATTAAAAATTCTAAACAGATCAAAATGTATAAATAATATAATATAATATAATATAACATAACATAATATAATTAATATAATATAATATAATATAATATAATATAATATAATATAATATAATATAATATAATATAATATAATATAATATAATATAATATAATAATATATTTTAAATTAAATTAAATTAAATCTACTTTCTTTCAAACGATGACATTTCTGTAGCCATTCCTGATGATGTAAAATCTGAAGACCCTCCTGAAAACCAAGTGAATGGAGAGAAAGATGTAAGAGATGAGACGGACGAGGGCCACAGAGATGACAAGAGCAGCATCAAAACTCGCTTCATGTTCAACATTGCAGATGGAGGATTCACAGGTGAGTTACAGTCTTATTAATGTCGTTTTTGACAGGCAAATCAACACATGGGCGAGTAGTGTATCACATATTTAGGATCTTTAGGAGTGATTTTTAGCAGAAATAAAGAAGTATGCATGGATGTGCATGAGTGTTTATGTGTGTTCAGAGTTGCACACGCTATGGCAGAATGAGGAACGCGCAGCTGTGTCATCTGGCAAAATATACGACATCTGGCATCGTCGCCATGACTACTGGCTGCTGGCTGGCATCGTAACGTATCCTAATTCTTCTTTCCATAGCACTTTTGAGCTGTCTTAATATCGCTTTAATCATGTTTGTTATCTTACTGTAATTTCGCTTGTGCTGTTTTTGTTGTTTCTTTTACGGTTTCTTTTTGTCAGTGTCATTATATACAGTGCTCAGAATAATTGAGTACACGCCATATTTTGATCCATTTCTCAGTGAATATAGGCAGTGTATTTTGGTGCATTTAAATAAAACAGAATTATTAAACAGATATATTTATTAAAATTATATTTTAGTCACCAAGCATATTTAGAAATTAAAAGAAAATACAATTAAATTCAAGCAAAAAATTGCAAAAAATTATAATTACAACCTACAAAATTTCAACTAAATTAAATTTTTTGCTTCTCTTGATGTTTTCTCTTTTTAAAACTTGTGGTTAATATTTTTCTATAACATATACATTTGGGTGTAACACAACACAAAAACAGTATAGTTTTTGGACCGTTATTGTAAGTTATTTTGTTAGATAAGCTCCAGATTTGGCTTCATATAAATTTAAAAGGTAGATTTGTGAGGGGTGTACTTATATATGCTGGGCATTGTAGTTGTGAACATTGATAAGTGTAAATTTTGAATTAGACCAGCAGAAAAAAAAAAACAAAAAAAAACAAAGCAAGAATTAATGAAAAAAAAATTTTTATTTTAACTTGCAATCATGAACAAAAACATTAAAATAAGTGTGTAACCTGTTGAAAAAATTGGGTCAGGATGGTGTTGTGAATACTTTAAAAAATCACTAATAATAATAATAATAATAATAATAATAATAATAATAATAATAATAATAACAATAATATTATTAATAATAATAATAATAATATCAGTTTTTTAAGTTAATATATGATGAAATAAAATGTAATTAACTAAAAGACATTTTTGTAATTATTATTTGCAGTCTTCAGTTTTCCAATTATGCTGTTTTTACTCATTTAAAGTTTGAGAATTATATTTATTGTTATATTTATTATTATAAAATAACAAAATAGTATTTATTATTTAGTATTTATAGTTATGGGCGCCACGGTCGTGCTGTCGCCCAACAGCAAGAATGTTGCTAATTAGAGCCCTGGTTGAGTCAGTTGGTATTTCTGTGTGGAGTTTGCATGTTGTCCCTGTTTTCGCATGGGTTTCCTTCAGCTGCACTGGTTTCCCCCACAAGTCCAAGGACATGCGTTGAATTGAATAAAGCTAAAGTTTTTGTAATGAATGTGTCTATGTCCTGGGGCCTCATGTACGAAGACTTGCGTGGAAATCTTACTAAAACATTGCGTACGCACAAAGCTGTAAATGTGCGTACGCAGAAAAAATTTCAGATGTATGAAACACTGCGTACGCCGAATCTCACGCATATTCTTTTGTACATCCGAATGAACGTGAAACTGAGCGCAACATGCACGAGCACAAAACCCCTCCCTGCCTCCTCCCCCGTATGAATATGCTAATGACTATGCTAATGGCAAAACCCAACGAAAAAGCAACGGCAAAATCAAACAAAAAGAGAAACTTTGAACAGAATGTGAATTGGAGGTGCTGCTTTCGGAGGTAGAACGGAGAAAAGCGGTGTTATTTGCAAGTTTGTTCTCCGGAATTAACAACAAAAGAAAAAAATAGAGTGGGAGAGTTTAGCTGATACGGTTAACACAGTTGGGTCTGAACATCGCACTGAGTGCATTTACAAAAGAAATAGTGTGGTTTATATCTGTAAACTGTTGCAGTACCCTTAGCAGTCTCAGTGGCGCACCTCATAAGAAGCATATGATCATATACTGACACGTTCGAGCACAAACTCGGTTCGAATCCAGCGTCTGATGAATACTTTCTTCTTTTTTTCCCGCTACATATCAGATTTTGCCCACTATTTATCACGAGAAAGACAAGTAGGAATCATTAATAAGTTTGTGCATCATATTTTATTTGCACATTTATTGAATGGAAATGTTTCTGATTCACGCATGCAAATTTATCTTCAGATAGTGTCTTTATAGCAATGTGCGTGCAGTAGATAGCTCAGATTACATTGGGAAAACAGGCGACCGCTGCAAATTGTGCTTTAATGTTTAGCTGCTCAACTGTATGGTATGGAAATCTTACATACCTACTATATGAACCCGTCTCATACAGCTGCCATTGCAAGGATCAGACACTTTGTAGAGAAGAATTTAACACAACTGCCTCTAGGAGTCGCCAATGGAAATAAAACAGACACGCACAAAAAATGTGCGTACGCCTGCCAGAAAGCTGCCGTGAAGGTGCGCACATTCCCACGTTCAGTTCATTGTTAGTAAATCCAAACGTGAGCGATTCTGAGCGTGAAACCTGGCGTACGCAAAGTTTTTGTGCGTACGCAGCGTTGATACATGAGGCCCCTGGTCCTCCAGGTTAGGGGTTGGGCTTTGGGCTAACAACCCACCTTGTAAAAATTAAATGTTACGAAACACCAACATGGTGCGACTAAATATCAACTTAGATATATACGGCCCTGGTAGTAAGTATTTATAGTTCTAAATATATTCTTGTGGAGACTGTAATACATTTATATTAGAATTTATTGATAAAAAAGAACAGTGCAATTGATGAGACCATGGTCTCAAAGTATATATCTAACTAGTCTAAAAAGTACAGAATTTATTTTAAAAACCAAATATTGCCCAATATTGTTGTTTTGTGTGTTTTTTCCAATACAAAATAAATCTCAACCATTTCAGTTGTTGTGTGCTTCATTACAATTTTATCTAAAACCATTGCAATATATGAGTTTATATACAAATCCTTAACCTGGTGCTCTCAGACATGGTTATGCCCGCTGGCAGGACATTCAGAATGACCCACGTTATGCCATCCTCAATGAGCCTTTCAAGACTGAAATGCATAAAGGGAACTACTTAGAAATGAAGAACAAGTTCCTTGCCAGACGCTTTAAGGTACAAGTTTTCCTGTACCTATGTTTTGTTTTAGCCAATTAAAAACATAGCCTTTTAAATTCGCATGTTTTACCTTCATGATTTAGCTACTGGAACAAGCTTTGGTCATCGAGGAGCAGCTCCGGCGTGCGGCGTACCTGAACATGACTCAGGACCCCAGTCATCCTGCCATGGCCCTCAACACACGTTTTGCAGAAGTGGAGTGTCTGGCCGAGTCTCATCAGCACCTCTCCAAAGAGTCTCTGGCTGGTAACAAGCCAGCCAATGCAGTGCTGCACAAAGGTGATTTCAAATATAATAAAATATACAATAAATAAAAGTTTGGAACTTGTTAAGGTCTTTAGATGAGGGTTGATGTTAGGTTTACATGTTTTATCTAGAATATATGTTTTATTCAGTACTAAATGAGCAGATCTATTTTGTAAAAAATGTTCTAAGGTGAACTTCTGTCCTGTTTTGACTGAACTCCCCATTTGAATTGATATGATGTATTGTGGAGACTTAGAAGTAAACACCCCCTCATGCTATTGGCTAACAGTTTTGGATATTTAAATAGTTTTTTTTTTGAAAGTTTAAAAGGACAGATGTGTACCCACTGACAGTTTACATCCTCCATAAATAGACTGATTTGATTTAGGCTACAAACACTTGTTTTGACAAACAAACAAAAAGACAAAGCAATAATTACCTGCAATAACTTTAATAATTAGCTGTAATAATAGTTTTCAGTCTTTTTAAAAACCAATGTCTACTTGTGTCTAAATTTTAAACAAACCAGTGGTAAAAAAAAATGATTGTGAACAAAGGACCAAGTTCTTACTGACGTGCTCTAAATCTTAATTAAAATAAAGTTCATCCACTCTTTCTTGATATTTGTAATCAAGAGGAAGGTAATTCAAAGACTTCTTTTTCCACAACATAAAACTGAACAGCAGCTTGACGTGTCTTTAGAGCATCTTTATAGTTTGGTTTCTGCATATTTAGACCTGCATTTACCTCTCTTGTTATTTACCTACTACAGCTTAAAGTTCAGCCAGAAATGAAAATTCATTTATTCTCTCTCATGTGGTTTAAACCTTTATGAGTTCTTTCTTGAGTTGAACGCAAAAGAAGATATTTTGAGGAATGCTGGATATTGGTTATAATGTTGACTAGAAAATTGTGGAATTTAATATGTGTCAGATTCTTCAGAATATATTATTTTGTCTTCAATAGAAGAAAGCATCTAAAATAGATTTTCAACAAATAAAGGATAAGTAAATGATGTCATGAATTGTGGGTGGAGCTAAACATGCAGTGATGTAGAAGTGTGCTTTGATCTTATGTGGAGTCATGTGGATAAAGTAGCACATTTCACAATCTGTCATCATTGCAAATGCAATGCAATCTAATTGAATTTGCATTGTAACATTAAATGAAAGTTAATAAGGTGTTACATTTTATTTCCCATATTAAGCTTTTATTTATGATACTCCCAAAATCATTCTGCATAAATCCACAGATTTTTAACACAGTTCTGCACAGAAATAGCAAAAATGTCTGCAGATTCCGCCTGGCCCTACTGATCACTAACCAATCACTGCGTTATAATAATAAATAATAATAATACATTAAATTTAATTTGTATAGCACACTCTGCATTTACTGTATTCTGGAGAATATACTTTTGTTTTAACTATGCTTTAAATACAGCATGTTTATAGTTTTGTTGTATACTACTGTATGCAACAGTAATGATTATTTTATGTTTCTTCATGTCAATGTTTACAATGTACCTGTTATTCCTCTCAGCAGATAACTGTGGCTGTAGAACATTGCATCGAATTGTAGATATAAGCCTACACTGTAAAAGGTGATTAGTTACTTAAAGCCAGCAAACCAATTGCCTTGACAAAAACCACTTGACTTTTTTTTTTTTTTACAAAACTAATGTAAGTAAACCTATTGTAACTTGGAACTGTTAAGCTGACTTAATTTTTATAATTATGCAAGTTGTATTCACTTTTAAAAAAATAATCACAACTAATCAACGAATCACGTTTTCCAATACACATTAATTATATATATATATATATATATATATATATATATATATATATATATATATATATATATATATTTTTTTTTTTTTTTTTTTTTTTTCAGCTTTTCTGTATCTAGCAAAATGACTGTAACTAAAATAATCTGCTCTTCCAGACTCCAGTGCGTTTTCTAAATTCAATGCAGACTATGATTGTCAACTTTTTATAGACTTAATAAGGTACCAAATATGTAATATTTTAATAATTTCAGTAATTATTTAAAAACAGACGTGCGAAAATAGTCTGACACTGTAAAAAAGGATTAACTTTAAAAAAAGTAAGTACAATAAGCATAATTATAAACATTAGGTCAGCTTAACAGTTGCAAGTTACAATGGGTTTACTTACATTATTTTTGTAAAGGCAACTTTTTGCTTTTAATGCAATTAGTTTAGTCACTTTAAGTGACTAATCACTTTTTACAGTGTATGAAAGAGCAAAGAGCTTTACATTTAGAACATGTTAACATGGTGTACCCAAACATTTACTATTATAAAAGAAGTGTTTGCCATTTGTTGCAAATGCTTTATTCTTACACATCTTTATGGCATTTTCAATGCAGTGTTACATTTTGAAGCAGATGTAAGGCATTTTGCATCTTGTGTGTACAGTTTTGAGAACTGTATGTAGAGTTTTGAAAAAAGACACTTGTTTTGACACCTGTTTTGATTGCTTTTTGCACCTTGCTTTAATTGATTGAGTTGATGTTGTTTCAGTGTTAAATCAGCTGGAGGAGTTGTTAAGTGATATGAAGGCGGATGTGACGCGTTTGCCCTCCATGCTTTCGCGGGTGCCACCAGTGTCCGCGCGGCTCCAGATGTCAGAGCGGGGCATCCTCAGCAGACTCACCAGCCGGGGCAATGAGCCGCCACCTCAGCAGGTGACACGTCTCCTGCCATATGTGTGGTCCATACATGATGAATAATAGATGGGCCTCATGTGGATCAACCTTCATGTAAGAATGTTCCGTTTTATCTTCCCTCAGCCTTTCCCTCAGGGCTCTTTCGGCTGTTCTCAGATGTATAATAGCAGTTTCGCCGGAGGGTTTCGTGGACCTGGAGGCACCGCCATGGTGAACTATAGCCAGATGCCCCTGGGGCCGTACGTCAGTGGTTAGTGACCTACATTAGTCTTGACATGGAGAGCATGCAGTAATCAAAAACTCACCAGTTGAGTTAAAGGGGCAGTTCACCGAAAAAAGAACATTCTATCATCATTTACTCTCTCATATCTTTTCGAAGATACTTTCTTTGGCAGGCAGAATGTCCAAACAATGAAAGTCAATAAGACCTAAATTGTTTTGACTGATTTTGTGCAATAATTTACTTTTTTTGTTATGCTAAAGTAAGTCTCAAAAGGTATCTAAAGGGTTACTAAATTATGTATGTAATGTAATGTTATGTGTATTTATATAGCGCATTTATTGTGTTTGGCCATACACCCAAAGTGCTTCACAATCATGAAGCTATAAGTGGAGTGGAGAGACGGTGATAGAGCCAATTCAGTGGATGGGGATAATTGGGAGGCCATGATGGTTAAGGGCTGAGAGGGAATTTGGCCAGGACACCAGTACTCTTTACAAGAAGTGCCATGGGATTTTTAATGACCACAGAGAGGCAGGACCTCGGTTTAACGTCTCATCCGAAAGACGGCACCCACTGACAGTATACTTTCCCCTTCACTTTTACTTGGGCATTAGGACTCACACAGACCACAGGTTGAGCGCCTCCTGCTGGCCTCACTAACACCGCTTTCAACAGCAACCCAGTTTTTCCATGTGGTCTCCCATCCAGGTACTGACCAGGCTCAGCCCTGCTTAGCTTCACCGGTCTTGGGCTGCAGGGCAATATGGCTGTGATAATGCTGTAAGGGCATCTGCTGTGTAAAACGAATGCCGGAATAGTTAATGGTTCATTCCGCTGTGTCAATCCCTGATGAATATGGGAATTAATCATTTAATTAATAAATGATGATGGAATGATTTGGGTGAACTGTTTCTTTAAGTCAGAGAGTCTTTATTTCATATAAAACAAATTGCATCAAATCAGCTTTATGGGCAAACTTATAGAATTAATTAGTATTTAGTAAATAGAATGTTTAACAGTGTGTTAGTTACAGTATGTTTCATCAACAGTACTAATCATCTTAAATGCTGTATTAAAACATATCTAGTGTCTTTTAGCCAGACTTTATGACTTCAATTTTACATTATAATATATTATAATATAGTCCAAGAATCAACCACTTAGAAAATAACTGACCAAATGATCTGACTAACAAGAAAATCATCCAAACACAGTTGGTTTGTGCATCCTGAATTTACATTGTAGTTGAGAAATCTGAGATACTTTCCGTGATCTGTGGACTTTTAACAAAAACTAATAAAACATTTGTTATTGTACTAATAAAATTGTTGTCCACTCTATAAATAAAGCTGAAAAGAAATGACATGATAGGTGAAAACGAAAATGGAGCATTTTTATTCATCGGCTGATTTTTAAAATGGAATCCAGTAAAATACAGCTGGAATAAAAATCTATTCAAGATGCTAAATTTCAATCAAAACTATAGATATAAAAAAGCTAATTAACATGAATAAATACTTATTAAAAGATGAGATGACTGATTTTGGTGTCTGCATCCTTAAATATTTGCAAAAATTATTGTATATATAGAGAAAACATATTTTATTATTTGCAAGATAAGTCTCTATTTTTTTTTTGTTGATGAATTTAAATGTCAAAATATGGGTGAAAGAATGATCCATCATCATTCAGCATGAGGTATATTTATGCCGAAATGAAACAACATATTTATTCTAACCTGTACTTATTAAATACATATTTTAAAATGCAGACAAATATTTCAAACCTAGTTGTTGCAGGACAGTGGAATGTACATTTTAAGTACATTTTTGAGTCTTTTAATATGTCGTCAATTGGTTCTGAATACGAATCTGAAACAATTTTTTGATACTGTACTGTATATCAAAGGTGTCAAATCCAGTTCTTGGAGGGCCACAGCTCTGCACAGTTTAGCTTTAACCCTAATTAAACACACCTGATCGACCTAATTGAATGCTTGGCTGTTTCTCAATATGTGTTCTTCAGCGATCTTGCGTCCTCGTATTCTTGTGTAGCATCATCATCAACTGCCAAAGTTTAGTTCCAAAACTCAAGACCACAAGAACGGAGGACTTATGAAAGTTCCCAGATGTATTCTTAATATGTGTTGAGGATGCACCGATGCAGACTTGAGGAGACTTGAACAGTCTCAAAAGTCATTGTGACTGAATAAAGGAGGTGGGAAGTGCAGTATTCTATACCTGTTCATTATTAAAGTTCAGAAATAAAACCTTTTAAACTCAAGAGTTTCTCTAAATGAGACGGTAAAAGTAAACATCACCATGAAAATCGTAATAAAGGCATTAAGGGTATTGAATTTCCTATTAAATTTAGTTTTATTTGCGTTTTAAAAGTATTTTGTGCATGTTATATACATTGAAAAGAAAAAAAAAATCAATAAAATGTTGTATGAATGCTGTAATGTTTAAATAACTTTCCATTAAAAACACGTAAAGGTCATGTGACCATCAGAAAGAATGGAGCTTCTCCTTTCTCACAGGACACATTCTCTATTCTCACGGTATCCTGAGTTTGTTCTTCCGAGGTGACCTGGCAAGACCAGTTTCTGCGAGTAAGCTAGTCTGTTCGTTGTGTTCTTGGAATTGAGAAACAGCCCATCAGTCTTATTTTAAACATCCAGGTTAATGTATCGAAGCAGGGTTGGAACTAAACTGTGCAAGGCTGCAGCCCTACAGGAACTGTGTTTGACAGCCCTGCTGTACATAAACATTAACATTGAATGACATTTTAGTGTGTCTTCTGTACATGATGGTTAAAAATAGGTCACACTTGATGGTCTGTTTGTTGAACTTAATTTACATTGCATCTACATGCCAACTAATTCTCATTAGATTATGAGTAGACTGTTAGGTTGGAGTTAGGGTTATTGTAAGTTGACATGTAATTGCAAAGTTTCTTATAGTCAGCTAAATGTCTGTTGAAGGAGCAATATCAACAGATATTAAGCAGACTGTCAACTAATACTCAAATAGACCATTAAAATAAAGTGTTACCAATAAAAATTGTATTTATTTTTTGCTTATAAAAAAAACAGGAGTATTGCATACAAACTGTACTAAAAATCACTTTTCTTTCTGATCACTAAGGAAATAAACAAATGGGGTGACTATGAAGTATAATTTCTCCTTTTTTTACTTTTCTATCTTCTTCAGTTTCCTCAAACGGGCCTCCTGCCCCTACCAGCCTCCTGGAGAAGAAGTCGAGTGACGTCCTGCGAGATGTGGTAACCCCTGATTTAAAATCAGGCAAACCCAGTGATGTTATATGCATCGAGGACTAGCCTGTGGATGCTCCATCCTGTTAATGTACAGTTTAAAACCTACAGACAGAATGCTGGAGGAAGAAATAATAAACAGCGAACCTTATCAGTTGCACTTTTGTCTTTCAGAATCTGTACTTGTACGCGCCTGTAAGTTTTATTCAGTAGATTTAAGTTTCGTTCATTCTTAAAAAAAAAAGGAAAAAAAAAACAGCGATACAAAAGTGTTAATCGATTAAGGAGAGGCTGAGGACGCTACTGAAAGAGGGCATCATTGTCCTGACAGTCCTCTGAGCTTTGTTTTTTTAATTATTGTTATAATTTTTTTACATCATGGCTTCTGTTTCTTAGTGGCCATGAGGGACATTTGGATCTCTGCTAACGCTGAGCCGTCTGGAGGTGCTAGGGGTTTCTGGCCAGCTGAAGGACCTCTGCTTTTGCTCCTGGCTCTGCTCATGAATGATGTGCTGTTGCTGCCCCTGCAGGTTATTGCTGTGTAGTGCATCTAAACACAGAATAGTGCAATGACTGACATATTCTCTGGAAAACCTCAGATGATTTTGCATTGTCACCACTTATGTATGCTTTCAGAACTGTACTAGGTTGTGTTTCCAGTTTACATTACTAGAAAAGGAAAAGAGTGTTGATGAAAGCTAAAGATGCTCCCAGTAATGAAATAATCTTAATAATTAAAAGGTTTTTCCCTCAGTAACACATTTGCTTAGACACAGTGTTGAAATGCCAATCAAAAGCAAGTTTTGTAGTATACAAAATTAACTGTAAGATTTCAAAATTCAAAATTGTCCTTTGCACACAAAAAATAATGTTTTTTTTTAACTGCAGTGTCTTGCATAACAAATTCAGTACAATCAAAAGTATTAGTAGCCTATTAGAAGCTCAATTTAGAAGGAGCTGGGCTCACTCATGTGAGATCACATGACCTGCATGCCTAATAAATATTCACTAGTACAAAAATATAGCACTTTTGAGTGGTCATATACAGTTGAAGAATTATTAGCCCCCCTTTCGAATTTTCTTTTCTTTTTTAAATATTTCCCGAACGATCCAGAAAAACACAAACAAAAAGTGCTCTGGGGTAAGCTCAAATGTATGGTCGGTGCTCTTTGGGTAAGGGATTCATCAAAACAGCAACAAGAATCAGTCCAAGGCACTCGAATAAAGTGGAAAAAAAAAAAACTTTTTTCACTTTATTCGAGTGCCTTGGACTGATTCTTGTTGCTATTTCCCGAATGATGTTTAACAGAGCATCAGACATTTTCACAGTATGTCTGATAATATTTTTACTTATGGAGAAAGTCTTATTTGTTTAATTTGGCTAAAATAAAAACAGTTTTGACACCATTTTAAGGACAAAATTATTAGCCCCTTTAAGCAATTTTTTTCGATAGTCTACAGAACAAACCATCGTTATTAAATAACTTGCCTAATTACTCTGCTTAGTTAACCTAGTTAAACCTTTACATGTCACTTTAAGCAGTATAGAAAAGTCTTGAAAATATCTAGTGAAATATTATTTACTGTCATCATGACAAATATAAATAAATCAGTAATTAGAAATGAGTTATTAAAACTATTTTGTTTAGAAATGTGTTGAAAAAATCTCTCCGATAAACAGAAATTAGTGGAAAAAATAAACAGGGGGCTAATAATTCAAAAGGGTTAATAATTCTGACTTCAACTGTATATTGATGGCAGTTAGAATGTTTTCATGAACTGTGAGCTGATCAAATTAAGATTAGGATAAATTGTGACACACAATTTGAAAGGTATATATTTTATTTTAATGCAATGTGAACTTTATTAATGTGCTGTTGAATGCGAAAAAATATTGCGATGTCCCTCAATTTGTAAAACAATAATGCTTTTATAGCAGTTCATTTTGCAAGTGTATACAGAAACAAAATAAACATTAAAGTGTATCGCAGTTTTTTACACACTCCATCCACAAAAGTAGTTTGTTTTGTTTGATTTTACAAAGTGAGGGACCGGCTAAAAGTGCATTCTGTCAGTTAATCAATCAACAGCATGCCTGGAATATTTCTAGAAATGAATTTTTAATTTCTGGAACAGAGCGAGAGCTCAACAGGGATATCTGTGCGACATTTTCACCCTGTTCCATGTTCCTTGATGAGCTCTAATCAGTTTAAATTTGTAAACTTAATTTTGTATTACTATTATAATCACCATCATATCCTTCTATAGATGCATTTTACTTGACATTTTGTGAATTGCTGAAACTTGGACCCTACAGTAAGTGTGTCGGTTTACTAAGCCGAGCTTATAGATAGTATTGACATGATTGTTCTGGTGCCATAAGTGGTGTGGAGATGGATTGTTTTGTTTCAATTTGAAATGATATGCCTTGTGTTACTGTGTTTTTAAGCAGCGCACTTTATATGGAGATCGGACATGACCATAGAGACGGCCATTTCAAACGCAGTAGAAACCTCTTTTAATAACTTGTATATTCAGTTTCAGTCTGTGGTATTAGTCATGCTAATTAATGTAGATCAAGAGTTTTGTTTGTTTTCTGCATCTCGGCGGCTGAAGTGTCATGGCTGACCGTAAACGTGATCATAGCTTCTTTTGCAGTAGTTTTATCTTGGGGGTTCAAGACGATGAGGATGATTTTTGTGTAAACTATGAATGTGGAAAAAATGCAGTTAAATGTTCACACGCACACGCGCGCTACAGAAACCTCAAATGATTTCAATGAAACGCAAAGACAGTCTTGAGAGTCAAGGGAACTTGTACCCACGAGAGAGAGAGCCAGCAGCATAAAATGTGTTGTGAAATGAAGTTTTGTTTTTATCTTGTGTGAGGAGTTTACGCCATTTTCATTTGTACTTTTTAATCCGTGTTGATATTGCCATTGCGCTCCATTTAAATGCAATCAAACTGAAGCCAAAATGAATGTATGACGTATTTAAAAAAGCTTCAGTCTAATATTAGAAGTCTTTTCATTCAAGTACAAACTAGGCTTCAAAAGCTACCAAAAGACCCTGGTCAAGACAACTTTGTTGCCATGAACGCACAGCATGTGATTTGTCTTCAGACTACTTTGGACCAGAGAGATCTTTATCCTGGTTTCGAAACATCTACGAGCAAAACAAATATTGCTATTTTGCAGAGATAAGAATATGGAAAACATAAGTGAACTACCATCAACTCACTTTGTACTCAGTGTATTTGTTTTATGTGTTTTAATAAATCCCCTCCAATAAGAGTTAGGCTACGTTTCATTATTTCATTGTTTGCGTCCCATTCAAACGTTTTGGAATAATGGTTTAAAGTCTACATGAACAGGAACCTGCGACTGTTTTTTTGTTTTTGTTTTGTATTGCAATGTAGTCTCAGAGAAACTGAATATTAAATGAGTAAACAGTTGACGTGGCTTGTTTTTTCTACTGCAAGCTGATTGTAATGTAGGTATTTTTTTTCAGAAAGATCAGGAAAGGGTTTTAGAAAAGTTCTTACAACTGATTACAACCTAAGACACCTCCTCACCATTTCTGTTTAAACTGTTGCCAGATTTAGCTGACTTTTTCCAACCCAAAAGCTGTCCAAAACTTGCCCAAATGCACAAAAAAATTCAATATATAAGACTAATATTTTTATTAATTAATATTTATTTAAACCGAAATTAACTCGTTTTTTTTTTTAACTGTCATGATTTTTAAACCATACAGCAATCAACACCAGAGATCTGTTCTTTCGTACCTCGCTTAAACAATCTAAGATGATTTGACAGATACTGCATCTTTTAATCTTTATAACTGATCTCTGGCTTATTTGGTTTTTCAATTATGTTCGTGAATTAGAATAAAATTGTCTGGGTGAACTGATTTGAGTTCACTGAGTGTGTTGTGAAGGACAGATCTATGGATCTTTGAAATCAGGATCAGCAATGTAACGATTGGCCAACGGCACATGAGCGTAATGACATCATCTGATTAATATTCAATTATTCATGTGAGCAAAAGGACATAAAATTCTTAGTAAACGGTTTGTTGAATATGAAACGAAATATCTTTCCACGTGTTGTGGGCTGCAGGCTTAACACTTGTGTCAAGAGTATTTAGCAATTTATTTAGTTTTACCTTTAGAACAGAATTTTCTTTTTTACTTCAAACTGAAACTATATACTTTTTATTATTTTATTTTTTACTATTTTCCCAAGTGTTTATAACAACTACTGTAAGAAAATATCAGCATTTGGTACATACATTCACTGTTACCTTTGCTTGAAACGACCCGATCTAATCCTGTTTATATGAAATATTTTTGATGAAACAATCCTGTATTGTATCAAATCGTCAATAACCAAACCCAGCTAATTGAGTAATCCGTGTATGAAGAATGGACCCCAGCAGTCATAGAATCACAACATAATCGAATCATCACCTTCACATTGAAACACTGCCCCCCTCTCACTCGCACCCTGCACTTAATGTTGTGTAGATTACCTATTAGAGTCTGTTTTACATTCGTAATTGGGTATGAATTCGTCGAATTAGGTGTTAAATTGTTTTTTTTTACATAATTAGGTGCTGCTTTTTAGCAGATAATGCTTCTATGTTTGTTATTGTTTTCAATTGCGAAAAAAAATTATTTATAAAAGTGTTATAATAAACTGCTGTGAGTTTACTGCAGGTGCTGTGTGATGCGTGTGCACTCGAAGGAGTCAGATTTTGATACAACTTTCCTTCTCTTGTGGGTGATCACATGGTTTGCGCTATGAACTGGTCACTAACTGAATGAAGTAGGAGCACACAATTATGTTTCGTTAAATAAGTTGCATATCAAATTTACATTTCAAAACTGTTCAAATTTTGCCAACCCACCAATGCCATTTTTTACCCACACAAATTCAAAACCACCCAATCTGACAACACTGTTGTCAACACTGAAAGTTGGAGGGGTGTAGTTAAGAATGTTAGCCCACCCAATACCTGACAGACAGACATAATCTGAGAATCTAACTGGAAACAAACAGGAAGTGCATTTTCAGATTTTAATTTTAGATGACAAGGACAAACAATTCCTAATGCAATTCACATATTAATTGTTCACCACAAAACTATCAATGCGGGCTAACAAAATAAGGTTAGTTTTGATTTCATTTGTACTTTAAAGGAAATAAAAGGGAGGGGAGTGGGGGCACAGACTGGACTTTCTGGCGAAGAGCCTAGGGTTCGTTTCTGTGTGGAGTTTGCATTTTCTCAGAATGCAATGTGCTGTAATGACATTCCCATTCTCTAGTTGTACTTAGACGATGTTGCACTATTTACACAGCTGTGGTGAATATACATAGCATAGACATTTTACTGTCTTTTCTTTCTGTTAAACTTATAAAACTATTTCTAGATGTGCTGATGATCATAGAGAGTTGGAACAGATCTTTTAATTCCAGTTTCTTTGCAAGTCATGTTTTCTGAACATGTTTATAGGTGTTACTGCAGAGACATGTTAGTATGGACCTGTCACACAATTTGCTAGGTAGAGACAAACCACACTGTCACATTATTTCTAAGAAACATGCCAGCAGTAAAAAAGTTAAATGGTTTCAATAATACTGCAACAATTGAAATGATTGCACACTTTACCCAATTGGATTTACAAGCCATTCATACAGACATCCCAAGCCTTCGCGAAAGATAGCCTGGAAAGAGTCACCCACAACCTATGAAAGTGATACAGCACACACCAATTAATAATAAAAAATTTTAAACTTTAAGTGTTACCTATTGGTCTGCTTTTAGCTGTGGTATGCAGTGAGCAAAATGGAGGTTAGGTGCTTTACTTAAGGGCAAGTTAGACAGCACTTTGTTAGAGATAAATCACTTCCACCAAGTCTGGGAATCAAACATACAACCTCTGGCTTACAAGTTTAGCTCTAACCATTAGGAACAAATGCATTCTAGAGTTGTAAACTAACAAATACAGTAACTGACCACTGAATAGCAACAGAAAGAGGAGCTTTTGGTTTACCACTGGCAATTAAGTTGTTGCACCTACTGGTAAACCAACCAACCTGCTTTAGACCACAAATAGATGGACAAAACCAGCACATTACATTTAATTTACAACCAACTTTTGAAGCAGAGCATTCTTGAAACAGACATGTCCCACCACAATTCAAATTTGCCTTCTCTGAACATTAAGAAAATATTTTCAAAAAGGTTTAATAAATGCAGTGTATTTGAGGAAAAAAATAAATAAAAAAAATTCTGGGAATGCCAAAACCTCGGTTTGTAAAATGGGTCTTATTCCATTTAAACTAAAACTTGACTAATACACACCATAGACTCTGGCATGGAGACCAAGAGCACTTTAAACGAAAAGAGGGAAAAAAAAACCCCACAAAAGCAACATGTATTTTTTAGTGAAATTTTATTTTAAAACAGAACAAATCAAGCAATGCAGTTATGACTTCACCTGCTGCAACAACCTTGACATGCTGTAAGGAACACGCTTCGGAGTAGTCTGGAACTGAAGTTGCAATGGATCCAGAAAGCCAGGCTGGAAAACAGACTCATAGGTTGAGGCTTCTGATTGACCTTGTGCTGACTGCTGGTCACTGATGCGCGAGTCATACTGGTATGTAGCAGGTGTCAGCTGTGCAGTATTAGGCTGGGACATAGACTGGAACCAGGTTGGTGTTGACTGCAGACCACTGGATTGGGGAACAGACTGATAGCTGACTTGTGCTGACTGTGAACCACTGGGTGAGGGCAAAGACTGGTACCAGGTTTGAGCTGACTGCAGTCCACTGGGTCTGGGAACAGACAAATAGCTAACTTGTGCCAACTGTGGACCACTGGGTGAGGGCACAGTCTGGTACCATGCTTGTGCTGACTGTGGACCACTGGGTTGGGTGATAGACTGGTAGCTGGCTTGTGGGGACTGCAGATTAGTAGACTGGGGGACTGATGGGTAACGAGCTAGTGCTGCAAGTAAGCCACTAGCTGTGGACACCGACTGGTAGCTGGGTTGCCCTGACATTTGGCCACTGGGTTGGGTCACAGACTGGAAGCTAGCTGATGACTGCAGACCACCAGGTACGGGCAAAGACTGGTACCAGGCTTGTGATGACTGTGGACCACTGGGTTGTTGGACAGTTTGGTAGCTGGATTGTGATGACTGCAGACTACTAGATTGGGGGGCTGACGGGTAACGACCTAATGCTGCAAGTAAACCACTAGATGAGGACTGGTAGCTGACTCGTCCTGACTGTGGACCACTGGGTTGGGAGACAGACTGGTAGGTTGCTTGTAATGACTGCAGACCACTTGGTGAGGGCACAGACTGGTACCAGGCTTGCGCTGACTGTGGACCACTTGGTTGTGGGACAGACTGGTAGTTGGATTGTGATGACTGCAGACTACTGGACTGGGGGATTGACTGATAACGAGCCAGTGCTGCAAGTAAACCACTAGCTGTGGATGCAGATTGGTAGCTAGGTTTTCCTGACTGTGGACCACTGGGTTGGGGAAAAGACTGGTAGCTGGCTTGTCCTGACTGCAGACCAGTGGGTAAGGGCACAGCCTGATAGCGGACTGGGACCGACTGCAAACCACTGGGTTGTGGGACAGACTGACTACTGGGCTGTGGCACATACTGAAAGCTAGCTTGTACAGATTGCATGGCACTGGGCTGGGACACAGGCTGGTCGCTGGTTTGGGATGTTGGCACACTACTGGGCTGAGGCTCAGGCTGGCCACTGGTTTGGGAGGGCAAACTACTGGGCTCAGGCGGGGAATCAGTTGGTACTGACTGGGTTGCACTGGGCTGGGATACAGATGTGTCACTTGGCTGGCATGCACACTGGTAGCTGGCTTGTGATGTCTGACTACTAGGATCAGACACAGAAGGGCCACTAGGCTGGCATGAACACTGGTAGCTGCCTTGTGGTGACCCACTGGACTGGGACACAGATGGGTATCTAACCTGTGCAGAAACCAGGGTACTAGTCTGAGACTGGGGACTACTGGGTTGGGACACAGATGGGGAAGGAACTTGTGCTGAAACCAAGGTAATAGGCTGGGATGGAGACTGGTTGAGGGCTTGTGCAGACTGTAGAATACCAGGCTGGGACACAGATGAGCTACTGGGCTGGCATGCACACTGGTAGTTGGTTTGTGATGACATCTGGCCATTGGGCTGGCATGCACACTGGTAGCTGGCTTGTGCCGGCTGTTGTCCAATAGGCTGGGACAGAGACGGGCTACTGGGCTGGCATGCACACTGGTAGCTGGATGGGATTGATGGCTGACCATTGGGCTGGGACACTGACGGGCCACTGGGCTGGCATGCACACTGGTAGCTGGCTTGTGCAAACTGCGGTCCTTTGGATGGAGACATAGTTGGATAACGAACTTGCGCTGAAACCAAGATACTAGACTGGGTCAGGGACTGGTAGAAGGCTTTTGCTGACTGCAGACTACTGGGCTGACATGCACACTGGTAACTGGCTGGTCCTGATGACTGGCTACCAAGCTGGCATGAACACTGATATCCAGATTGTGCTGACTGCGGTCCACTAAGTTGAAACATAGATGGGGAAGGAACTTGTGCCGAAACCAGGGTAATAGGCTGGGATGGAGACTGATTGAGGGCTTGTGCCGGCTGTAGAATACCAGGCTGAGACACAGATGAGCTACTGGGCTGGCACACACACTGGTAGTTGGTTTGTGCTGACTGCTGGCCAGTGGGCTGGGAGACAGATGGGTCACTGGGCTGGCATGCACACTGGTAGCTGGCTTGTGCAGACTGTGGTCCAATAGGCTGGGACAAAGACGGGCCACTGGGCTGGCATGCACACTGGTAGCTGGATGGGATTGATGGCTGACCACTGGGCTGGGACACTGACGGGCCACTGGGCTGGCATGCACACTGGTAGCTGGCTTGTGCAAACTGCGGTCCTTTGGATGGAGATACAGTTGGATAACGAACTTGTGCTGAAACCAAGATACTAGACTGGGTCAGAGACTGGTAGAAGGCTTTTGCTGACTGCAGACTACTGGGCTGACATGCACACTGGTAACTGGCTGGTCCTGATGACTGGCTACCAAGCTGGCATGAACACTGATATCCAGATTGTGCAGACTGCGGTCCATTAGTTTGGGACATAGATGGGGAAGGAACTTGTGCAGAAACCAAGGTAATAGGCTGGGATGGAGACTGGTTGAGGGCTGGTGCTGACATCAAAATACCAGGCTGGGAGACAGATGAGCTACTTGGCTGGCATGCACACTGGTAGTTGGTTTGTGATGACTGCTGTCCATTGGGCTGGCATGCACACTGGTAGCTGGCTTGTGCCTGCTGTGGTCCAATAGGCTGGGACAGAGACGGGCTACTGGGCTGGCATGCACACTGGTAGCTGGATGGGATTGATGGCTGACCATTGGGCTGGGACACTGACAGGCCACTGGGCTGGCATGCACACTGGTAGCTGGCTTGTGCAAACTGAGGTCCTTTAGATGGAGACATAGTTGGATAGCGAACTTGCGCTGAAACAAAGATACTAGACTGGGTCAGAGACTGGTAGAAGGCTTTTGCTGACTGCAGAGTACTGGGTTGACATGCACACTGGTAACTGGCTGGTCCTGATGGCTGGCCACTAAGCTGGCACGAACATTGGTACCCAGATTGTGCTGACTGTGGTCCATAAGTTTGGGACACAGATGTGAAAGGAACTTGTGCTGAAACCAAGGTAATGGGCTGGGATGGAGACTGGTTGAGGGCTTGTGCTGACTGCAAAATACCAGGCTGGGCCACAAAGGAGCTACTGGGCTGGCACGCACACTGGTAGTTGGTTTGTGATGACTGCTGGGCATTGGGCTGGAAGACAGATGGGTCACTGGGCTGGCATGCACACTGGTAGCTGGCTTGTGCCGACTGTGGTCCAACAGGCTGGGACAAAGATGGGCTACTGGGTTGGCATGCACACTGGTAGCCAAGTGGTGCTGATGACTGTCCAGTGGTCTTGGACATTGACGGGACAACAGGCTGGCATGCACACTGGTAGTTGGCTTGGGTTGACTGCGGCTCATTGGATTGGGACATCACCATAACTTGTGCTGAAACCAAGGTAGCAGACTGGGACAGAAACTGGGCTTGTGTAGACGTCAGCCTACTGGGCTGGCATGCACACTGGTAGCTGGCTTGTGCGGACTGCAAGCCAATGGGCTGGCATGCACACTGGTAGCTGGGTTGGACCGACTGAGATACACTGGATTGGTATTTTTTATTTGCCGACTGCAGACCACTGGGCTGGGACAAAGACTGGTACCAAGATTGTGCGGATTGTATACTACTGACTTGGGGCACAGACTGGTATGTGGCTTGTGGGAACTGCCAAGCACCAGGTTGGAGCACAGGATGACGAGCTGGTTCAAATTGCATACCAATGGGCTGGGACACAAACGGGTACCAGGCTTGTGCTGACTGTAGACCAATAGATTGAGGGTCAGATTGAGAGCTGGTTAGGATTGGCTGATTGACATTTTGCAGTCTTAAGGGCACATTGCTGGCTTGGTTTGGCTGCTGGGCCAAAGACTGGTAAATGGCTTGAACAGATTGGTGGCTTGTTGGTGCTGACAGGCTAATAGGCTGGGCAACAGATGCAGAGCTGGCTTGGACTGGTTGAATATCGGACTGGTCAACCAGTGGTGAGCTGGCCTCAGTTGGTTGCTGCATGTCAGGTTGTGACTCACTACTAGTCTGCAGTGACGCTGAAGTGGGTAGAGACTCATTGCTTCCTGTTGTATCGACCTCAGTGGACACAGAACTAGAAACAAGACTTTCACTATTGACTGAAGATACAGGAGTGCCTTGGGGTTGACCTCTAGTATTGGACACAGAATCAGGCTTATTTAAATTGGGCACCACGCCAAAACCTGAAGAGCCAGTTTGAGGATTATAGCTTGCACTGTCATATACACCTTTAACTGAAGTGTAGGTCATATTGTTGGGTATTAGAGGCCCAGTGAAACCTCCTTGGTCATACAGATTCCATGGTCTAAGCCCATCCATCATGGGAAATCCAACATTATAAGACCCAGGATAAGGTTCACTGCCATAAACTACAAAAGAATTAAAAATAAGTCAATCCTAGTCACAGGGAAAAACTTAAACCATGATTGGATAAAACTTACCAGTTTTGATCTGGCCATGTAGACAGAGACTGAGAAGCGCTAAAGAGAGCCTGTAAAACAAAACAATTTCCTTTAGAGTTTGAAAGAACAATAGTCATTTAAAAAAAATAAAATAAATAATAAATTTATGTTTGTACCTTAAAAGTCGGATGGCAGGATCCCCCATTACAAACCCAACACAAAAATCTTCTTCCTCAGTGATGAAACCAGCTCAAAATAAAATGTTGCTGTTCCCCAACACATACTAGTGAGAGTAAACCGGTCTTTTTTATAGTGCCTGCAGCTACCTGACAATTCATTGTCATGGCAACTAATGGACCATTATTAGGTTCAGGTGTCTGTGATTATGAGAACTGAGAAAAAAAAGACAGCACGCTAATCATTTCCTTGGGATCAAATCGTTTTAAACTAGTTGGGAAAATAAGTGTTAGCAAAAGTGTGCAAAGTTGTGATTTATCTTCTACAATCTATTGTCTACAAATAATAAAATAAAATATTTGGTGATTTTTCACATTCCACTTTCACACACTATACTTTTTGTTAGTTTTCACAATACATGGAGTGTTGCTACTACTTTTGATCATGCTGTTTTCGCTATCTTGCTAAATTGCCAATAATTAAGTAGATAGCTACAATGTGAATGGTGTTGTTAGCTAAATAATGTGATAGTAATGCCATTATATGTATTGTGCATGTGTATACAAATGAACTTTTTCTAATGCTTGGATTATATGGTTATTTTTAATATCCCTAGTATTCTAAAAAAGAAATCAAGCTGCTGCTGACAATTGAGAGGTGTGTAGGTGTTTGATTATGTTAAGTGGAAGAAAAAAATACATGGACATTTGTATATAGTGTTTGTATAATTAATGCAACCAACGCGTGGCTAATTTTAAACTGTAGCATGAAAAAGATCATTTTGATAATAAAAGTTATGATTATTAAAACGATGAGCTGATTTCTTAAATAATAATATTAATTATCAAAATAATAGATAATTCAACAAGCTATACATTTGATCATGCCTATAACTGTCTGAAAACAGCAGATCTAGAGGACATTTAGACACTGTAAGTGCTCAAAAGACACCTTTTTTTTTTTGTAAGACAGGTGTTTGTATCTACACATATGCCTGTATTTAAAGTAATATTAGATGCATAGTTTGTATTTTGCCATACAACTTGCAAATCAAACATCCATTTAAAGCAGCAGGAATGCAAACTTGCCAGTGTTTTATATTGAAAGTTGGTCATCTTTGAGAATCTGCTGAAATAGCAATCGGAGGTTATTTTAGGCTTGAATACACTCAGTATCACACACAATACTAAAAACCTAAATAAAATTGATTAATAAATGAGATGTGAATATCACGTGAGATTTATGAATAACTCATATTTGTATGAATAATTGCTATAATTTGTCAATAATTAATATATGATATATACCACCTGAACAGTAAGATACTATTGTTTTCCTCAGGTTTTAAGCCTGATGTTAAAATAAATGATCTCCAAAATGTTTTAATTTATTTTACCTGTTAAGAGTCTAACTTATCGGTTACATGGTGAGTTAAAAAATAGATTTTGTTTTGGTAATCTTTTAATAAAATCTAACCATTTGCTTCTGTTTTGAAATTGCAATCCATCTCCAATTTCCAAACTGTTAGTTTGCTGCAAGTGAAAGATGAAAGGAGGAGAACAAAAACAAAGCCCTGACCTATTTAGTATTCCATTTCAATTAGAAATACATCACCATACCTACAATTCAGTTCAACTCTTTATCTTTAATTCTCTAACATTTACAGAATCATGGCAAAAATGGCAGTTTTTCTAAATAAAATATCTATTTAAATACATACCCTCATAATTCTGTCTTAAAGATTTTTGTAAGTATTGTGGAATATTGCATTAAGAAATGCTTAAAGAAAATTGTCAATTAAAAATAGTTGTGATGGGACCGACCACATTGTAAACATCTGATTTGATGTCTGTTATCACAACGGTTCGGTATCTTTTCCTCCCAGAATTGTCTTAAAATAATGCTCCCAAAAACTTGAAAACTGTGCTCCCTAAAAGCGGTCTCTGTATGCCCTCATATTTCTGTCTTTCATATTTTCCGTACACTTATTTTAATACTGCGTTAAAAATGCTCAATGAAAACTCCAATGCAGATTTATTTTGAAAATTACATTAAAACAATTGTACATTAAAAATAGATGTAATGGGACTGACCACATTATAAAACATCTGATGTGATGTTTTGGTCATTCTCAAGTCCCTTTGACAATGTCTGTCATAACATTCATTCATTCATTTTCTTGTTGGCTTAGTCCCTTTATTAATCCAGGGTCGCCACAGCGGAATGAACCCTCAACTTATCCAGCGAGTTTTTACGCAGTGGATGGCCTTCGAGCCGCTACCCATCTCTGGGAAATATGTCCTAACAGTGGTTCAGTATTTTTACCCCCCAGAATTGTCTTAAAATAGTGTTTCCAAAAACTTGAAAACTGTGCTTTCAAAAAGTAGTCTCGCGTCTCCAAAAGCCACTGTGTTCATTGCATTTTGTCTTTGTTTTTTGTGATAATTTATGGTAAAAGAATAAAGGTCCATGGTGGCTTTTATAACATAGTAAATTTGGTTTTTCTTTTTAATGTTTGCCACCAGTTTATCAGAAAGTGGCGATTTTGTTTGTTTTTACTTAAACAGTGCATTATTCCAGTTTAATTAGTATCTTTGATGGGAACAGCTACCAACATCACCATACCTAAAATTTATTTATATATTTTTATCTTTAATTCTCAAATGTTTACAGAATTATGACAAAAAATTTTTTCAAAAAAGTAAAAAAAAAAAAAAAAAAAAAAAAATATATATATATATATATATATATATATATATATATATATATATATATATATATATATATATATATATATATATATATATATATATTTAAATGCATGCCCTCATATTTCTGTCTTTCATATTTTCCATACTCTTATTTTTGTAAGCATTGTGGAATATTGCAATAAAATGCGTAATAAAAACTCCAAGATGCAGATAAATTTTAAAAATAACATTAAAAATTTTACATAAAAAATAGGTGTAAAACAAAAAATGAATGAATGAATAATTTCATTGTCTCATTTAAGAAAGCTGATTTCATGATCTATATTATGATTCTATTGTTTTTTTAAATCAAATATTTATTATTTTTTTGAATGTATTGCATCAAAAAAAAAAAAAAAAAAAAAAAACAGAAAGGAAAATGAATCTCCAAAGCCATTGTTTTCTGCTGAGTTTGCACAACACTGAATGGTCACCCACTTAGCTAATACTATTTATTCCACTTTTGGCCAGCTTGAGGATGCCGTAATCCCTTGTCTCTCTTTCTGTCTTTCTCCCTCCCTCTCTCCTTCAACGGACTTGTCCTACACTGTTTTCCCCTTTAGCCCTAGAAACCCTGCCCCCTGGTCATCTAACTGGACTTTAATTGGCTGAAAAGTCTGGCAGCAGCTCAGCCATTGGTGGAGCTTAACAGTCTTTATACTTGTTCAGCAGGGGAGGAAAAGAGCGAGGGAAAAGAAAGGAGTGACAGAGGCACATTCAGCCTACGAGAGCAAGGAGGAGTGGAGCTGTCGGTGCATGGAGTAGGGAACTTGCTGCCTGTGGGAAAGTAAACAGCACAGGCTATTTGCCGCCCTCTCAGGGGCCTCAGTCCGGCAGCAGTGGCTAAGCGAGGGATGAGGATGTGTTCAAAGAGGCTGCTGATTTCATAGCAGGAAGTGCATGGGAGGCTGTTGGGATTAAAGTCCCTCTTGGGAGGTACTGAGGCTTTCCTGTGAAAGTACTACTGAGGACAAAAAGGTGAGTCCTGTTGTTTTATTGGTCTATCAATTTCACTTTTTTTTTTTCCTCAGATACTAACACTCCCCGTTCATTCAACAAAGCATGCAAGGGCTCCATGAAAAGGGGTCTTTTCTCTTGAGTGGGGGGTAGGAGGAGAGAAGACAGAAGAGGAGGCTGTGAACTCTCCCTAATTCCAAAGGCTCACTGGGGAACAGAGGGATCTTACAAAACTCCCTAAACCCAAATATACTCACCGACTCACAGATGGCTAAAGGGATAGTCCAGTAATTAATATCCAATTGCAAAATATTCACTTTCTCTTGACAAAAAGAATTTAAGGGTTACATGTTTGACAGGGTTTTGTACTGTAAACCGAATTCCATTTTTAGAATAAACCTTCCGTGTAACATAGACCAAACCATCAACATTTCTGACAGACGTTATACTTCCATACACTCATTTTTATGAGCATTGTGGAATATTGCTTTAAAAATGCTTAATGAAAACTCCAAGATGTGGATAAATTTGGGAAATGTAGATAAAAAGATAGGTGTGATGGGATTGAGCACATTGTAAAACATCTGATATGATGTTTTGGTCATTTTAAAATCCCTTAGCCAAAGTCTGTCATCACAGTGGTATTTTTACTTCCCAGAAATTGTCTTGAGCGGCTGTGCTCCCAAAAGCTGTGGTGCCCCCAGGGGTGGCCAGAAGAGGCCTTACCAAATCTTGGGGTGGCACACACAAAAAATGTATGAATTCAGTGTAATGCTATATTTTTGTTTCTGGTAAATGAAATTATGTGCTTTAAATCATTTAATTAATTACTCTTGAAATATCGCAATTTATTCCTAAAAATTATAATTCAATAAAATCAAAAAACAATAATATTTAGTTTACAAACACTTTTCATATGTAAAGATAACTTTTCAGTCATTTTCCACATACTTTTGTTGTACAGCATACAGTGTATGCCATGTCTAAAATGAATGAAGATTATTGAATTAATTAATGAAATTAAGAAATGAACAAAAGGCATTACGATATACACACACACTCACTATACAGACTATAATAATATCATATATCCATATTCCTTTTTGAGCCACAATATTATTATTACAGCTTCTTCTATTAATGTACCGTAAGGTAAATTTTGAATTGCTATTGCTGTCTATTGAAGGTGTGTTTATGCTGTCAAAGATGATCGGGAAGGGGAAGCGGAAGCGACTTTTCCTATTACAACCAAATTTTTTTCCTTGTAAATTTTCATCCGCCAGTTTGCCAGAAGGTGGCGATTTTGTTTCAAACTCTGTTTCTATTCTAGTTAAATTTGCATCTTTGATGTGAACAGCTATAAATACTTATAGATAACTTTGAGGTTGACCTACTTGCAAGCACATTTCTGATTTACAGTGAAACTACAGCTATTTTTTGTGACTAATTCCCATTTGTGTGGTCTTTGGTGGCTTTGAAAGCCTGGAACTTCTAATCTGCGTCTAGCTGCCACTCAACTTTCACCGACTTTCCATTGGATTTCCAGAGTTAGATTGCTTAAAATGGACTGGGAGTTTTGGCGTCATTAGCAGTCCATTCATGTCCGAGAGAGAGCTGCAGTACAAACGCACCCTGTCAGTGGTCTTTCCCATCTAAAGGGACTTTTGGGCCTTGTGGGATGACAGAGGCATTCAATATGTATAACCGCAGCGGATGTGACACTAGATATTGGGTGGAGAGAGCTCCATCTGCTTGTTATAGAAATTGAAGGTTTCTGTCTGACACCCTGAGGCGTAGTGAGAAAGTGAAAAGTGTTGTACGAAGCCCTTTGCCCTTTTTGAAAACACATTATACAGTGAGTGAATGAGAGAAATGAAACGCTATATGTTCAGAAGGTGAAAGGGGAGCTTGTACTTTTTATGTGATTGTTTTAATAGGCGTGAAAAGGCAGAATTGAACAGATCTTTTGAACCTGTGCTGGCCTAACCACATCATGCTTTCAAGCTTTGATAATGCGAATGAACATTTTAAGTCAACAATGACCTGTTACATGACTCTCTTTGTTGTGCATTTTATGGTTATACTGTGTTTTGGCATCACTATTATCAGATGGCCAATGGAATTCTATGCTTCAGTCATTTACACATGGTGACTCTGGATTTGGTGTGTTTATACTTTGCAGGTTTCATTTTATTAAAGCAAATGCTGGCTTTGTTAGGATCATTTGATTTATTGTCAACTAACAGCTCATCACACATCTCGGTGCAATGTATTTTAATTGTGCTAATTTGCATCATTAACAATGTGATTTAAAGGGCGGCTATTTTACCCCTTTTACCAGATTTAAGATACGTCTTTTATGTGTCCAGAATGTGTCTGTAAAGTTTCAGCTCAAAACACTCATTAGATTATTTATCATACTTTTTTGAACATTGGGATTTTCTGCTTTGAACACAAAGTAGCTTTTTTTGCTGCCTGTGCCTTTAATGCTAGTTCTCCCTGCCCAACGTTCCCATATGCCTGTCAGAGTGTACCTGAGTCTTCACCCTGGCCTAGTCAGATAAACAGCACAGTGACAAACATGAAGGAAGCATATTTCTTGTAATGTATTTAAGAAATTCTACAGTAAGATCTTTCCCAATGAAATTAAGTAAAGATGGTAAAATCGCTGGTTTAAAAACATTTTAAATTTGTAAAACTCATTCTTAATCACATCTGATGATGATTTATGATTACTGAGAGCTGAACAGAGCTTTTTATCCCAGTTGCTTTGTGTATGTCCTGCCTTGTTGATATGATTATTCGCGTTACTACTTTATATATGGAGACATGTTTATACATGGCTGTCAATCAAATCTGTGGCCAGGGAAACCGCACTTCTGTCACGTTGTGGGGGGCCTCAAAATTGAGAGGATTTGGATCCTGTTTTAATGTCAGCAAATAAATAAAGAGACTTATTGTCTTTATATCACCCCAATACGACTGTGGACAGACTAGATTACAGCTTATGGAAGATAATTTTCATCATAGGTACTCTTGAAATAAACTGAATCAACTTTAAACTGCAGCAATGACAATTCTGGGTGGGGGATGGGGGATGGGGACTGCCGATTTTGCAGTGTCTATTTAGGCTAAATGCAAATAGCGCACCTTGTAGGAAAAAGCTAATTGAGTGATTCCCGCCCATCACCATTTGATTGACAGAGACAACATAACTAAAACAGTAGCGTGAGTGGCGTAGCTCGTAAAGCGCATGGCAACTTGTTTTGACACGATCATGAACCCGGTTCGAATCCAGCGTCTGATGAACTCATGGGCTTCCCTTTGGGTGCTACGGTTTCCCCCACAGACCAAAGAGATGTGCTATAGGTGAACTGAATATACTAATATGGCCGTAGTGTATGTGTGTGAAGGATTGTGTGTGGATATTTCCCAGTGTTGGATTAAGGCTGGAAGAGCATCCGCTGCGTGAAACATATGGTGGATAAGTTGGCGGTTCATTCCGCTGTGGCGACCCCTGAATAATTAAGGGACCAAGCCGAAAAGAAAATGCATGAATGAATGACAACAGCATTTAAATCAAGCAAATTATATTTCTCCCTCTGTTTTGCAATGCATTCATTTAAGGGTGTGCTACAGACAACCTCAAGGATGAATAATACATCGTTGCATGTCTGAGGTCTGCAGAATCAGCCTTTGCTGAGGAAGCACAATTTTGAGCATGTGTGTTTGTGACAATAGAGGACACAGAGGTGTGTGTACAGTCATCCCACTGTTCAAACAGAAGGTTAAATCAGAACACACTGCAGTTAATGCAAATTCATTTGGCTTCCTTTGTCTGTGAGCTGAAGGTGAATAGATTGTGCAGGGTAAAGAAACACTGGCAAAACATACATACAGTAGCCATAATCTTTGGTGCATTTTAAAGAAAATGTTCACTCAAAATGAAGCTTTTGTCATCATTTACTCCTCCAAAAACTTAGTTTTTTTCAGTTAAACACAGCAGAAACATAACATTTATTTCATTATTCCTATGGATGTCAATAGCTTTCTACCCTCAGCAACAACATTATTCAGTATACTTTGTTCTGTATTCAACAGAATTTAAAAAATCATTGAGTAAATGGTAAGGAAAGTTACATTTTTGTGTGAATTATCTCTTTAAGATTTTGCAGTGCATTCAACCATGTTGAATACACATCCCACCCTTTAGGCAAGGGTGATGTCATTATTCTGTATGAATCACACACACACCATATCTCTGTCAGTTATTTCATGAGACGGACACTTGGGACACTGATAAGAAGTGGGAAAGGAAGTTTACTCCTTGTGTTGATACAACGCCGTCTCCATATTTACAGTTGTACAGTAGTGGATTGTGATAAAAAACGGAATGCTGTCTGCAAGAAAAAAAAAAGATAAATAAAAAATAATTTATTATTATTATTATTGGGTGTTTATTATTACATTGTTTATTATTGGGAGGTGTGGTGGCGCAGTGGGTATCGCTGTTGCCTCACAGCAAGAAGGTCGCTGGTTTGAGCCTCGGCTGGGTCAGTTGGCATTTCTGTGTGGAGTTTGCATGTTCTCCCTGTGTTCGTATGGTTTTTCTCCGGATGCTTCGGTTTCCCCCACAGTCCAAAAACATGCAGTACAAGTGAATTGGGTGAGCTAAATTTTATCATTGTGTATGTATGTGTGTGAATGAGTGTGTGTGTGGGTGTTTCCCAGTGCTGGGTTGCAGCTGGAAGTGCATCCGCTGCTTGAAATATATGCTGGACAAGTTGGCGGTTCATTTCGCTGTGGTGACCCCAGATTAATAAAGCGATTAAGCTGAAAAAATAATGATTAAATAATTTATTCTTTTTCTTCTTTTTATTATTTATTAGGTGATAATGTAGAGAATGACTTGGTATGAACATATTGCTCTTTAAATGTGAATATCAATAAATAAAATGTTATGGAAATCAAAATCAAAAGACATATACATATGCATTGTGATATGAATTGTTAATAAAAATTATTCATTCTTCCTAAAGAGTGTGATTTATCCACCAGGGGGCAGTAAATTGTGTTTTTAATAGATGCCTTGGGTTGTGTTTATAGCAGAAAGTCTAGCATATAATTTAGCTTTTAAGGATTAAAGAGAAAAGAAATGATCACTGACACTGATTAATTGTCACTGATTAATCAAATTACTTTGGTTTAATTTTTTCTGTCACTTATTGTAGATGCAAACATCAACATGGTCATGCAAGTCATATTTAAATTTAGTTTGCAAACCTGAGCAACATTTAAAGTAAAGTTGGTGTTCTGATAAGAATTTTCTTTTCAAGAGGATTACATTAAATCCTTGTTTTAAATGCATGTTTCCATCTATTACTTTGAAGATTTACACTCTAAATGGAGCTGGAAATTATATTAGAAAGTAATTTAATTTAGAACTTTGTAAAAGCATAGATTGAGATTCACTAAAGGCAAGGGAGCATATCTAAAAATGCACCATATTAAATGGATAGTTCACACAGAAATATTTAATTCTCCCATTATTAACACACTCTAGTTATTGTAAACTTTTACTTTAATTTACTTTATTTATTGTCCACAAGTGGAAATGTTACCACACAACCATATCAGCGTTCACATTACACATATATGTAAAAAAAAAAACAGTCAACACAAATACATTCAATTTTAACACACAAATCACATGTAAAAACTCAATTCAAAGCCCAAAACATTAAACCCAATTTTTTAAATTTTAATGGCAGTCAGCAGGATGGACATTTGATACACATATATCTTTACTTGAGGTTGCCTAAAACATTCTTTTGAGGGCAAGAGCTGTAGTTTTACATGTAATGGGATATGGGAACAACCTTCAATAATAGCGTGCAAATTTCTTCAATAATGTTATGAATTTGTTTATTTTGTTAAGGCCTACTATGGAAGTCAATAATTATTTTTTACGAACATTCTTTAATATATCTTCCAGGTTTGGAACAAGAGAATGAGGTGGCAGGATTTTAAGTTTTGGATAAACAATCCCCCAAAAGGCTTCACCCTTGACAAGAAAGTGAAAATAGGCTAGGTCTAACCCTTAATAATGCTTTACAGAAACTGTTCACAAAGAGGCTGGGTTGTATATAAAATCGACTCCTTATACCCTTAAATGATGTACTATTTGAGAGAGCAGCCACATAATAGGCTACTGACGCAAATCCCACACCGACGTATAACGAATTTACAACAGATGCACTCAAGTGCTGAATAAAATCTCGCATCTTGCCACAAGATGGCATCCACAGCAGAGCTCTGTCAGTGTTTTTTTTTTTTTTTTTACAAATACGTTTGTATACACAAGAAAGTGACATAGTTTCATTAGCTACAGCTTGCTAAGTATAACTATTACAGGGTCTGATCAAGAAGTTGAATATTAATCCTTCGGAGGGGATTTATGAACCAGCAGAGCTCCAACAAAACAGCATCCTTCAGTCTCTCAGTCAGTGCTCAAATTCTTTAACTTTTTTTCATTTACACCTCAGACTATATTAGTGGATTAAAGTAGGGAATAGGGAATGAGGGTATAGGGAACGATTATGAATACAGCTTGGGTATATACAAAGTATTTTTTAATCTGTGTGTGCTCATTCAGACAAACATTTTATGAAAATCCTGAACTTGAGATCAAACAGTAAATATTGTTTTATCTCTGCTCCAACAATAACACCTTTTGATATATAAGATTTAACACTGCAGTTTAAGTGACTTTCATATGATTTTTTTTATATAAGAAAATTATATCTTTTTTCATAATTAAAAACGATGCTGTACCAGGAAATGTTTAATAGGGTTTGGCACGTTATTCTGTGACCTTTAGGCTACATGTCTGTTGACAAATTTCATTTTGGCCATTTAAAATAAACTATTAATGTTTGACATATACACATTTCTAAAAGTGACATTCATATGGTTAGCCTATAGCTCTTGAAAGTTAATAACATTTGTCTGCTGCTATTAGCCAATTAGCATCATTGCAATGTACTCTCGTTAGATGATATCAAATCATCATTCGTAATAGAAATATTGGAGACAGACAGTCCTTTCTCTCCATCAGTGCTCGGTCCCACCATTTCTTCCATCACATATAGCCTACCACTGGCCTTTTGACTTGGGATCTAACAAACAGCCAGGCATTCCGCTGTGATGAATGCAGAAACAATTCTTTGTGAATTTATTCCAAGGTCTGATCACAAGTGTGCCATTGTGTGTGGTGTAACATGAAGTGGGACGACTGGAGAAACTGTGCTTGGGGGACAGAAGACCTTGGACACAACGGCCTTATCAGAATAGATATAGGGTTTGTGAGAAACATGACTGACTTTATTTGGGCACCCTGTCCCTGAGTAAGGCTAAACATATAGGCAAATTGACTTTTTGTTTTGAAGACACTCAGATGTTGACTCAATGTGGACTCAGTGATGTCCACCATACAAAAGACATTTAATTATTGATAACTGGATATTACAGTGAGCCACATATATATACAGCTACAGAAAAAAAAAAAATAAAAAATAAGGGATCACTTGAAAAATGTCAGTTTCTCTGGATTTGGTTTGGCTTTGAGTACAATGTTAATATTTGTTTTATTTGATAAAAGTCTGATAACATTTCTTTACATTTTGTAATGAAAATACATTGTCATTTAGAAACTGTTTTTATCACCATTGGTTTTCTTTGTTGTCAATGAATATTTGGTTAATTTCATCAAAAGTAAATATAGGAATTGTGTTATTTGCAACAGTTTTATTGTAAATTTGGAATTGTCCATAGCATTACAGGATAAAAATATACAACTGCATAATAACTATACAGTTTACATTCGATTGGCATTATAATTTGTCCATACAAAAAATAATGTACCATCACAAAAAAATTCAAAAGATTCAAAACACTCAACAACTCAAAACACAAATATTTTCATGTTAAAGCAATACCACATAATTATGTGTTGTCCTTTACACATTACAGACGGTGAAAAATGCTAAGCAAATTTGTTATAGTCCTTTAGGCTTAAAATCTTCCATTGCAGACAATTAAATGATGATTGAAAGTCTGCATTGTATGTCTGCAAATAAGACTAAATTAGGTCATATCAGCAGACAAGTCACTGCATGGAATGTGCCAGCAAAGGAAGCACTTGTGAGCTCATCAAAATGCCAAAGTTGATGTGGAATGAGGGAGTATATTGTCTTTAATTAATGGTGCAGCTCATCAAATAAAACTTTTTTGTAGGAAAATATGAATACATCATATTTAGAGAACCTCAAAAATGCAGCATCACCAAATTCCAAAGCAACCTTTAATAATTAAATTTTTAATCATTATGTTGTCTATATTTATAGGCTTTTGATATAGAAATTATTGCAATTATTGCATTAATATAGAAATAATTCCATATAGACATCAACTTCAGCGTACTTGTGTGGATAATACTACAGAAATTTTTATTATTTGTGCATGCATATCTCAAAAATGTCCATTTCTTATACACATTTAAGCAATCACTGCTCAAGCAAAATGTAACTGAGTGCAGCAATGATTCAGTCAGGCATAGGCATAGTGCCATCAGCTGATATGATCAACTGACTATATATCTGCTCCAAGCACTATCATTCTTCTATTACGCCAGGTACACATGTAGCATATTTCACCCAGCTCCACAAAAGGACAGCTAACAACTTTTTGGAATAGCAAGTCTGCAATTTATTGACAGAAGACAGTCAATTACAATTTTTCTCAGTGGCTTTGGTGCATTTCTCACAACACTATTTACATTTGCACGCATTTCTCAAAACAATTAGTACAAAAGGCAAAACCTAGCTAATAACCTGCAAAAGTGTGTCACTTGTTCAAAATGGATAGCTGATTCCTTAAAAGCAAGTATTTATGTCAATGAAAGTGTCAGTGTCATCAAGATGAAAAGTCCTGACACCATTGCTTATGAACAAGATAGTCAAATGGCTTTGTCATGGTTTTACTATGACAGTTTACTCTCTACATTTTTTCCAAAGCATAAAAAGACAGACTTCCTGAAAATGCTCAAGACAGCACTAGATATATGCACAGCCATTTGTAAAGTTAGACATCACTGCATTCAGTGAGGTATCGTGAGTACAAGACACTGAATATGTATGTTTCACATTTTTACTGCATTTGCTTTTTGAGATTCTAATTTATTTACAGCATTGTGCAAAAGAATAAATACACCCTTATTTACAACAAACACAGCTGAGCACAACTGAAGAGTTTGGTTGCAAAATGCGATAAACGCCATTTTTTGACATTTGGATTTTATTATTGGAAATCACTGTTCAGATGCACTTTGATCTATGTGTGAATTGCTGCCATTAATAACATTTAAGAATGTACATTTTAGGCCTACTACAAATGTATTTTTTCACAAAATGCGAAATCCGCCTGACAAGTTTTTTTTTTACAAAGTGCAATATAACAGTTATAGAACGCTCAGGATTCGGCGCAAGCTCAGTATCCTCTGGGAAGAGAGTCACCGCAGGTGAAGTGCTTCGAGTTTGCTCAATAATGCGAGTAATGTTGGTCTGTGTCATGCCGACAAACTATTAGATGAAGATGGAGCCTTCAACTTCACAAAAATGTTTAAAAACGCTACAAAACTGGACCAAGAAATATCCCTGCGTCTGTCAGTCTCCGCTGATGTCAAGAAGAAGGCCAGGGGTTACACTGAAATACTGCCTTTTTCCTGTGCTCCTCCACATCACAAGATACCTGTCTGCAAGGCTACATTTCTAAGTGTCTTTTGTAAGTTTATTCTTTAAATAATTTCTGTGAATACCGAATGAGAGGAATGGATGATCACTTGCGGCAAAAGCTGTTGAGATGCGCACGACTGTTTAAAAACGCATGCGCTCCCTTGTTATTGCGTGAAATTGTGACTGGAAATGCAACTATAGCCACAGTGGCTGGTCTGGCCCTGATGATGATGATGATTATTATTATTATTACAGTGAAATAATTCATTAAATATGACGGGATGAGGCGATTGTGTCGCAGACTCTGTGCAACAGATGCAAGAACTGTGACACAGCGGCTCCACCCGCTCTGATCATACACTGAGCTCAAGTAATAGTTTAATGTGTAAACATTGTGAATGAACTTGACTGTTGATGTCTTAAATAATAATGTCAAATAACCAGCATTTCTCAAAATGGATATATTTCGTTTTGCAACGAAACTCTAACTGTAATTTTTTTTTTTTTTTTTTACTTCTTCTGGGGCATTTCACAAAATTTAAAGCCAGATGTCCATGATATTGGACTTTTGTCATCCAACCAAACAGCAGTAAAGCTCTGTCGTTGTCATTTCAGAAATATCCACCAGGGCAAAAAGAGGCATGGCAGCACTTTGTTACAAACACAGAAGCAACATTTTAATTGATTTTATTCACATTTAATTTTATGTTTGCCTATATTTCATAAATATTAAAGAAAAAAATATATAGCACTATATATATATATATATATATATATATATATATATATATATATATACATACAATAAATGGTGTTGGATGTTTAGTTAATCACGTCTACTTTAATGTACAATGGGTTTAGAACTGAAAGACATAGAATAAAATCACCATTACAACCCAGTTTAATCCTTATCTTCTGTATTTGCCTAGCTTATGGTTCCAGTGGGTTAAAGTAGAACTGCTGTATCTGCTATAACCATTAATAAGAATAATTAATAAATACATCCTAACTTGCCAAAGCAGTCATCTAAACTGATCAATGCAGAATATCTACCAAAAGCAATACCCAAGTACTACAGAATATTTTACCTTTTTTATGACCTTGGAAATTGTTCTATAACAAGGTACCACTTTGCAATCCACTTTTTTTTTTAATTTATTTGTTTACACTTTTCATAAGCTGTGCATTAGCTCTGGTTTGTAATGTAGTTTGGCCATTTGAAAGCAACTTTAAATTAAATCTGACAAATAAATACACTTTAGAGGTCTATTACGTTCAAATAAAAAATTACATGTTTGTTAATAGGGATGCTGCTGCCTCCTAAATTGAAATCACGTTTGAGTACTGTTTCTTCACCTGTCTTACAGAACCTATGTCCACAGTTTCATCTCAGCAGCTGGCGGAGGATGTGGAGGACAACGAGCAGAGGAAGGGATTCAGATGTAAAGATGAGATTAGCAAAGAAGAGAGCAGGACTCCATCTGGAGACAATACAAGCAAATACAGTGAACTCCAGATACTTTCAAGTGCACTAGAAGCAACGCAGAAAAAACAATCAGATCTATTCCAAGACGCCAGTACAAGTTCCCCTGCTGGGTGTACCAATACTCACAGTGAAAGTAAGTTAGTTTAAGTTTTCTGAAACTTATTGCTAAAATCACCACTAATAAATCTGAAGTCGTTACATCAACTTGCTTGGAAACAACCAAGTAGAGTTTTAAGTTATTAAAGAGACACTGGGAGACACTTAATTTAAAACAAAATGAAATAGAATAATGTTCAACTTAAATTTGTTTAAATTCAACAATTAAATTGTTTACAACCACTTTACGTTTATTTATACATATATTAAAAAAAAAAAAAAAAAAAAAAAAATCCAAGGAATCATTTGTTGAATTTTTCCAGTGTAGCTAAAGGGCTCAACCTTTTAACATTTACATTACAATTCTATAGGTTAAGAAAACTTCTGCATAGCCACTCAAGTAGTTAATGCAAAAAAAAAAAAAAAAAAAAAAAAAAAAAAAAAAAAAAAAAAAAAAAAAACTCATTTTCCCTACTCCTAATTTTTTGCAGATGTATAAACCACCAACATGAGGTAAGTTACAAAACTGAAATGCACAAACACTTGAATAAAGCAAATTTTATTGATGTTAAAGCAAATACAAAAAAAGAGGACCTAGGACTTTCCTTTTTGCAACAACTTGAACAATTTACGGGATGAATGCCTGCTTCTTGGAACAGGTTCAGGAGCATTTTGACCTTTGCTAGCCTGAAGATCTACCTGTGCTGGAATTGGAAGTTCAGGTAGCACAGACTGAGACACAGGCTCAAAGTTTAAAACCTCTGGGCTCTTCCAGGCTTGGGAAAGTGTAGATTGGTCAATTGATGGCACAAGCACTGAAGTGGTCTGTAAACCAGGCTGCAAAACAGTTTCATAACTGGACTGTTCCTGAGGCTGATAGCTGGACTGCACTGGTACACCCAAGAAAGAGCTGGACTGAGCAAGAGACAGACTATTAGTCAACATCGGAGGCTGAAAAACAACCTGCACTGGAACAGGAGACATCTGGTATTCAGCTAGAGAGATGGTCTCTGAACTGAATTGTTCTTGGGGCTGGTACGTTTCTACAACAGGCTCTGCGTGCAAAGATGGGGTTGAAAAACTGGGTCTAGATGGAGACTGAAACCTCCCTTTGTAAATGGGAGAAAACTCTTGGCATAAATAAAACTTGGAGCCAACCTGATAAAGTGGTTCCGCATGAGAATGCACTGGTTTGAAAACAGCTTGCCCACCCTGCTCGTCAACATACTCATAACTGGATTCTACTACCAAGTTACTTGGATGTGCTACAGAGTCGACCATTGTTGGCTGTTGTAGAACAGGCTGGACTTCTGATTGGGAGCTGGTCTGTAATAGATGCTCTCCAGTGGAGTGAGGCAGATAGACTTCTAGGGCTGGATGCTGGATGGCAAGCTGACCCACAAACTGGTAGCTTGTTTGTTCTGGCTGTTGTAGAGCAGGCTGGGTCTCTGATTGGTAGCTAGTCTTTACAATTTGCTGCTGCCCATCAGACTGGGACAAAGATTCGTAGTTAGCTTGGGTTGGATGTTGAAAAGCAGGCTGGGACTCAGATTGGTAGCTGATCTGTACCAGTTGCTGCCCATTGGTCTGAGGCACAGATTGATGGCCTTCTTGTGCTGGTTGCTGGATATACATATGGCCCACAGACTGGTAGCTGCTTTGTTCTGACTCTAGGGAAGCATGTTGGGACTCTAATTGGTAACTTGCCTGTCCCAGATTCTGTCCATCAGATGGAGACAAAGATTGGTCGCTGACTGGTGCTGGCTGTTGGAGAGCAGCCTGGGCCACAGATAAGCCAATCTTTGCTGGTTGTTGGACATCGGGCTGAGCCATCAAATTGTGACTTCCTTGTGCTGGCTGGTGGAAACCAGACTGGGTGTCTGATTGGTAGCTGGCCTGTACCAGTTGCTGCCCATTGCAATGAGATACAGATTGATGGCCGTCTTGTGCTGGTTGCTGAATAGCTAGCTGGTCCACAGACTGAGGGCTGGTTTGTCCTGGCTGATGTAGAGCAAACTGAGCCTCTGACTGGTAGCTGCCTTGTAACAGTTGCTGCCCATCAGGTAGAGACACAATTTGGTAGCCAAGCTGTGCTGGGTGCTGATGAGCAGCTTGGGGCAAAGATAAGCCGTCCTGTACAGGCTGCAGGACACTGGACTGAGCAACCAATTGGTAGTTGGCCTGTGCTGGCTGGTGGAAACCAGACTGGGGGTCTGATTGGTAGATGGTCTGTACCATTTGCTGCCCACTGGACTGAGATCCAGATTGATGGATTTCTTGTGTTGGTTGCTGGATAACCAGCTCACCCAAAGACTCGTAACTAGTTTGTTCTGGGTGTTGAGAAGCAGGCTGGGTCTCTGATTGGTAGCTGGACTCTATCAGTTTCTGCCCATTGGAGTGAGGCACTGATTGGTGACCTTCTTGTGTTTGTTGTTGGAGAAGCAGCTGACCCTCAGACTGGTAGGTAGTTTGTTCTGGCTGTTGGTAAACAGCGTGGGCCTCCGGTTGGTAGCTGGTATGTACCATTTGTGGGCCATTGCATGGAGAAACAGATTGATAGCTGTCCTGTGCTGGTTGCTGGATAGCCAGCTGGCCTACAGACTGGTAGCTGGTTTTTCCGGACTGTTGGGAAGCAGATTGGGTGTCCGAATAGTAGCTGGCCTGTACCAATTGCTGTCCATTAGACTGCGAAACAGACTGGTAGCTGGCTTGTGCTGGCTGTTGAACTGGTTGGGGAACAGAATGGTAGTTGGTTTGTACTGGTATTTGGTTACTGGACTTTATTCCAGAGGTAAAACTTGGTGTTTGTATTGGACTAGAACTGGATGGCTTAAAGTAAACTTTACTTTTCTGGGGTTTGAGAAGAGTCAGTGCATTGGGCCGAGCCACAAAGACAAAACTACCGTGCACTGGTTGTGGACCACTTGACAAAGACACTGATTGATAGCCATCTCCTACTGTTTGCTGGAAAGCAGGCTGGGCCTCTGCCTGGTAACTGGCCTGTACTAGTTGCTGCCCACTTGACTGAGACACAGATTGATGGTCATCATGTGCTGGCTGCTGGATAGGCAGCTGGGCCTCTGACTGGTAGCTGGCCTGTAATAGTGGTTGCCCACTTGACTGAGACACAGATTGATAGCCATCTTGTGCTGGCTGTTGGATAGGCAGCTGGCCCATAACCTGGTAGCTGCTTTGTTCTGGCTGTGGGGAAGCATTTTGGGTCTCTGATTGGTAGCTGGCCTGTACCATTTGCTGCACATCAGACTGAGACATAGATAGGTAGTCAGTTTGGGCTGAATGTTGGAAATCAGGTTGGGCCTCTAATTGATAGTTGCTTTGTACCAATTGCTGCCCATTGAATGGAGACACTGATTGATAGCCATCTTGTGCTGGTTCCTGGATAGCTGGCTGACCCACAGACTGATAGCTGGTTTGGTCTGAATGTTGGGAACCAGTCTGGGTTTCTGATTGGTAACTGGCATGTACCAATTGCTGCCCCTTGAATGGAGACACTGATTGAAAGCCATCTTGTGCTGGTTCTTGGATAGCTGGCTGACCCACAGACTGGTAGCTGGTTTGATCTGAATGTTGGGAACCAGTTTGGGTGTCTGATTGGTAACCGGTATGTACCAGTTGCTGCCCATTGAATGGAAACACTGACTTATAGCCATCTTGTGCTGGTTCCTGGATAGCTGGATAACCCACAGACTGGTAGCTAGTTTGTTTTGGGTGTTCTGTCTGAGCAGCCGGAGTCTCTGATTGATAGCTGGCCTGCACTTCATGCTGACCATCAGGTCGAGACACCAATTGGTAGCTGGCTGGTGGTGGCTGTTGGAGCTCAGATTGGTAGCTGGTTTTTCTTGGCATTTGGCTACTATAAGGAAAAAGAGGGGTAAAACTTGGTGTCTGGAAATGACTGTTTTTGGAAGGAAGATTGGACCCAATCTGAAGTTTTTCTTTATGGGGCTTGAGAAGAGTCAGGCCACTGGGCTGAGCTACAAAGACATAACTTCCATGTGCTGGTTGCTGGTCATTTGACTGGGCAACAGATTGGCTTACTTGTACTAGCTGCTTGGCCACAGAGGCATCAACTGCCTGTTGAATTAGCTGGCTGCTTGGCTGGACCACAGAGATGTCAACATGTGGAGGCTGCAGACTGCTTGGTTGATTTACAGTTTGGCCACTGGTCTGAACTGACTGGCTAACAAGTTCATTTCCTGTCACAGCTAGGTTGCTAGGTACACTCCCATATTGCAGTATTTGTTGCAAGCTAGGTTGTGATATAGACTCCATTTTCGGTTTAGAAAGCCTTGAAGAGCTGAATGTTGGATTCTGAACTAGCCTGTAACCTGAAGTTTTGGATTCAGTTTGCTGGAGTTTCTCTCTCAGAAGCTTAAAAGGCCATCTATTGGCTTGTACTGCAGACTGGAAGCTAGGCTGTAATATCTGTTGGCCACTGGACTGGGACAATTGCAGAGGGCTAGACTGGGTCATGGTTCCAGAACCTGTTGATTGCTGACTTCCGGGCTTTGCCACAGACTCATTGCTGATTTGGAGTGGAATTTGGGAAGTTAACTGCACTGACTTGGGGGCAGAATAACTGCTCTGCTGAAATGGCATCAAGACAGAGGGAGAACCGATCATTTCAGAGCCTTTGGCACTTAACTGACTAGTATCGTACCCTAACGTGCCAATAGCATTTTTCACAGAACCATATACAAGATCGTTTCCAACTGAATCAACATAAGATCCCTGAAATTTGTTTCTTGTATAGGAGTCCGTTTTTCCACTTGTCATAGGAATGCCTGAATAGTAAGCTTGAGAACTGTAGCTTCCGGTGTCAAAGCCCCTTTTAACCGCAGCACTGTAACCAGGATATCCTCCATTGCTTCCAGGGTTATAGGTGTGAACTATAAAAATAATAAAATAAGCCAAACATAAGGTTCAGTCACATAATTTTGGGTAAAAATCAGATACAAACTTACCATTCGCAATACCATCAGATGCACCAAGGACTAAAAGTATTGCTAAAGAATAACTGCAAAAGAACAAAATTATTTTTTAGTAAATTGCAGAATACATCACAATAAAAACAAAGTCATAGCCTATAAAAACATACTTTAAAATCCACATTTTTGTAGCACTCATACCAAACCCCAACCTTTGCACATAAACTACAAAATTAAAACAAAAGCTTCCACCACATCATACAATACTGCTTCTGGTCTGGCCTTTTTATAGTTTGTGCTACTACCAATCACCAATCAGCTTGCTAGAGTATTGCCTCAGACCAATCAGCTGTGCATAAATTTCTAATGGCTCATTAAAAGGATCAGGTGTCTATTGTCAGGTGTAACACATTTTATGCAACACATAATTTTCACAGTATAGCAGGTGATTTAAAAAAAAAGAGAGAACCAAATACAATCATAAAAAAAAAGTTTTCAATGTATTGAAAAAGTATAGTGATGTTTTGAATTAAATGATCTATGGCCATATTATTGACTTTAAAAATATGTAAAAAAAAAAAAAAAAAAAAGAATTTAGATACATATCTTTTTTTCTAGTAAACTGCATGCCGGGAAATGGGAAATATCTTGCAGTTCGGCAAGGAATCTTGTAATTCCTGTAGTGAAAGTTCTAAGTTCCATTTAAAATCCATCAGAATTGAGATGATGCTTAAAGTTGATGTGTTCAACTGCAAAATAAATAAATAAATAAATAAAATAAAAAAAAAAACACCTGCTCTTTGCTAAATATCTGGTGACAGTGAACATTGTGCAACTCCAAATAACTGTCTTGTTTGTACTGTATTTTACTCTTGGTATGTTCACTATATTGCTTGTGAAATGTATCCTTACTCTTAAATAGTTAATCAAAAGCCCTGTGAATTGATAAGCATGGAATAATTTGCCACTAGAAGCAATGTGATTTTTAATACTTTTCAAATCTGTAATTGACTGTAAAGATTCACTGCTCAAATAAAATTGACTTTAAGAAAAAATTTACCTTAAGCTGAGGCATGACAACACTCATGAGAGAGAGTTTTACCATATTTTCTTTTTAAAATATAGGCTTCCTTTTGTGTGGATATACAATAACAATACTAATTTGCTTGCTGGCCAGCTGTCTAACATTTTTCATTGTAATGAAGTTCAGTTAAGGTTAAATAACTCAGACTAGACATTTATGATTTACATGCACCAATAAGCCAATTATAGTTTCTCTTATACAGACACTCAGACCAAAAGCATGAGCTATTTGAGGTTGACAGCACATAAACTCATCCCTTTTATCCATTTTAATATCTTGGTAATAATTCTGAGCTCATCCAAGTACAGTCATTTACAAGAGGTCAGGAATAATATGGGTCTACATTTGGGGAATGTTCCAGAGATCAAGCTTCAGACTCTACAGCACCAAAGGACTTAGAGGAAGACCACACTTGTACTGTAGTGAAGACACAGAGAGAGAGATACATGCACTATTAAAACAAATGCAGGGGAAGAGGATATCAGACACAAGCCAGCACAAAATATTGAAGGTAAGCTACAAAAAGCTGACACTATAGTATATTAGTAAACCCTTTAAACACTTCTGTTTTAGTGTATAGCACACTTCCTACAGGTTTGAAAATCCAAAAACTGACAACTTGAATTACACCACTAATATTAGGTTATGGAAGTGCAATGCATGCACCTTTAAAATTCCTACCTTCCCATTTTTTTGCAAACAAATAAAAAAAAATGTCAAATTACAAAACTAATTCCACACAGGTACTTTTTAAACATTTTATTGGAAGTCAGAAAGCAAACTCAGGAAACAGCAAACACCTAAGACTTCACTTGTTGCAACAGCCTGAACAACTTCTGCGATGAATGCCCATTTTGAGCATGTCCAGGATTATTTTGACCTGTAACCAACTTGTTTTCAACCTGTTGTGGAATTGCAAATTCAGGTTGCACTGGCTGAAACACAGACTCATGGTTTGAAACTTCTGGACCACTCAAGGCTTGGGAACTTGTAGACTGGTGACTTGATGGCACAAGCTCTGAAGTAGTTTGAAATCCAGGCTGTAAGACAGTCTCATAACTTGATTGTACAAGAGGCTGGAAGCTGGACTGCAATGGCATGCCTGAAGAAGAGCTGGACTGAGTGAGAGACAGACTACCAGGCTGCATTTGAGGCTGGGAAACAATCTGTCCTGGAACAGGGGATATCTGGTATTCAGCAAAAGAGACAGATTCTGAGCTTGATTGTGCCACAGGCTGGTACATGGGTTCCACTGGCAAAGCTTGAGGTGTGAAGACTGGTTTCACTACCAAAGCTTGAGGCATGTAGACAGGCCGAGATAGAGACTGATGGCTAGAAAGCAAATGAGCTGGTGTTAAAATAGATTGGAGTGTAGATGTGTGGGGTCTGTGATGGTTAGGCTTTGCAGGTGTCTGGTTGCTGGACTGCACAACAGGCTTTGTATGCCGATCTAAGGCTAGAAAACTGGATGGAGACTGAAACCTCCTCTGGTAACCGTGCTGAGGTAACTCTTGGCATGAATAAAGCTTGGAGCCAGTCTGGTGAAGCCCATGGGAATGCGCTGGCTTGAAAAGGGGTTGCCCACTCCGTTCGACCACATACTCATAGGTGGACTGTCCTGCTTGCTGGCTGATTGGTTGGGCTACAAAAAAGCCGACATGTGCTGGCTGGTGGAGACCTAGCTGTGCCACCCACTGGTAGTTGGGTTGTACTGGTTGTGGAGCGGGTGGTGCAATAGAAAAGCTGACCTCTGCTGGCTGTTGGACACTGGGCTCAGCCACAAACCGGTAGCTGATAGTTTCTGGCTGGGCTTCTAATTGGTAGCTGGCCTGTACAAGTTGCTTTCCATTTGACTGTGACACAGATTGATAGCCGACTTGTGGAGCAGTCGGTTGGGCTACAGACTGGTAGATGGGGTGTACTGGTTTTGATACAAGTGCTTGGCTTGCAGACTGGTAGCCGAATTGTGCTGGTTTTACAATTTGGGGCACTGACAGGTAGCCGGTTTGTCCTGGCATTTGGAAAGCAGACTGGGCCTCTGATTGGTAGCTGGCTTGCACTGGCAGTTGTAGAGCAGGTTGCGGCCTAAACTGGTTCCTGGTTTGAACTGGTATTTGGCTAGTGGACTGAGCTACAAAATTAAGACTTGGTGTATGGAGACTCGTACTGGATGGAGGTTTGGACCCAAACTGAGGTCTACTTTTGTGGGGCTTGAGAAAAGTTAGGCCACTGGGCTGAGCCGTAAAGACATAACTACCATGTAATGGTTGCTGATCATTTGACTGGGAAACAGATTGACTTGACTGAACAAGCTGCTGGCTGGAAGCCTGGGCCACAGAGGTGTCAACTGCCTGTTGAACTACCTGGCTACTGGGTTGGACTGCAGAGAAGTCAATGATATGTGGAGGCTGCACGTCACTTGGCTGAGTTACAGCCTGCCCACTGGACTGGCTGACAAGTTCATAGCTAGCTACGGCTAGGCTGCTTGGCACATTGCCATATTGTAATATTTGTAAGCTAGGGTGTGATGCAGACTCCTTTTTAGGTTTCAGAGGCATTGAAGAATTTAATATTGGATTTTGAACTGGTCTGGAACCAGATTGGTGGGGTTTATGAGGCTTATGGGGCAGTCTACTGGCATGCACTGCAGACTGCGAGCTTGGCTGTGGTAGCTGTTGGTCACTGGACTGGGTTAACTGCAGACGGCTAGACTGGGCCATGTATCCAGAGCTTGCTGGTTGTTGACTGTTGGATTGGGGGCCAGTCTGCACTTCGACAGTTAGCAGCACAGGGTTAGAAGAATAACTGCTTTGCTGTAATGGCATTAAGACAGAGGAAGAACTGATGACTTCAGATCCTTGGACATCAGTGGATGCACTTGCATCATACCCAGACATGCCAATTTCCACTGCATTTCCTACAGTACCATAAGCAAGACTACCACTTCCAACTGAATCAACATCAGAATCCTGAAGTTGGCTTCTACTTGACGAATCAGAGCCTGTTTTTTCAACAGTCATGAGAATGCCTGAAGAGCCAGCCTGAGAACTATAGCTTCCGACGTCATAGCCCCCTTTAACTGCAGCACTGTAAATTGTGTTCTTGCTGGGATTATTAGGTCCAGGATGTGCTCCCATGTTAACAGGGCTAAATGCATAAACTAAATCATGGGGGAAAAAAATAATAATAATATTTTAAAAAAACCACAGTTAACAATTCAGTTAAATTGTTCGATTAGAAGTTAGTATGTAAAAAACAACAAAAATCCACCTACCAGTTGCAACATCACATGCACCAAGGGCTAAAAGTACTGCAAAACAATAACTGCAAAAGAACAACAGCCATTTAATAAAAGTGTTAGACTCCACTACAAATAAAGAAGAAAAAAACACCTTAAAACAACACACTTTAAAATCCACATTATTGTTGTTGTTGTTGTTGTTGTTGTTGTTGTTCAAGTAATCCAACCATCTACTAGTTTCAAGGAATAAAACAGTAAAATAAAAAGAAAATATTTCAACACAGCATGAGATGCTGCTTCTGATCTGGCCTTTCTATAGTGTCTACAACTACCAATTACAATCATGAATCACTAATGGATCATTATTAGTTTCAGCTGTCTATTGTCAGGTGTTAATCTCACAATATGTCAGTAAAAAAAGCAGCATTTACACAAATATATTTAAACTTATAAGAGACAAAACATCAAATGTGTTAGAAAACTGACCCCACGGTACATTTATATTAATAGTAATTAAACCATACATTTTAGTTTGAATAGATATTAGATAATTTCAGACCGATTAAAGAATATATATTTTATGCTATGTTTTATTTTAGCATATTCAGCATGAAGCAGATACATTTAAACTATTTATCTTTGTGATTCTTTTGTTGTCTTATATCATTATCTCTAACCTGAAAAAAACTGAAACGTTAGCATATACAGACTTGCCTTAAGACTAGGACAATATTGTCCTTGTTTTTGAAGATTGCTTGCAATAAAGTAAATCCTGTGAAAAAAGTGTGACCAGTAAAACATCGTTCTGAAAAAGTCCACAACATATATTTTAGTGTTTACCAACTGGAAGTTTATTCAGCACAACAAAGCCTCAAAAGTATAATGTTAAAAAACAACACACTCTCAAAAAAAAAAAATAAATAAAAATCTGTGTACCAAACACGGATCTATCTTGTCATCGTTCATATGCACTACATCTACAAATTGTTAATCAAGTTTCTAGAAAAGTAACTTAACAACCTAGATAATGTTTCACACTAACAAAAATCAAACAATTTTTTTTAATCAGAAAGAATAAACAAAATAAAAACATTATGATATACCGACATAATGCTCTAAAAATATTTTCATTAAAGAAATAACATTGTTGTGGATAGTTTTTAAGCATTGCATATATACTGAAAAAAGGTTTTATGTAAACCAAATATGTTAGTCTTTTAAGCTTGTAATTTTCAACGGCAGACAAAAAAGTAAGACAAAAACATTATTAGATTATTGAAAGTCTGCATTGTAAGTTTGGTTGCGGTATCATTTGTATTTTGCAAATAAAACCTCATTATATAATATCAGCAGAGATGTCACTGTATAGAATGTGCCAGCAAAGAAACAATAGCGAACTCTTTAACATTAAGTTAAGTTTTTAATGAATGATGCAACTCCTTAAATGAAACTTTTGTCTTCAGTGATAAATAAAGGATTAATAAACCATATGTGGTGCTGTAAGATTAGAACCTCCAAGTATCAACAAATTCCAAGGCAAGCTATAATAATTACATTTTTGATTACCCTTTTCTTTACATTTATAGCCTTTATGAACCAACATAATAGTCCTATTGATATGAAAACTTTAACTGCAAATAAACAGAAACCTGAAGAAACCTCTGCTGTGGTTATTAACAGATTAATTGAATCTTTTCTTATGCACGCATCTTAAAAACTTTTCAATCAATCACTGCTTACGCAAATTGTGACATCCATAATGAATCAATTTAGAGTAACACCACTCTCAATAGCAATACCCAAGTGCTTCAGAATAACTTGAAAAGCATTGTCAGAAGTAACCACCTTTCTAAGTTTATAACAGTTTTAATTTATATATTTTGGACATTCCCCTTTTCCAAAATTAGTTAGCCGTCATAAGTTTACATATTTGCTTTTGAGCTAGTATCACTTTCAAGGGATACATTTCTCAATGAGAGGCTGCCTTTAAAATTGGAGCATAGTGTAATGTTTACTTTGTCTTACAGAACCCATGTCCACAGCTTCATCTCATCAGCAGCTGGGGGAGAAAGTGGAGGATAAAGAGCAGAGAGAGAAATCCAGATGTAAAGATGAAATCAGCAAGACTGACGCTGGAGATGAGACCAGCACTTGTACAGTCTGGACCTGCTCAAGTGACTTAGAATCAACTCCAGATAAGCAGGCAGATTATTCATCCCAAGCCACAATGACAAGTTACCCTGTGGAGTGCTCAACTATTAACAGTAAGTTCAAAAATAAGTCCAAGTAGTAAATGTAAAAGCTGTGGCTTAAGTTTGCTAAGTTTTTTTTTTTATTATTTATTGCAGATGCAACAGACAGTAAAAGGTAAGTTATAAAACTAAGGTCCACACACAGATACTTCAATCATATACTTTATTGACATAAGCAAAACATAATTTGGTGACTAAAAAACACAAGTACCTAGGACTTCACTTGTTGCAACAGCTTGAAAAGCTTCTGGGATGGATGCTTACTGTTTGGAGCAGGTCCAGGGGCATTTTGACTTGTGACAGACTGATAATTCACCTGTAGTGGAATTGCAAGTTCAGGTTGCACTGACTGAAACACAGACCCATGGTTTGAAACAACCGGACCACTCAAGGCTTGGGTACTTGTAGACTGGACACTTGATGGCACAACAACAGAAGAGGTCTGAAATCCAGATGGTAGGACAGTCTCAAAACTTGATTGTACCAGAGGCTGGAAGCTGGACTGCAATGGCATGCCTGAGGAAGGGCTGGACTGAGTGAGAGACAGACTACTGGGCAGCATTTGAGGCTGGGAAACAATCTGTCCTGGAACAGGGGATATCTGGTATTCAGCGAGAGAGACAGTCTCAGAGCCTGATTGTGCCACAGGCTGGTACATGTGTTCCACTGGCAAAGCTTGAGAGTAGACAGGCAGAGATAGAGACTGATGGCTAGGATGAGCTGGTGATAAAATGGATTGGAGTGTAGATGTGTGGGGTTTGGGATGCTTAGACTTTGTAGGGGTCTGGTTGCCGGACTGTACAACAGGCTTGGTGTGCGAAGTTACAGCTGGAGACTGAAATCTCCTCTGGTAACCATGCTGAGGTAACTCTTGACATGAATAAAGACTGGAGCCAATCTGGTGAACCCTATGGGAATGCACCGGCTTGAAATGCGATTGTCCACTCTGCTCAACAACATACTCATGGGTGGAGTGTCCTGCTTGCTGGCTGATAGGTAGGGATACAGAGAAGTCAACATGCGCTGGCTGTTGAAGACCGAGCTGTGCCACCCACTGTGAGCCGGGCTGCACTGGTAGTGGCACACTGGCCTGGCTTGCAGACTGATAGCCGATTTGTGCTGGTTGAACAACAATTTGGGGCACAGTTAGGTAGCTGGTTTGTCCTGGCTTTTGGGAAGCAGACTGGGCCTCTGATTGGTAGATGGCTTGTAGTGGCAGTTGTAGACCATGTTGGGGCACAGACTGGTAGGTGGTTTGTACTGGCATTTGGCTAGTGGACTGAGCTACAAGACTTGAGCTTGGTTTATAGACAGGACTGGTACTGGATGGAGGCTTGGACCCAAACTGAGGTCTACCTTTGTGGGGCTTGAGAAGAGTCAGGCTGCTGGGCTGAGCAGTCAAGACATAACTACCGTGTAGTGGTTTCTGGTCATTTGACTGGGAAATGGATTGGCTTGTCTGAACTAGCTGTTGACTGGTGGCCTGTTCTACAGTGGCATCGACTTCCTGTTGAATCAGCTGACTGCTGGGCTGAACAGAGATGTCAACATGGGGAGGCTGCATGCCGCTTGGCTGACTTGCAGTCTGGCCACTGGACTGGCTGACAAGTTCATAGTTAGCCATAGCTAGGCTGCTTGGCATACTGCCATATAGTAATATTGGTGCAGACTCCTTTTTAGGAGTAAGGGGCTTTGAATTGAATACTGGATTTTGAACTGGCCTGGTACCAAAAACAGTATTAGAACCAGACTTGTGGGGCAGTCTATTGGCATAAACTGCAGACTGGAAGCCAGGTTGTGGAAGTTGATGGCCGCTGGTCTGGGACAACTGGAGAGAGACAGACTGGGCCATGGTTCCAGAACTTGCTGGTTGCTGACTGTTGGACTGGGGGCCAGTCTGCACTTGGGAAGTTAACAGCACAGGCTTAGGAACAGAGTAACTGCTTTGCTGCAGTGGCATCAAGACTGAAGAGCTGATGACTTCAGATTCTTGGACATCAGTTGATTGGTTCATATCATACTCAGACACGGCCAGACTTGCTTTATTTCCCACTGTACCATAAACGAGACTACCACTTCCAGCTACAACACCAGATCCTTGAAGTTGGCTTCTAGTGGAAGAATCAGAGCTTGGTTTTTCACTTGTGATGGAAACACCTGAAGAGCCAGCCAGAGAACTGTAGCTTCCGATATCATAGCCACCTTTTACTGCAGCACTATACCCAGTATAGCTGCCCATGCTTCCAGGGCTACTTGCAATAACTAAAGAGATACAGAATTCAGTCATCAAATGCTGGATTTAATAATAAAAATAAATTTTAAAAAAAAGGAACACCTTACCAGATGTGACATCACTTGCACTAAGGGCTATAAGCACTGCTAAAGAACTACAAAGAAAAAAAGGCAACTTTTAGTGAGTGAAAAAAAAATACACTTTAAACAATAACATACAAAACATACCTTAAAATCCACATTGTTGCAGCACCCATAAGTCTTCCACTGCTCTCAGTAACAAAACTACACCATGAAAAGAGAAGCTTTCAACACATCATGTGATACTGTTGCTGAGTTGGTCTTTTTATAGTGGCTACAACAACCAATCAGCTTGCCAGATTATTGCCTCAGACCAATCAGTTGTCACAGGAACCTCTAGTGGATCATTATTAGTTTCAGGTGTCTATTGTGAGGCGGTGCACATTATTTTCACGGTATGTCAGGTGTTGTTTTGTGTCTTGAGAAAATCTCTTCTATCATTCCTGCATTCGGTGAAAGTTCTGAAGAAAAAAACTCTTCAATTTAATACTTTTTTCAATCAATATGTGGAGCCATTTTTGAACTACAAGCTAACTTTAGAGCTTACAACAACTTCTCTCACTTTTCCCATTTAGCACTCTAATGACTTTCATAACCGATTACATTTAAGCATATTAATATAATACAAATCCACATAAAGGGAGATATTTAATGCTAAATGAAATGCAATTCTGAAGGACTGTAACATTTTGAAGCATGATAACACCATGCAATAAAATATGTTTATCATCTTTTTTATTAAGTAGAAGGTATTAAGTGAAGATTAAATAACTTACATAAGACTGGACACATTACCATCTACATTCATACATACTGTACACCGTAAAAGCAAAATTTCCATCTCATTTCCATTTTCTCTACACAAAACACTGTGGCACACAAGTGAAAACACAAGTGCTTTTTGTGATGCTGACTATGTGGGGCTGATGGCATCTGAACTCTTCCCCTTCTCTCCTACACCCACCATCTAGTATTAGTTTTGAACTGATCTCAGTACGGTTATATCCTAGAAATTAGTTGTAATATGGCTGTATATTTGGGGAATGTTCCAGAGATCAAGCTTCAACAGACTCTACAGCACCAGAGGATTTAAATGAAGAGGAAGACCACACTTGCACTGTGGTGAAGATCCAGAGAGATACATGCACTATTAAAACAAACGCAGGGACAGAGGATTTCAGACACAGCCCATCACAAAATGCTGAAGGTAAGAGAAAAAACCTCAAATTTGTTTTAAAATGGACACCACTAGTAATCAAATGAACAGTAATCAAACTGCACATTTTAGTTTGAATGGATATTAGATAATATCAGAAAACTAGTTTGTAAAACAATCCTCTGTTTATTATTGTTTCAATATTCCAATTAGTATTGTTCAATTATGTTAGGCAATATTTTATATTTATTTTATATTCAACCACATTCAGGATAATGCAGTGACAGTATGGCTATTTATCTGTGGTTCTGTAATCACCTTTTATCATTATTTTAAACATTAAAAGAACATATACAACAAAAGTGAGCATATACAGACTTTCCTTAAAACTTCATGAGACGGAATTTTTGAGGACTAATTGCAGTAAATGAATTTACATGGTGAAAAGTGTGATCAGGAAAACATTAAGTCCACATCAATTTTACAAGTGTCTAGAAACTGAAAGGTCTTCTCGTGGCCAGCTGCATAAATGCTATCATGTTAATATATAGATCAGTGGCTCAGTGAGCATTGTTTAGATCAATGTGTGAACAATGGAAAATGTGGTTTATTTTTTTAGAAAAAAAAAAAAAGTTTAGGTAAAGATTAAAAGCTATTAGAAAGTTAAAACATTTTTGTTTACTTGATAAATGGACAGATGGATGGATGGAAATTTGTGGATGGATAGATTTGTGCCCACTTTGTTTTCAATGGCATGTATAGGGTCATGTTTAATGGAAAACATCTAGTGTAGTAAATTCAGTATACTTTTCATATACAGTAGAATGCACTTTTGGAGTTAAGTTGCGGTCACATGAGTGCATCAGACCGGAAACGGAAGTTTGTGCGTCAAGTTCCGCAGTTCACTGCGCTGCAAAGTTCAAGCTTGCTGAACTCTGACCTGCAGAATCGCATCACTTGACTGCGTGAGACCAACCGAGAATCAAAACTTTAAAAAACTAAATTTATAATGTGGAGCAATCGCTTGCTTTTTTAAATGTCTAATAATCTTGTTTATTCCCGCCCCTTCTCGCAGCGCTGTACAACAGAATTTTACACGCACTTAAGCTGCGGTCACACTGGAGCTGCGTCCCAAATGGCACACTATACACTATGCACTCATGCACTATGTACTTATGCACTTACACACTCAACAGGATAGTATATGCATATAGTGTCGTCCCAAATGGCACACTAATGTTTTTTTACTAAGCGGAAATTCAAACCGTTTCCCTGATGACGTTTGACGGACGCCAAATCAGTGAAATAAACGACCGAATTATCAAATATTACCTGCCGTGAGTGTTGCCGCATTCACCATCGGGAGGCGCTATAATCACTCTCGTAGAAGAATTTTGTTTTCACCATCCAAAATAAATAAAGTTATCCAACATGTGCGTCCGATAGCTCCGCCTCTTCCGCTACGTAGGCAAACCTGCGGTCGTTGAGTGCGTGAAGTGTCCATCATTACACACTTCATTTTAGCGGCTGAATGAGTGCATCATCCGGGAAATTAAAGTGCACTTATTATTTTTAGACTTTTCAGTGTGAACACACTACTTACACTGTTTATACTACAAAATGGCGTAGAATAGTGCATAAGTATGCGATTTGGGACGCAGCTTGGGCTTTTCCTCCCATAGACTTCCATTCATACACGCGCGAATGCGTCAGACCGGAAACGCAGGGTCATGCGTCAAGTTTCACAGGCTGCTGAGGTGCAAAGTGCAAGCTTGGTGAACTCTGACCTGCGAAATCGCATCACTTGACTGCGTGAGACCAATCGAGGTTCAAAACGTGACATCTCTTGACAGAAATTTAAAACATGGAGCAATCGCTCCATTAATTTTTTAAATGTCTAATAATCTTGTATAATCCCGCCCTTTTTTGCAGCGTCGCACGACAGAATATGGCATGCTCAAACTCTAATGTGACCGCAGCTTTACAGTCAATGCCCTTTCATTTGTTTTAAGGCTGGTGAGTAATTGACATAATTGTTATTTAAGATTTCTTATGTTTTAAGTGGATAATGTAAGCACCATTGTTTGCTGCAGTTATTTATTTTATCAGCTAAACGGATATAAAACAGCGGCAAAATCTGAAATGCTATGAAGGTAGATTATATGATCTCTTTTATTATATTCTTTTCATCAAGAAAGCAGTTTAAGTGATCATAAAGATTTCTGAAAGCACATCTCAAAGCATTTATTTTTTATTGTGGTAAACTACTAAACTCCTGAGCCTCAGAGATTGCGGGGTGAGAACATAATAGTTTTTTTCTATTCTGGACTTCTATCTAATTGCAAAGGTAATCGTTTTGTTTTCTAAAATTGTAACAGATTGTCAGACACTTCCTTTGAGGTGTATTAGAGCCGTTATGCTGTAATCCGTGACTGCTCTTCCCGTTCAACTTTGTTTAAAATGCTTTAGGTCAGGGGTGCCCAAATATGGTTCTGGAGGGCCAGTGTCCTGCAGAATTTAGCTCCAACTTGCCTCAACACACCAGCACAAATGTTTCTAGATAGCCTTGTAAAGCTACGGTCACGTTGGACTTTTCTTCCCATAGACCTCTATTTATACGCATGCGAATGCAAGTTTTCAAGTTTAAGGGGTGGGATTAAAGGGGTGAAATTAAACAAGATGATTAGACATTTAAAAAAGCGAGTGATTGCTCTATATTTCAAATTTCTTTCCAGAGAGGTCATGTTTTGATTCTTGATTGGTGTCACAGTCAAGTGATGCGATTTCGCAGGTCAGAGTTTACCAAGCTTGAACTTGCAACATAGTGAACTTGACGCATTTGCATGTTTATAAATCAAAGTACTTTAAATGGGAAGAAAATTCCAGTATGACTGCAGCTTTAGAGCTTGATTAGCCAGCCCAGGTGTCTCTGATTGGGGCTGGAACTAAACTTGCAGGACACCAGCCCTCCAGGACCGAGTTTGGCACCCCTGCGTTGAGTCATCTTTCAAAAGAAAATATTTGTAGCAATCTGCCAAATTTAGCTCCGTTGGACTGTTTGAATTAACAATGACTAAATCATTAGTGGGGCGAAGCAGTGGCGCAGTAGGTAGTGCTGTCGCCTCACAGCAAGAAGGTCACTTGGTTGCTGTTTGGAGCCTCGGGTTAGTTGGCTTTACTGTGTGGAATTTGCATGTTCTCCCTGCATTCGCGTGGGTTTCCTCCAGGTGCTCCGGTTTCCCCCACAGTCCAAAGACATGTGGTACAGGTGTATTGGGTAGGCTAAATTGTCCGTAGTGTATGTGTGTGTGGATGTTTCCCAGAGATGGGTTGCGGCTGGAAGGGCATCCGCTGTGTAAAAACTTGCTGGATAAGTTGGCGGTTCATTCCGCTGTGGTGACCCCGGATTAATAAAGGGGCTAAGCCAACAAGAAAATGAATGAATGAATCATTAGTCAAAGTTAGAAAGGTTAGTTTTACAAGGTTTGTGTTTCACCACAAAATACATGTGCTAAAAGCCATCTATAATGTATTTTGTTAAATTAATCTTGTTTAGTAACTTTAGCACGAAAAGGTGTTGATTTAGATTATTGCTACATCTTGTAGGAAGCAGCTCTCATATCAGGAAATGAAAAGGAAGTACCTGAAATCCAGCAATTTTGCTGTTTATGCTCTGCTCTCTTTTTTCTGTCAAGAGAGAATCCACAAAAAATAATAAACCTTTTTTGTTGCTTTTACACCACAAACTATTCTCACAATCATTAAATTTGCATTTCTTTAAACACACACACACACACATATATATATATATATATATATATATATATATATATATATATATATATATATATATATATATATATATATACATATTTTTTTTTATTTTTTTATTTTTTTTATTTTTTTCTCTCTCCAGGAAATGTGTCTACAGAATCAGAACACCAGACGGCTGGTCCGGAGGTGATCTATGATGATGTTCCCAGTGAAGATCTGTCTTCAGGAGAAGGTCAGTGTGTGTTTGTGTCTGTCATTCAGTGTACAGTATAGACATCTTCTAGAGTGGAATATGTTTGATTGCAGAGTGTGCCTGGGAGTTTAGTGTTCATAGCCTACCCTGGAAGATATGCGTGTGTTTATATAGTTTTTAACCTAATGGTGGTATTAATGTGGAATTCTATAAATCATGCTTATTTCATCATAATTATATTTGTTTACCAGAGTCTTCATTCATTCATTTCCTTTTTGGCTTAGTCCCTTTATTAATCTGGGGTGGCCACAGCGGAATGAACCGCCAACTTATCCAGCATATGTTTCAAGCAGCTGATGGTCTTCCAGCAGCAACCAATCACTGGGAAACACCCATAAACACTCATTCACACACATACACTTTGGACAATTTTAGCTTACTCGATTCACTTAAAGCACATGTCTTGAGAAACCGGAGCACCCGGAGGAAACAAATGGGAGCACGGGGAGAACATGCAAACTCCACACAAAAACACCACTGACCCAGCAGAGGCTCGAACCTGAGACATTCTTGCTCATTGCCCCACTGTGCAGCCTACAAGAGTTGTTCTAGTTTAGTAGGTCATGTTAATGTAAAAACATTTTATTTTGAGTAATGACTATAACAACCCTCTTGTAAACAAATATATGGTTATAGAAATATAATTTATGCTCAGAACACCCATTTAGTAGACAAAACACCCATCTACAATGTTGGAGAAAGTTACATTTTAAAGTAATTCATTGCAATATTGAATTACTCCGCAAAAAAAGTTGCATTCGTTACTTTTGATAGAAAGTAATGTGTTACTTTTGTGTTACTTTTTTTTTGTATTTTTGTTACTCCATTTTTTAAATAGACAAGGTGCAATGAACAACACAGTGTTTAAACTTTATTAAAAAAGAGAGGGAAAATGATGGGGATAGTTTCAAATTGAATGTAACATTTTATTTGTTTGTTATATTGTTAAGCTAGATTAATTAAATTAAATGTTTAAATTTAAATGCTGTAATTTAGTTTAATATGTACCGAGAATAACGAGAATGCTTCCAGTGCAGAAATGTAAGGCTCTGCCATCTTGGTTTCGGTTTGTTTTTGCATGGAGAAAATTCTCTCATCGAGTGCTGGATTCGAAGTGAATTTTATCTTAGCAATTTACAGTATTTTCTAAAAGCAAATTAATTAAACTAAAAAGTAACTCGCATTACATTTTTTTTAAAAAAGTAACTCAAATATTATTACATAATTTTTAAAAGTAATGCATTACTTTGCTAATTTCTTTGAAAAGTAATGCATTACCCCCAACACTGCCCATCTACTGTACAGTGTGTGTAAAGTTACAGTATATAACATGTTTCTTTGTACCAGCTTGTCATTGTCAAAATCCCTACCACTGTATAAAAGACTGTACTCAAACCTGTATTTCTGTTTGTCAGCTGACTTGATATATGAAGACGTTCAGAAAGAGGAGGGCTTGCAAGGGCCCAATAATGGCTGGAGCTCAAGTGAGTTTGAAAGCTATGATGAGCAGTCTGACTCTGAGAGGCCGCCAACCCGCAGCAAGGTGCGTGTGTGTGTGTTTATGTTAATACAAGACTCCCCACAACTGCAATAATTACATCTTGCCAAACATCTGATTTATCTTCACACACATTTCCACATTCCTCATCATGATAAACCACAATGGTCCTTAAAAAGATTTAAACCCTCCAAGGTTGCAAGCTGATTGATGGTTATGTGTTTTGATGATTTATTTGTGCTGCTTTGATGGTCTGCGGAGGCTTGCTGTGCGCTTCATCAGCACAAGAGGGCAGTGTTGACCACCACATACTGAATCGCTACTAACGCCAGCCGTAACTGACACACTTTTCCACTGCTCTATATTGCTGCAAATTTGAATTCAGTGTGCACTGCTTTATCTGCCCTTACACGTTCATGAGGTCACACTGGTATGGAAAACACTTTGCCCAAGCGGCAGTCCCTGAGAAACCAATTTCCCTTGGCCAGACTCACCTTTACCTCCGCTGAATTAGGCTCTGTAAGATTCCTGCTGCCAGACGACTCCCGATAAGCAAGAATTAGATTGCTGAGTCTAATACCACGGTGATTTCAGCTCAGTTTTACCAGCTATTCCTCCAGCATATTTAGTGCATTTATAATTGTAGAGGAATGATTTTTGGTTAAAAGGTGTCAGGTGTTGTAAACTTGTTAAGAATAAAATGAACTCAAAAGGACAAGCAAGCTACAACTGCATGAAGAAATTGGGATTTTATTATGCAAAAAAATTATAATAGGCATTCCTTAGTGCTAGTTCTCTCTGTAGAAATATTTTTTACCATTTAAAGGCTCAAGGTCCGTAAGTTTGTTTGCCAAATTATTATTCAAGTCAATTGATGAATCACAAAATTGTTTGTAAAAAAAAAAGTAGATTTAGAAAGGATGCTACAAAGATTTGTGTTTTTCGTTTGATCAGAGGATCCTGAAAAACATTCATCACAGTTTGCACAGTGACATAAATAAAAATATGTTTTTGAGCATTGAATAAGCTATTTAAAATGATTTCCGAAGGATTATTTGACACTGGAGACCAGAGTAATGACAACAAATTAAGCTTTTAAAATCACAGGAATAAATTACTTTTTAAATGCTCTCACTGGCCACTTTATTAGGTACACCTTACTGGTACTGGGTTGGACCCCCTTTTGCCTTCAGAACTGCCTTGATCCTTCGTGGCATAGATTCAACAAGGAACTGGGATTATTGCATAGAGATTTTGGTCCTTATTGACATGATGGCGCCACGCAGTTGCTGCAGATTTGTCGGCTGCATGTCCATGATGTGAATCTTCCATTTTACCACATCCCAAAGGTGCTCTATTGGATTGCGATCTGGTGACTTCAGAGGCCATTTAAGTACAGTGCACAGATTGTCATGTTCAAGAAACCTCTCAGATGATTCAAACTATATAACATGGCACGGTATTCTGCTGGAGTAGCCATCAGAAAATGGGCACACTGTGGTCATAAAGGGATGGACATGGTCAGCAACAATACTCAGATAGGCTATGGTGTTGACACAATGCTCAATTGGTACTAATGAGGCAAAGTGTGACAAGAAAATATCCCCCACACCATTACACCACCACCACCAGCCTGAACTGTTGATGCAAGGCAAGGTTTTTACCATCTCCTACTGTCTACTTTTGGTGAGCCTGGGTGAGTTATATCCTCAGTTTCTTGTCAGGAGTTGCACCCGGTGTAGTCTTCTGCTTCTGTCGCCCATCTGCCTCAAGGTTGGACATGTTATGCATTCAGAGATGCTCTTCTGCATACCTCGGTTGTAGCAAATGGTTATTTCAGTTATTGTTGCCTTCCTATTAGCTCAAACCAGTCTGGCCCTTTTTCTCTGACCTCTGGCATCAACACGGCATTTGCAACCACAGAACTGCCGTTCACTGAATTTTCTACATTCTCTGTAAACTCTATAGATGGTTGTGCATGAAAATCCCAGTAGATCAGCTGTTTCTGAAATACTCAGACCAGCCTGTCTGGCATCAACAGCCATGCCACGTTCAAAATCACTTAAATCACCTTTCTTCCCCATTCTGATGTTTAGTTTAAATTACAGCAGATCGGCTTGACCATGTCTACATGCCTCAATGCATGGAGTTGCCGCCATGTGATTGGCTGATTAGAAATTTGCGTTAACGAGCAGTTGGACAGGTGTACCTAATATAGTGGCCAGTGAGTGTATATTAAAATCTAAAATAATCGCAATAATATTGATCATTTTTATTGTCTTTTTATTAATTGAACAGAGAAAATAATTTTAAAAAATTATAAATAAAAACCTTTTCAATGGCATTAGACATGCTATGATCTCATATTATAATTTTGGTATGTTAATTGCCGAATCTTAACCTTAATATATAGTGAGTGTTACGTCATTAGATATTAAAAAAGTGCCCAAGATAACAATATTATGTATATTTATTACCAAAATAAGGATGTATTATTGAATACTGTAATTTTCTAAATGCCATGGTATAGTATAGCTTGTTACAATTCTTTCTGTTTATATTCTTTAAGAATTTCTTTACAGAATTAAATTATTTTCATTGCACAATTTAAATTATTTCACATGCAAGATTTCACAAAAACAGTAAGCAGTGAATACAATATGAATACAGTCTCTGACTTTGTTTTGGAAATTTAGAGATGCTTGAATCAGATTAGCATTAGCGAGGGTTTACATTAAGTCAAAATGTCTTCTTCCTCTGTCTATCCCAGACATCTTTCACTCAAAAATGATTCCATGCCAGTGCCAATCATTCCTTTTGCATATGATATTATGGTTGATTCTGATTTTGCTTTGCCCTCATCCCTTAGTTTCCCCCACTTACTCCTTCGTCCCTTCCTCTCCTCCATGTTACTATGCTATTGCACCCTCACCTGTGGCCTGTGTTGTTGCTGTGCTGATACCTGTAGCTCTCCCCTGATGTGCGGCGACTGAGAGACCGTTACACCAGGACCAAACAGGAGCTAGCCATGAGACTGGGGGGCAAACACCAGGTACACTCATTCACATTTGGGGGCAGATTGGGAGTTATCACAGCTCAGGGTTATCACACGGGGCCATCACAGTCTCCTGCGGTCAAGGTTACACTTTTTGGCTTTCTCAATTTTCGCTGCTGGAAAGGAGTGTGAATGTCCATGCTGGTCAGTATTTGCTAACAAACATAACCATGCTGTTCATCTGGAATGATTAAATGTAGTACAGAAAGCATGGTGGCATACTGACATCCCAGCATCCAAAACATGAAGCATCCAATATGCTTGTTCTCTTCAGCAGGGTATGTTCTTTACGTTTGAGTGGTTCTGTCTCTTTCTCTTTGTTTATTCTGTGTTCTGAATCACAGTGTCTGTAGTGTTCATTGCTGCAAAACATGCATAGAAGTTCAACGCACTTGATAGAGTTTGATCAAACATAGAATGATAAAAGTCATATAGTTTTGTACAATCATTTAATATTTTATGTATTTTAATAAGTGCAATTCTAACTTACCCTGCATTTTTTTTGTTTGTTTGTATTAAAGATGTTTAATAGATGATCTATCATTGATATTTTTTTGTCAAAACAAGTTTAAATTTGGGCAGTCAGTGAAATTGTAAGTAAATAATCTAAAACTAGACTATATCAAATAGCAGTAAATGACTACACGTGAAGTCTTTCTAATCTGTCTGTGATTACTAGTCAATTTTGGACTATTGATTGGCCAAAATATCTATGTTTGGACATCTATTAGACATATTTTAAACAATCAAAATTGCTTGGTGGGAAAGTGTGTTGTGCTTTTGTTTCATTTAGTTTTGTTCCTGTAAATTGCAATAATATTTCATAATATTTGTGTATTTTTGATCCACTCTAGTGATTCCCTTTTTTGGAATCTACTAACATTTTGAGTAGTAGGCTGTTTTCCTATGTCATTTTAACAGTTTGACCACAGCGATAACCACTCTGGAGGTGAACTGAATAAATCTAAGATTATAGTGTACAGTTAAAGTCAGAATTATTAGCCCCCTTGTTTATTTTTTCTCCAATATATGTTTAACGAATATTTTTTTCAACACATTTCTAAACATAATAGTTTTTATAACTCATTTCTAATAACTGATTTATTTTATCTTTGCCCTGAAGACAGTAACTAATATTTTACAAGGTATTTTTCAAGACACTTCTATACAGCTTAAAGTGACATTCAAAGGCTTAACTAGGTTAATTAGGTTAACTAGGCAGGATAAGGTAATGAGGCAAGTTATTGTATAATGATGGTTTGTTCTGTAGACTATCGAAAAAAAAAAAAAAAAACACAGTTTACGGGGCTAATAATTCTTTGCTTAAAATATTTGAAAAAATTAAAAACTGCTTTTATTCTAGCTTAAAAATAAAACTTTTTTTTTTTTTCCTCTGGAAGAAAAAATATTGTCAGACATACTGTGAAAATTTCCTTGCACTGCTAAACATCATTTAGGAAATATAAAAAATCAAAGTGGGGCTAATAGCTAAAATTACTTCGACTGTATGTGCAACATGCTCCCTGTTTTTAAATCTGTGTGTTTTAATCTTGAATTTTAAATTTATTGAATACAATAGCCCAGGGGTGTCCGAACTTGGTCTTGGAGGGCTGGTGTCCTGCAAAGTTTAGCTCCAACTTCCTTCAACACACTTATCTGGAAGTTTTAGTATACTTATAAAGAGCTTGATTAGCTGGTTCAGGTGTATTTAATTGTGGTTGGAACTAAGATATGCAGGACCCCAGCCCTCCAGGACTGAGTTTGGGCACCCCTGCAATAGCCCCTTAAGTCAAATAACTCATTTCTGAGGGGAAGAGATCTTAAAGAACTAGTTCACCAATTTGTAAAAATTCTGTTAATTAATTAATGTAAATTAATTATTACCTTATGCGATTTCAATCCCTTCAGACTTTTGTTCACTTCGATAAACAAATTAAGGTATTTTAAATGAAAACTAAGAGCTCCCTCATCTTTCATTGACAGCAGTGGTCACAAGACATTCCTGAAAATTCCTGACCAGTCCTGAAAATAAACCAAAAACATTTAGTAGGCCCAATTCCAATTCTATTTTTGTACCCCTACCCCTACCCCTACTCCTACCCTTCCTCTTTTCCTTGGCTATTGAAATAGAGTGTGAAGGGGAAGGGATTAAAAATTTACCCCAAAGAAATTGGACAGCACTATAGCACCTCCACACGTCACCATATGTCATTGCGACCTCTTGCTTCATATGAGATTGACGATCACGACTGCTGTAGTCATTCCAGTTGCGTTATTTTTAGGTATTTATGTTCAAGAAATCACTGAATGCATATATCATGTTCTCATGAAGAAATAATGTGGCAATAAGATCATAACTGTACTGTGCATTTACACCCTGGCCATATTCATCTATGCAAACACACCAAAACAACATTAACATTATAGCAGACACTGTAAATAGCTCATTGCCAGCCACTAGACTTTCCTGACAGAGGATTCGAGTGTCATCGAGTGACAGAATGTTGTGGGACTACTATACAGGAGTTCTTATTAGGGATCATACAGTTATTTTATGCTTTTTGTTTTTTTTTTAAGCATGGCGAAAACCTGAATGCGGTTATGAATATATTAAAACATATGCTTGTTTGTTGTAAAACAATTATAATAATGCCAACAAATGCTGATTTGTGCATCTCCTGACTTCTGTGTGCAGCCATGCTGCTGTTGTAGCTGGTGTATTCTGGAGCTGGTGTATTCGTATCTCTTGGTTTTGAGAGTGGTCCTGAAAAATCTCAGTTTGAAGGGCTATATAGCCCTTCCCCTTAGCCCTAAACTATCACACTAAAGAGAATTGGGACACCTCTATCCCTTCACGTAAACGCGCAAAGCGAGGGGTAGAGATAAGGGTAGGGCTAAGGGGTAGAATTGGGATTGGCCCTTAATGTGACTTCAGTGGTTTAGCTGTAATCACATGAAGCTCCAAGAACATTTTTGTGCACCCAAAACACTGAAATGACTTTGTTCACCCACAGTATATCTTGCTAATCACATCATGGTAGTGTTTAAACTGGGCAATAAAACACTTGCACACTGCACTGCTGATTCAAATGACAATACCTCATATTGACTGTGGTAAACATGCCCTCTGACCTGTCTCAGAAGAAAAAACAAAGCCATTTCTCAATTATTTGGTGCACAATTGTGTTCTCGGTTGAAAAGTTGAATTTCTGAAGTTACACGCATTATTTTGACAATATTTCCAATAGTTCCTTTTCTAGACTTTAGATTGTTCAGGAGCATTGCTGTTTATGGAAGGTCAGAGAACACATTGATTTAATCTAACATATCTAAATCTATGTTACAAACATGAACAAAGGTCACAGTGGATTGAAATGACATGAGGTAATAATGCATTTTATCAACATAATTGTATTTTTTTGATTTCCAAAAGAGATACAGCATGCAATCTACTCCTCAAGGGAGCCTGTGGTCAAAGTTAACATGCTTCCTGACTTCGATTTCCTTGAAGATCCTTCTCTTTCTCACTTTCTAACCTTCTGTCTATAAACAAATCTTTCCAGTCACTTCCACTATAAAGCTCTCCATTTTGCTTCAGCTTTCTTAATCTCTCATTTGATAAGTATGAGGGTGGATTACTATGGAAACACTTGTAAACAGTGTAAAATGTAAACTGCTTTCATGTGATTGACGCAAGAGATTTGCACATGCTCCCTATTAATGACCTGCTTTTGCAGAGATGGGCCGTCCCCTTCTTTTTTAAAGTATAAAAATATCACAGCATTTTGGAGTTCCCTCACAGCTTTGGATCTTGTGGGATTGAAGCAAACCTCTTTGAGCACACACCCAACAGCTGCCCTGTCGCATTGAACTGGTGTGTTACAAATGGCAGGCAAACCCAATCATGGCTGTTTACGCTCCAGGGCTTGAGATGGTCGACCTTTTACTATAAGGGTGCATCACGTCACTGGTTATGGAGGAACTCCTGCTGGGCTTCCCATGATTTTCTGTTCCCCTCTGGTCTCTGTGCAGGTCCATCAGCTGATGCGGGCGGCACGCAGCGGAACGAAAGATGGCCTGGAGAAGACCAAAATCGCTGTGATGAGGAGAGTTTCATTCCTACATAAAAAGGACCACTCAGGTAATCTAGGAATGATTTCATATTTAGAATTTATCTTCATTTAAGTACCCTTCCTGACTACTATTTCTTTGAAAAAAATCATATTCAGGAAAGAGGCAATTATACATTTTTAAATGTTTTTGTTCCTCATTCGAATGAAAGATTAGCTACACCTTTTTAGATATAGTAGATGTCCTTGGCATCTAGACATGATAGAAAAAAGGCAGAGTTTAAGAAGGGAGCTGGAGGTAGAGGTTGAAAACAAGAAAAAAATGATATTATAAATATTCCTGCTTCTAATATATATATATATATACTTTCTTCCAGGGTCATTTTTATCGAAGTTGATGTTTAATTGCACCATGTTTGGTGTTTCGTAACATCAGTTAATTTTTTTTACAAGGTGGGTTGATAGCCCAATGCTCAACCCTCAACCTGGTGGACCAGGTCACACACACAAACACTATGGACTATTTATCTTACTCAATTCAACTATAGAGCATGTCTTTGGACTTGTGGGGGAAACCCACACAAACACAGGGAGAACATGCAAACTCCACACAGAAATGCCAACTGACCCAGCCAGTGACCTTCTGGCTTCTATTTAGCAATTTCTTTGATGCATGTGTGAAGTCCACATGAAAAGAAAATTTACAAAATTTATTTTGCTAGCTTACGTTGCTATTCTTAAGGTGAATAATTAACCTATGCTAGGTAATCTTCAGTTAAAGTGTGACCATTTGCTTCCACATTTTAAGCCACCTTCTTCGTTGACATCAACTATGGCTTCCTTAGCAATTCCTAACCATGCTCCTCTGACTGTTAGTTTCTAAAAGTATAAATTATGTGCAAAAAGAATGCCCCAACCCTGCACAATATTGTGTTTGAGTTAGATCATTCATTCATTCATACATTTTCTTTTTGGCTTACTCCCTATATTAATTCGGGGTCGCCACAGCGGAATGAACTGCCAACTTATCTAGCATGCTAGTATCTAGCATCTAGCAACTTTTATCTAGCATGCCTTCCAGCTGCAACCCATCTCTGGGAAACATCCATCCACACACTCATTCACACACACACTTATACACTACGGACAATTTAGCCTACCCAATTCACCTGTACCGCATGTCTTTGGACTGTGGGGGAAACCGAAGCACCCGGAGGAAACCCACGCAAACGCTGGGAGAACATGCAAACTTCACACTGAAACACCAAGGCTCGAACCAGCGACCTAGCGAACTTCTTGCTGCGAGGCGACAGCACTACCTACTGCGCCACTGCTTCGCCGGAGTTAGATCAATACAATGAAATAAAAGTCTCAGAATCTTCGAGTGCCTGTGGATTTAAGAACTACAGAGGCGTTAATTTTGAACATTTTTCATTTATTTAAAATTACAAAACACAAAAGAGCTATGTATATTTCTTCCTTTATTAGTATAGTGGTCAAAATGACCTCATGCATTTTAGGGTGCACTTACACTGTTCTCAGGGGCGCCCTCTATGGCCACCCCAATATGATTTAGTTGTTTATATTATATTTCAATAAATAAATTAATTAATTATTAAATAAAATGCAGCCACTATATTATTGTTGATTGATTGTGGCTGATTCACTGAAATTGCACACTTTTTATTAAAAAATATTATTTTTTATATTTTTCTTTTATCTGATTGAAAACCACAAATCCAAAAATAAATGAATAGATGCATTTTGAAATCAGCTTTTCAGAATGTAGTTTATTTAGCAGCTTCATTATTTTGCTGGTTGACTTAAAAGAGCCAGAAATCTCAATGATTTTGTGGCTGCATTTTGCAAAAAGGTACATCAAAAGAAGAATATGTATTAATATATTGTGGCTCAAGAAGGAGCATGAATAAATCATGGTATTAGGGTAAGTGTTTTCTGTAAGTGTGTGTGTGTCTGTGTGTGTCTGTGTGTGTCTGTGTGTGTGTGTGTGTGTGTGTGTGTGTGTGTTTGTTGTAATGTCTTTTGTTCCGTTTGTTCATTTGTTTGTTTTATTATTTCAATCATTAATCTCCATTAATTTTAGATATGGCATGTACTCTATGCTGTACAATAAAAGTATGTAAAAAATAACTTACCTGAAAGGTGTTTTTAAAATAGGCTAAATGTTGATTTTTATTTGGTTTGCACGTGTACTTGCTGAACTATTTCAAGGAATAAATTGCAATATTTCAAGAGTAATTAATTGAATTGATTAAAACGTCTTTATTTCATTTACCAGAAACAAAGAGCAAAACATTACTCATTATACACAATATATATAAAAAAATATTTTGTGTGTGCCACTGACTGTTCTATCCAAACCGTGCCTAGGCGTGTTTCCTGGTTCTTTTGACAAGTGTGTGTGATCCAAATCAGGCCCAGGCGTGGTTCAGTTGGCCGACCCTGCCCCAGTTGGAAGAGGTGTGCCAGAGCACAGTTCGGTTGAGCTTTGTCATGGTATGGTTGTAGTGTGAGGGCAAAACTGCAACGAAACTGAAGATGTAACATAACTTTTAAGGAAGTGTTTTATATGGATTTATGAATTATTTTTACTTTTCAATTAACGCAAACTGTCATTATTTATGTAAAGACGCAAAGCACTAACTGCACTTTCTACCATAATTTATGTGGATCTGTTCGGCAAAATATTTGACTGCGTATCACTGCATAAAACTAAAATGACATACTTAAAGCAGTCTCCACTGTGCTGAGCGAGAGCTCTTCTCTTTCTGTTAAACTGAACAGTTGCCTCATGAATGACGTACTGTACAGTAAGCGTGCTCAGGTTCAAAAGGTAAAATGCTGTGTGAGCGCAGCCGTCAGGGGGAGAAAGGAGGTGGGACAATTTCATTTCGGCACGGTATAAGGCAACTGTAACTAGTGTGAGTACACCCTCAGTGTCTGCTACTTTTCCCGGTGGCTTTAAGTATGTGTCTTTGTTGTCCAGCAACTTCTTGCTAACAAAAACAGCTGGCAAAAACATAACTTTACTTCAGATAAGGCTTCCAAAACAGCATATTTGGAATTCTGGTAGTTCCAGTGTTAAGGAACCCTTTGGGATAATGTTGTCAGGATACTGAAATTTCAGTACCAATCGGCACTGAAATTTAAAAAATGTTCATTTCCATAACAGAAATAACTGTGATTGGCTATGAAAGTCATCAGTTCACTGCTTTTCACTGCTGTCTACAGATTACAGATACAGGGACACTGGAGCATTTTAAAGCCTAGAAGATCATTCGATTCATCTGCAGATCGCTTGTATATGAGCTCATAGACAGACAAGATGATCAGTGTTGTTTATGAATGTGGGTAAATTTTAGGAGGAAATCGGTTGGTACCAAAATCAATTTTTATGACAACAAAATTCTAATACAACATTTTTTAAAACAATGTAAAAAGTAGATCAATCATTAACTGACCAATCAGAGAGTACCAGGCTTGTGAAGAGGAGGTGTTTATTCAATTTTTAAATTGTTTGAGACTTGGGGTGATTTGAAATGTACGGTATATTATGAGAAACAAATTTGTTTTTAATGTAACGTATGTAAAACACTGTTCCTGGGAAGCTTAAAAATAGCATTATAGGGGCAGTTAAATATAAAACATTGGAAGAAGAGCTGAGAGGGATATTTGATGCTCAGGAAAATTTTCTTGGTTGTCATAATGTCCTTCTGCACAATAGGGAATGATTACCATTTGGAAATAGAAACTAGGACGATGCTTTATACAATTGCAATTATAACGAAGCACCACACTGTGTATAGTACTAAACATTTGATTTGGAGGTTCTGTTATTTCTTTTAAAGTTTTAAGAGCCTGAAAAAGGCATTTGAAGATTTTAAGCCTTTGGGAAGAGCTACAAAATTGTATGTCGGATGTTTTACCTTTGTAGTCTTGTGGAGTGAAAGATGTTTGGATGTGACTTAGTTCCACCTGTTCTGTACTGAATGTACTTTTTTCCTTGTTTGTAATAAGATAGCAGAAGAATATGTATTCTTATCTTTGCAGGGAGACATAATATGTTTTGAACTTGTTTTTGTGTATCCTGTGTTCAGATGACACCGAGGATGATACAGGGTATCTGGATGTGATGGTATCTGAAGCAAAACACCCACCTGCACAACTGGGACCAATGCCAGATGGACTAAGCAGCCAGCAGGTGTGTGTATATGCATTTATTGGTATGAAAGTGTGTTTTAACTTGTTTGTTTATTTAATCCAAGCCAAAATATACACATTTAAGTGACCCTCATTAGGGTAGTAAAATTAACATAAATATAATATATTTCAATCAATAACAAGCACTTGAAACAGTTTAATATAGGCTTCTCTAAAACTTTAAATATTCACTTTATTTTATTTAGGGTAGATTATTATTTTATTTAACAACAAACACAATTTTATGGCAATTCATGTTCTAAAATTGTTTGAATTCGCATCTCTTCAAATATTATTAATTATTCTTGTTTATTGATAACTGACCAACAAAAGATATATTAAAATTACGATAAGAATTAAAGCAAACACTTGTGCTTTGGGAAATAACACTCATCGTAGACGTCACGGGATGACTAATCAGAATGGAACGTGTAGCTGGTAACACATTTGTTACCAGCGACAAGATTTTAGCAAGAAAAAAAATCACAAAAAAAAGGGATAATTTTCTTAAAATAAATAAAAATTAATTTTGTTAAATTTATACCAACTGTTCATTTCAACAGTACATATTTCTCTGCACACAGTAACTTTACCAAAACACTGGAAATCTGAAAATGAAATTATTCTGTCAAAGAATAACTCTTGTTTCAACTTCACAAGGTACATGCAGTAAATCAAACTGCACCAGGTTTCAAAATACTGGCTATTGTTGACATTGCAAAAACTGCAGAGACTTTTATGTTTCAGTTTCACATGTATTTGCATGCAAAACATGCAATCCACCATTTTGGCAACACTTTTCTTGGTTGCGAACTCTATGTCCAAATGTACAGAAATGTTCCCATTCAAAAGCATTCCAGTAAAAAGCAAATAAGTTTTTTTTTTTTTCTACAGGAGGTACAGTATAAACACAGTATGATAGAACTGCAAAAGTTTTGCAGTATTGCTTACAGTGAACAAAATATCCATGAAACAAACAAGAGCATTCTGAACAAAGCAACAACCAAAAAAAAAAAAAAAAAAAAAAAAAAAAAAAAAAAAATCAGCAAAATGCCCAGATAAAAAGGGGATCTAAAAAAAGCTTATATTTAAATATAATAGAAAATCTAAATGTAATAAAAAAATAACCCCTGCCACTAAGTCTAAACCAGACTGGAATCAGCTGTGTTTGGCCCAGTTTACCCAACATAAATGTGTCAAACCAATTGTTTGTTAATAACAGTTTAGATCTATTTTGATATTGTTTTTGAACTGATATCATTGCAGAAGCAGAGGTTTTTATACTGTACCTGAGGTTTGGAATATTTTTTTGCTATTGGGGGATGTTGTGTGTTAACAGTCATAAATAATACAAAAACTATTCATAATTTTATTGGGAGGTGTACAGTAACTTGTTAAGAAAATGTAAGAATTGTGGAAATGTGTTTACTTACTGCAAATTGGGTGAAAACTACATGAAATGTGTGAATGGTATGGCCATAAAAAAATGCTTTGTTTATTGTGGTTAGAGTTTTGAAAATGTGTCAGCTGGTTGGACAAATGCTTGTTAGTGACAAAAAAAAAAGCTGTTTAAAAACAAAATGATGACATTTTGATTTTCAAATTCATATATATCTATTAAAAAATAAGTAAATGTTGTGTAATATGCTGTTGGTTATATTGTATTTGTTCAATTGTCTAAACTGTTTAGATGGATAGGTAGACAGTAAACATTAATGCATTAAAGTTATTAAATTTGACAGTAAATGCATTTTTGATGTTACAATGGCTTATTTTACAAAAAATACATACTATATGTCATGTTAACTATGTCATTCATCTCATCCACAGATTGTTAGACGCCATATTTTGAGCTCCATTGTGCAAAGTGAAAGAAGTTACCTGGACTCTCTTAAAAGAATCCTGCAGGTAAAATAGATCATTTAATGTATTTAATGTTTCATTGCATCTACCTGAATCACTGCAGATGTATTGGTGAAACTGAAAAACAAAAACAAACAAAAAAACTGTGGTAATTTGTCAGTGTCTTATTTGTTCTTTAGTATACTAAGGTCAAACTGGAATTTAATGCTTTGATACTTCAACGGCTTTTTTATATATATATATATATATATATATATATATATATATATATATATATATATATATATATATATATATATATAAAAAGTCATTTTGTTTCTGAGATTAATTAAGATTATAGTGACATTTAGGGTTTCTCAAAATGTTTGCACTGTGTACATTAAAATGTTAGCCAAAATGTCACTGTTAATTTGTATAAATTGTTTTTGAAAGAGGCGGCATGATGGCTCAGTGGTCTGTCGCCTCACAACAAGAAGGTCGCTAGTTCGAGTCCCGAATTGACCATTTGCCATTTCTGTGTGGAGTTTGCTTGTTCTTCCTGCATTAGCGTGGATTTCCCCCGGGTGCTCTGGTTACCCCCACAGTCTAAAGACATCCGTTTTAGGTGAATTGAATAAACTACATTTTTCCGTAATGTACGAAGGTGAGTATGTATGAATGTTTCCCAGTACTGGGTTGCAACTGGAAGGGCATATGCTGTGTACAACATGTCCTGGAATAGTTGATGGTTCATTCCTCTGTGCCGACCCCTGATAAACGAGGGACTAAACCAAAGGAAAATGAATGAATGAACGTTTTTGAAAGGGCTAGAAATGATAGCTCTTCTTTAACCCTTTAAATTATATTGCTACCAATTTCTCTGGTAAATTTGTGCTTCCAAGATCACTCGAAGCAATTTTTGAGTGTTTTTATTTAATGATAAGTACAAATCTAGCTTTCAAAGCCTCAAAAGAAATGATATCGCTATAAATTGTCTTTAATATGAATTTGCGTACACATTTGCCATCTTTAAATGGAGACATGCGGGACGGCGCGTTTCATAGTGGGGAGTTTCATTACACATAATTCTGAACTCAGCTAGTGGTTGGAGGGAAAAGCGTTTGTTATCACACTCCTTTGAAGGCACAGGCACCGTCTAAAATTGAATCACAGATCAATGACAGCTTTACGCTCTATGAAATCTAGTCACTCAGGATCTATCTCCAAGCTTTGTTGTCAAATCAAAGCTCTGTCGGGTGTACTTTACAATCCCAGCTCTCTTTATAGCATGCTAGACGTGGTCTAGGGTGGTTAGATCACTTAAAATGGCCCCTAAGCAGTGGGAATGGGAGGTGGTGTAATTAAGTTTAGCAGTGCTGTTGCGGGTAGACAGATCTTTAGTAAAAGAAATAGTCTCATTGCCTCATCTTTTGTCTTATTTTCCCTTTGTCGATAATTCATTAGCGCTGGAGACTGCAGGCTAGGAAAGAAAGCAGCCATGAAAAATCTGTTGTGTCCCCAGTCTAACTAGCAAAATGTCTTTGCTTTTAAAGATTAGGTCTTATTGGTTATCTATGGGCATCACTTCTTGTTTTGCAATTTAAGGAAATCAAGCCTAAACAAACATTTAGCTAAGCCTAATGCGAGTTTGAGAATGTTGCAGGACAGTCAAACCCTATATCAGAAGGAAAATTAGCATTAACAAGTCAACATAATTGAGAAATTATATGGGGTTCTACACATAAGGAACTTTTTCACCGTTGCTGTCTGTGGATATACTTGTTTTTTAGTGTTTGCGCTCCAGGATTTTACTTCTAGCAATGCCATTTGGAGGAACTAAATTAGATCCTTCTTCAGAATAGGGTCTAAATCTTGATTAGTTCTTCTGTGTTGAATGATTGCCATACTCTATGGTGTATACCTTGCACATAGCCGATGCCTTTATGAGCACTTTTACCTCTGCATTCTCTCTGTTCTGCCCTGGCAATAACATGTATGAAACATTATAGGCAGTGGGGTTTCTTTATTGCACTATTTGCACTGCATTGTTGCGTTTCTTTGCTAGTATTTTGGGTTTATGCTGGAAATACAAGGACTGCTAGTGTAGCAGTAAATTAAGCTAACACTTATTTTAGGGTACAAAAGGTGGGAGTCAGTGATGGTTCAACAACTTTAATCATAAAGTAAACACAAAGCAGAAGTATACACTCAGAGCTATAACAAGCAGGTGTTGACACTTGTTTAACATTCCCTCCACCAGCTTTGCCACATGGTTATTTGCTTCTCCCACACTTGTGACTATTACCAAGCGAGGATTACAGATCTTGAACTCTGTGCTATTACAACCTGTAGTTAATTTTTTTTTTTTTTTTTTTTTTTTGAGAAGTGTGCATCAAGGTTCCGCTTCAGAATACATGATTTTACAAAGGCTATGCAGTACCTACAGTACCACTGGACGTAATGAAGAGTTATAATCGTTCACACATTATTTTGATGGTCTGTTTGTTGAATTTAAGTTACATTGCAACTAATTCTAATTAGGTTGGGGTTAGGGCCAGGGATAGTGTAAGTTGACATGTACTTGCAAAGTTTCTTATAGTCAGTCGAATGTCTGTTTAGCAGCAGCATCAACAGATATTAAGCAGACACTACTGCTACTCAAGTGGACCTTCAAAATAAAGTGTTACCCTATAATCTGCCTTAATCCAGTGCAATATGAGCTACATATCTATAGTTTTCTGTTATCAAAAGTCGATAGTGATTCTGGTGGGCAGTATTCCTCCAAAACTGTGTACAAACACCCTCACACACATTCTAGTCGGCTCCCAAAAGACAAAATCAAGCATCAACATGCATGTGCATTTTTTTCCTCATGCAGGAACCATTTCAATCAGTGTAGGAGCCATTTTTTGTGTTGTAGTGATTTATGTTGTCCACTAGGTGTCACAAGCTGAAAACTATAACTAAGGTGCCTGTGTAAGCGAGGAAGAGCGTCAGGTATGGGAAAGCACCACACGGTTTTTGACCGTGCAACAGAGTAGCTTGTTTGCTAGCCAGAAAACAGCAGTGTTTAGATATGTGCTGTGTGTACATGGTGTAAATGTTATATTGACATGATAAAGAAGAAAGGAGAAGCAAAGATTGAGGCTTTGTTTAATTCACCTGCACAAATAAAGACATTCTGCTTAAAAACAACTTTAGCATGCATGGACTCTGATTGCATGCGTGAAATAGTGCTCACCCCCATTTCTGGCGACAACAGCTATGGAAGGCTGTTATAATCAGATGTATGCCACTTCAAAGGAAAAAGGCCAAATTAACTTCCAATTCATGCCGACTTACAGTGTGAGAAAATTTGTACAGATTTGACTTTCCTGTTTTCTTCCCCTTTTATTTAAATATTTTGTTGTGTTTCTGATTTCCCAGACAAAGACAGGAGTTTTCAGGAGAGTTCTTTTAAACCAGAATTTTTGGTATTACACATTATAAATTGAAGCAGACTGAATAAATCCAACATCCTGTAGCTTGAAACAAAGAAGAGTTCATGCAGCGTAAAAAAGATTGACTAAATCATAGAAGTAAACCTGAAATGGCTTCAAATAAGTAGGGGAATCAGGATATCTATGCATACATCTCCATGTGCTCAAATACTTGCAGTACTGCATTTCAAATATGTATTCATATATGCAAATTGGACATTTTGAATCTTGCATTCAAATGAATGAAATGGATAATGCGTAGTGAGACTTGATTTTTGTTCACCTTGCTGTTAAGATTAATTCACCACATTTTTAATCTCTTTCTCGTCAAGGTTAGGCAAGTCAAAGCTGTAAATGAATTATTCCTCATGTATAAATATAAAGATTTCTGGGTAATGTCATAAATAAGACATGTCTCCCTTTCTCACGGTCCTTTAGGAATACCAGCGACCGCTGATGGAGGCTGAGCCTCGGATTCTCAGTGTCAGGAAAATCCGGCCAATTTTTTTCCGTCTACGAGAGATCACGCAGTGTCACTCCATGTTCCAGATAGCCTTGGCATCTCGGGTGGCCGAATGGGACTCTTGTGAAAAAATTGGGGACCTGTTTGTAGCTTCAGTGAGTATGAGAATGCCTGAAAATGACTGGCCTCGAAACTGCACTACAGAACACCGAGCATTGTGTTATTTTGCTTCTCAACTGTCAAGCTGTTTCAGGTACTAACAGTTCTCTGCTCCAGTTTGCTTTAAAAGCTTTGCCAATTACTATGAGTGAGGATAGCTGTCTCCTACCAATGTAACAATGTTGGCACCATTGGGGCTGCAGGCCGTCTAATGGACTAATGAATGAGGTTTCTGTTGTGACCCTCCTCACAGGCAGCATCCATAAGCAGTTCTCATTATTCTTCTGTTAAAAGAGTGCATTTGGCCTCTTTGACCTGCTTTTATTGCATAGCACTAGTGGTCTTTATAAAGTCCCTGGAGGACAAAGAACTACCCTAGACAGACTGCTGTGCATTGAAAAGCAGAAAATAGACCCACAAACTGCATGACACGCATCATATTGCATCGCTTTGCTCAGTTTTTCAGTTGTTAAGTGCATATGTATGGGTCGAAATTGTTAAGGTTGAACTAGTAGTGGCTGAAAGCATGATTTAATTGCATTTAGTTGCTTTAGAAAACAGGTTATCACAAAACTATCCAGAAGTGAAGAACTATCTATCCAGAAGTGCATACTATACAATGCATACATAGCTGTTTGTGAATGTAAAGGTCTGCAAAATTTAAAGATTAAAGTGCTCTGTAAATCGAGTCTTCCAAAAGACAAAAAAAATTCTGAACTTCCTTTCAGGTAAATTAGAAATTCCAGTCTTGTTTCCTACACAAATCTGTTTAGGTTTGCTACAAAGTTGTATAATGCCAGCATATGGCCTTCATTGACCTCCTGTGTACGACATCTACATAGAACTTCGAACACTGTCGTTGTAGCTGAGGCCTGAAGTTTCGATTGTGTTATCAACACATCAAGGTGGTACTGTTTTTCGGTGACACAAAAAGCAAATCCATTTAGGATGAGAACTCTTGCTAGCCTGATATATGGCCAATGCTATAGTGACTATTCACATTACTGTTTATTAAAAGTGCTGATGAAGCTAAAATTCTTGTATGGTAATGTTTTCAACAGATTAGACCATCTGATCAGAATAGAGTAGGTTTGTGGGGATTTACTGTAGAGAGAGCAGAAATCCTATATTTTTTTTCTTTGGATAGACGAATCTCTTTTATTTGAGCCCCCCTTACGAAAAATAACTGCAGTAAACTAAAGTAAAACTGCAGTACAACTGCAGTATATAGAAGTATAACTGCCATACAATTAAGTACAGTTGCAAAATTGCAATACAATGAAGTATAAACACAGTTCAAATATAGTACAATAAAGTTCAACAGCAGTATAAACAAGTAAACTCCATCTTTACTGCACATGTGTTGCTGTAGTCTAATATGCCATTGGTGTGGTAAGAACTGTACTGCACTTGTGTTAAAAGGGGTTTGTTCTTTAACATCTTCCGAGAATATTTTGTACTTTTTTTAGGGCTGTTTTCTGGATTCAAGTAATTTTCCAGTTAGAATTCTAAAAGTTTATTTTCAAAAACAAATAATAAAAAAATAACTGCTGTAAACCGATCAGTTCAACAGCAGTAGCCTATATAGAATGATAACTGTGGCAAAATTCAATGCAACTGCAAAATTGCAGTATAATAAGGTATAAACACAGTTCAACTACAGTACAACAAAGTTCATCAGCAGTAATATCTGAAATATAACCGAAGTAACATTAAATAAACTGAGATGCACAATATAGTGATGTTTAATCATTTATTGCACTTAGGTACTGTACATAAGTATTTAAAGTGCACTTTCGCTTTATTATGTATTGAATTATTGTAGATGTATTTCTGTTGTTACTTATACGTCTGAAAAATGCCATACAATGTACTGTGGTAGTACTTTAGCAATACATCTGAAGTACTGAAAGCTCATTTGGAAACCATTCCCCGAGCAGGAAAAGTAGTAGCTGTACTGCAGTTGTATTGCAATAGTGGTATGGCAGTTGTACTGTTATTACTATTGTTTCAGTTGTATTGCAGAAGCAGTACTGCACTAGTAGGATCACTTCAGTACTATTTCAGTAGTTGTACTGTAGAAGTTATTCAATTGAATTGCAGTAGTTGTACTGTAGTAGTACTTCAGTTGTATTGCAGTAGATGTACTGCAGTTGGTTGTATTGTAGTACTTCAGTTGTATTGTAGTAATATTGCAATATATTTAAATCATGCAGTTCTTTCGTGTCCAAAAAACAGCACTTTTCAGAAGTTTTTGTTGATATTTTCAAATATTTTTTTAAATACTGATTTGCTGCCCTTTGCAAGATGTTGCAACTGTTTTGTGAATTTGCCCTGTATGTGAGTTTGTTGATAATAACATCTTTACCTGTGTGTATCATTTCCTGCTGTACTCAGCGGCCCCAGAGGGGAGGTACAGTTTGACAGGGGTTAATATCTATTTGTGGCTCGTTAATGTCCTCTCCAAGTCCTGCAAGCACTGCTGCTGTCAGCAGGTCTGTTCAGCTTCAATCAAAGCAGAGCGAATGGATGGCTGCCATTTTGCCTGCTCTAAAACACCCGGCAGTAATGGACTGTCAAAGATGTTTAGGTCCCTGGGATGGCAAACAGTGGTGCTGCGCTGCATAAATACCCCACTAAAATTACTGTTTACTTCCATCCCTTTGCCCTGTAATCACCTTTATAGTAGCCTGCCCACCACGACAGCAAAATTCAAGAGCAAGCTCAGCTCTGAAGGAGAAAGCGTGCATGTTGAGAGATGCTTAAGCAAAGTGGAAAATGAACATAAAAGCAAATGGAATTGTTTTTCTGAACAATTTTCTCTCTCGATTTCCCCATAGTTTTCCAAGTCTATGGTGCTGGACGTTTATAGTGATTACGTCAATAACTTCACCAATGCCATGGCCCTCATTAAGAAAGCCTGCTTGTCTAAACCAGCATTTCTGGAGTTCCTCAAGGTAAGTGCTGATGTTTGCTGCCAGTAGCCTCTTCAAGAAACTAAAATTTGCTAGTTGGTAGGTTCCGTTTGGTTGGTTTGCATTGGTAGGTTCCATTCTTTTCCTTGGACATGGGTCTGTGCAAGTAAATGCAAGTGCTTTAAACAAAACGAGAAAAACACACCCACAAAAACACAGAATGTAAAGAAAAGCATAAAAACATAGACATTTTTGCACATTTTTGCTCATTAATTTTAGAAATAAATTCAAAGAAACTGCAATTAGGGTGTCTCGGTGGGTAGCACAGTTTCCTCACAGCATGAAGGTCGCTTGGTAGAGCCTTGACTGGGTCAGTTGGCATTTCTGTGTGGAGTTTGTATGTTCTCCCTGTGTTGGTGTGGGTTTCCTCCGGGTGCTCCGGTTTACCCCACAGTACAAAGACATGTAATACAATTAGGCAAGCTAAATATGAATGAGTGTGTATGGATGTTTTCTAATGATGGGTTGCTGGAAGGGCATCCGCTGCATAAAGCATATGGTGGATAAGTTAGCGGTTAATTTTGCTGTGGCGACCCCAGATTAATAAAGGGACTAAGCCGAAAATAAAATAAATGAATGAATGAAACTGCAAGCAAAATTAAATTAAAAATAAAAGAAATTGTAGTTTCCTATAAAGCATGCTGAATCATGTCTCTAATCTTTCAATTTACTGCTTATTTGCATAAAGATTAAATTTATCTATGGTGTTACCTGAAAATATTAAGAACATGGAAGTACATGTAAAAGATTAATTTTAAGTAAAAAATTAAAAACTTAGCATTTATCACAGCACAATTTAATAAATATCACTCTAGCTATGAATGCAACAGAAGCCATTTGTACTTCTAGTGTAATTTTAGCCTTTCTAATTCAGGAGAGTCATCATAAATGATGTGAGTTAAAGTAAAAAAAAATGTCAGGAAAAAAAACTCAAATGTTTGTGTAATTTGAAACGTTTTATCTGTTGAACAGAAAATAAGATATTTTGAAGCTGTAAAACTTATACAAACAAATACTATAGAAGTCAATTTCAGCTTTCTTCAGAATATCTTCTTTCACATTTAACAGAAGAAAGAGATAAGTAATGAGTAATTAAATAGAATCTTCTTTTTTTTTTTGGTTGATCTACCCCTTTAAACCTCTGGATGTCATGTCATTCCTTTTAGGAGTTTTTTTTCTTTCAAAGAGATATATAAATATTTAAACCATAAAAGGCAGTGGGGTCCAATATTTGATTGGATTGCAATGATTTTCTTTTTTTGAATGCACAGTGCTCAGCATAACTGAGTACACACCATTTTGAAAATGAATATTTGTATCCATTTCTTAGTGAATATAGGCAATGCATTTTGGTGCATTTAAACGAAACGGATTTATTAAACAGATATATTTATTAAAATAATAATTTAGTCACCAAACATATATAGACATTTAAAGATAATACAATTAAATTTAAGCAAAATATTGCAAAAATAATAATAATAAAATAATAATTCCAACCTACAAAATTTCAAGTACATTTTTAATTTACATTTTTTTTTTTAATTTGTATTCTATATTTTTCTATAACATATAAATTTGGGTGTACTAGTTTTTTTGGTTGTTATTGCAAGGTGTTTTGTTAGATAAGCTCCAGATACTGACTAATCTAATGTATATGCACAAATACAGTATTGTATAGTTTCCTGTTTAAAATATAAATTTAAAAGATAGATTTGCAAGGGGTGTACTTTATATATACTGAGCACTGCACATTATAAAACGTGAAAATTTGAACAAAAATGTTTTTTGTCTAACTGCACTGGCATGTTTTTTCAAAGCATAAACATTTTGAAAATAAATATGATATGTTTTCCTATTAAATGCAATTATAAACATCCTATGCTATGTATTGTTTTAAGTAATTGTGTCAGGGGTTGTTTTTGCTTTCTACAATAACATTACCTCAAGTAATATATAATAATATTATACTTGTTATAATATTTTACCTCAAAATGAGACAAAGACTACTTAAGCAGAAAAAAAGATTAAAGCATGAATTGCTTAAAACCTATATTTGGATAATTTCAGGGAAGTCGCATATACTTTCTAAGTGTTGCACTTTTTAATTCAAAATATTTACCTGTTAATATATGAGGCTCAGGTTATCTGTTCTATCAAATTCAATAAAGCACAAAGATGTGTACAAAGCAACACATTTAGAGACCAGCTGGAATCTTTATCATCTACAGAAGTGACTGAACTCCACAAACACACAGTCAACAGTACTCTAATATCCTGCTTTGAAACCTACTGGAAAGCTCTCAAGTGCTCTCTGACAGTGCAGCGTTTAATGATTGCTGGAGTCTGCTGGCAGGCGCTAAAGAATCGATAGTTTAATACTAACCTTCACCCACCTTTCTGACTATCTAGAGTGTCAAGATTCCTCTGCTCTATATGTGGAAATGACTCTGTCTACCATTTGCTTTTTCTTCACCTTCTTATAAAGAGTGGGTGCTTCTCTTTATGTTCACAGAGGAAGCAGGCATCGAGCGTTGATCGCATAACCCTTTATGGTCTGATGGTGAAGCCTATTCAGCGCTTTCCACAGTTCATTCTCCTCTTGCAGGTCAGTATTTACCCATAAACGTCGTTTAGAGCTCTGAAGGGGGCGTGCTCTTTCAAGTGACTGGAAATTAGTTTCCAGGCAAGTCTATTAGAAACTGAAGGACTGGCTAAGAGCATGCCAGGTCTTCTGGAAGCTTATTAGTTCATGGGTTTGCTCTTCATTTGGCTTTTGTGGTGGAACAGCATTGACTTTATATCAGTGATTCTGAAAGGCCAACACAATATCTGAAGCACTGTCCTTTCAAAATGTTCACCTTTATTTATGATTGTTTGGAAAACTTTATGAATGTCACAAATTCCCTGATATATATGTAGCTTGTGCTAAATGGCAAAGTCTTTGGACACCCCTCCAAATTATTGAATTCTTGTGTTCCAGTCACTTGCTACAGGTGTATAAAATCGAGCATCTAGACATGCAAAATGCTTATACAAACAATTTTGAAAGAATTGGTCACGCTAAGGAGTTCAATAATTTCTAGCATAGTACTGTGATAGATTGCATCTTGTACAATATCAATGTGTAAAGTCCATTAATGAAACTACCTCACTACTAAATATGTCAATTGTCAACTTTTTGTGATATTATACCAAAGTGGAAGCAAATGGGAACAACAGCAAATCAGCCATAAAGTTGTAGGCCACAAAATATCTAAGGCACACAGAAATGTAAAATCAGTAGCTACAGACCTCCAAACTTATTGTAACCTTCAGATTAGCTCAAGAACAGTGTGTAGAGAGCATCTTGAAATGGGTTTTCAGGACCCATCAGCTGCATCCAAGCCTGACATCACCAAGTGGTTGTTTTTCAGGGGTTAGGCTCGATCCCTTATTTCTAGTGAAAGGAACATTTAATTATTCAGCATGCAAAGGCATTTTGGACAATGTCATCTTCCCAACTTTGTAGGAATAGTTTGGGGTACAAAATAGCTGTCCACTAGTACACATTTACATTTTACATTTACATTTAGTCATTTAGCAGACGCTTTCATCCAAAGCGACTTACTAATGAGGACAAGGAAGCAATTTACACAACTAAGAGCAACAATGAATAAGTGCTATAGGCAAGTTTCAGGTCTGTAAAGTCTAAGAAGGAAAGTATTAGTAGTATTAGTTTTTTTTTTTGGTTACAGTTAGTGTGATATTCAGAGAGGCAATTGCAGATTAGGAAGTGAAGTGGAGACTAAATAGTTGAGTTTTAGTCGTTTCTTGAAAATAGCGAGTGACTCTGCTGTTCTGATGCAGTTAGGGAGTTCATTCCACCAACTGGGCAGATTGAGCGTGAGCGTGAGCGAAAGTGATTTCTTCCCTCTTTGGGATGGAACCACGAGGCGACGTTCATTCACAGAACGTAAGTTTCTGGAGGGCACATAGATCTGCAGAAGTGAGAGCAGATAAGAAGGAGCAAGGCCAGAAGTCACTTTGTAGGCAAACATCAGAGCTTTGAATTTGATGCGAGCAGCAACTGGCAGCCAGTCTTTATGGATCTTACACAAAGCAAGATCCATAAAGACATGAGCAAGTTTTGTGTGGAAGAATTTGACTGGTCTACACAGAGTCCTGACCTTAACCTAAAAGAGTACTTTTAGATAAATTGGACAAATACCGTGTAGCTAGACTTTTTTTGTCCAACATCAGTGCTGGACCTTACAAATGTGCTTTTAGACGAATGGTCAAAATTCATATAAACACACTCCTAAACCTTGTGAAATGCATTCCAAGAGGATTTGAAGCTACATAGCTGTAAATTGGGGGGCAACAAAATCAACATGTCTGTAAAGGCAGATCACCTAAAACATTTAGAATGGATGTACTTCAGAAGGGACTTCAATCAAAACAGCAGTATTGAAAATAGCTTATTTTTCATATTTCATTCAGCTTAATTATTTTAATATGATTATTTAATTGCTTAAATAATAATTAAAAAAATATCCTTAAACTTAAACAACAATCATATAAAATGGTATTTTTAAGAAATACAATTATTGTTTATTAAGAAATATAACTTAACCTTGAATTAATCAAAATCTTAATCATAAGCATGCTCCTTGCTAAATTAGGAACTTCCTCTACCTCAAAATTGTCCTCCATTTGTAAGAAAAAATGTCGAAAAGCAAGTCACGTATTGAAATCTCATTTATGATCTGCTTTAGAAATATCACATTGACTTCAGCCAGCTCGGATGACGCTGAAATGTCTTGAATTCATCAAATTTGCATCTGCAAAGTGTTCACACAACTGTCTTGCTCTCTTAATTTCTATTATGGACAAGGAACAAGTGAACCACTAAACTATGGCACTTCATTTCATACTTCAGTAGGCATTGATTACTCATGAATTTAGATTTGTTTTAGATGTTCTGACTATAAAGTAGCCTAAGTTTAATAGCAGATTATACTCAATAACATCTGATGATGGCAGACTAAGAGCTATCTTTTCTTAGCTGCTTAAATGAACCAAGAACAGATATTTTCGATATAATGGCTAAGCTATTCTTTCCCATATAATTCAGTGGCTGCTGATTTTTTCCTTTTTTGATATCTAATTTTATACTCAATTTTTCTTGTGACTTGGACGCAAGTCTGTGCAAGGGATTTAAATAAAAAGAAAAAAAAAACATGCAAACAGAATGCAATAACACAGACTGAAAAGAAAACCATGAAGATATACAGTTGAATGAAAAATATTTAGTAGAAACAGTTTTTACGGTATTTTTACAAATAATTACAAAGAAACAGCAAGTAACGTATTGAATTAGGCATACAATTATAAAATGAATAATCAAGAAACTACTATTTCAGTATTTTCAAACATGTTGAGTAATGTTTTTATTCTTCCAATTTGTTTATTTGCAATATAATCCTAATTTTATAGAATATAATCTTACAGAATAAGACATTAATAGGTGCTTTTACTAAAAAACCTGAAAATATGCTAGTAAATAGCAACAATTTTTACCACAAAAAATATCAAAAATACAATTATTAGTATACTATCAGAATATTAATTTTATTGTCTGACATGTAGATCTAAATTGTGTAAAGATGAAATAGCGTCTTCAGTTTTATCATTTATCACACCACCGTTTTATAAACAACACTGTATTGTTATGCATGCAATAGTAGCCATTTGTACTACTAGTTTATTTGCAGCCTGTTTGACTGAGTTGTAAATGACATTACTATGTTGATATGTGAGTTAAGGCTAAAAAATGTCAGAAAAATTAACCAAATGTTTGTGTAATTTGGAATGCTGTATTGCATGTACTGTCTATGGTACCCTCGTCCTTCTGCACTGTCTCTCAGTGAGAGTTTGTGAAAGATGGTTTTTTCAGAGGTAATGATTCCCAGAGGGCTGGTAACATGCTACTCTCCTGAACGTGAGCTGCTACTGTAATTCTGACCCTCTTTTCTTGCTGTTGAGTGAAAGTGAAGGGACCTGCGGGTTTAAATGAATGCTAATAGTGCTGTATTACATTACAATGGCTAATACATTGTCTGAGTGATAGAGGTGCATTTATTACCACCATTAGCTTGTTCATTTTTTTTCTTTCTAATGTTAAAGGCCTGAATACACAATGTGTTTTAAGGAAAATGTAAGGGGAAATGCACTGCTTTTTTTGGATAACCGTTTTCTTTGTTTAGAGAAGGGTTGTTCTCTGTGTTTGTTTTATGTTACTGCAACTACTGAATCTGCTAAATTAATGAAAGCAATATACCTGACATCTGTATTACCAATTTTAGGTGCTGATTTTTGACAGCCAACACAAGTTTCTCCTCCATCTTTGTAGTCTCCTGACATTTCAGACAAATGTACATTTTGAACTGTAAATGGAAGGCCCACTTTTCCATTCATTTGATTGGTCAATAATAATAATAAAAAAGCTTAAAAAAGATGTTCAAACATAAGAGTTAAAAATTACAGCAACGTACACTCATTTATTCAAATTCATTGTACATTTTTAATGATTTTTTATGGTTTTAAAGATTATGAGTTGAAATAGGTTAATGGAAACCCAAATGTATGTAACGTGTTACATTAATATAACATCAGTTAAACTATGAAACTGGCACAGAGGTATGTATAATTAAAATCAACAGGACTGTTGTTTATTTCTGAGTGCATTATGCTGCATGTAGGACAAAACTACTGTATGTGTGTTTTTTTCAGTGACAGCTTCAGTGCAATATATCAGTTTTGCATATATAACTGAATTCTGTGCTTCATGTACTTATCAGCACCTGAATTTCCTGCTTCATTTATTTATTGATAAATAATAAACTAAACCTCCATGCACTAGAAAATTACTGAAAAAAATGTGTGATTACAGACAGCAAAAAAGTCAACAATGAGAGTGGATTCCTGTTCTGAGTTTACTCTGGTAGACCTTTTTGGGGTCAACTCTCCATTTCTAGCTCAGCTGGCCACAAAGAATGCAAGGTGCATAAGGTGGTTTAAATGCTGTGGACCCAGGTCACATAAATCGAACACAAAATGTTCACTGTCAATTGAAACACAAGTTTAGCTTCCATCATTGCAATCTCCTCACATTTCAAACAACTGTACATTCTTTTCTGTTAACGAAAGGCCTGCCATTTGGACAATGGGGAAAAAGGAATGACACCAATCACTTTTCTGCTTCATTTTTTACAATACAGTTGCTGATAAAACATACAAAATTTGACCACTCCATGTAGCTTATTATTTATAAACTGCTACTCTCTGATGATTTGCTTTTTATCCTCACTTGCAAGTCGCTTTGGATAAAAGCTAAAAGACTACATGTAATTGTAATAAAGTAAAAAAAGACAAAAGAGTCAACAGTGAGAGTTAATGTATACTCTGATAGACCTTTTTGGGGTCAACTCTGCATTGCTAGCTCAGATGACCACAAAAAAACTAAAGGTGCATGAGGTGACTAAAATGCAAGGCACCCAGGTCACATAAACAGCACACAAAATGTTTACTGTCAAAAAAAAACACAAGTGTCTTTTCCATCATTGCAGTCTCCTGACATTTTTAGCAACTGAACATTTTAAACTGTAAATGGAAGGCCTGCCATTTCATTAATTCGATTGGACAATAGGGGAAAGGAATGACATCAATCACTTTTTGTTTGCTCAGTTTTTTTTACAATACAGTCACTGATTTAAAAAAATTGACTACTCCATGTAGTAACTTATAATTTATAAACAGCTGCTCTCTGATGATTTGCTGTTTTATTCTCACTTGCAAGTTGCTTTGGATAAAAGCTTCTGGTAAAAGTCTACATGTAAATGTAATAAAGTAAAAAGTGACAAAAGAGTCAACAATGAGAGTTAATTCCTGTGCTGAATCTACTCTTATAGACCTTTTTCAACTCTGATTGCTAGCTCAGATGGCCACAAAACATGCAAGGTGCATAAGATGACTAAAATGCAAGGCACCCAGGTCACATAAACAGCACACAAAATCTTTACTGTGAATAGAAAACACAAGTTTCTCTTCCATCATTGCAGTCTCCTGCCATTTTAAGCTATGACTTTTTAACTGTAAATGAAAGGCCTGCATTTTCATTAATTTATTGGACAATGGGGAACAAAGGAATAACACCAAGCACTTTTCTGCTCAGAGTTTTTTTTTTTTTTTTACAATACAGTCTCTGATGATGAAAATAATACAAAATTTGACCACTCCATGTAGTATTCTAATTTATAACTTATCATTTATAAACTGCTACTCTGATGATTTGCTTTTTTATCCTCACTTGCAAGTCACTTTGGATAAAAGCATCTGTAAAAGACAACAGTACATGTAAATGTAATGAATAAAAATAGACAAAAGATTCATTAATGAGAGTTAATTCCTGTGCTGAGTCTACTCTGATAGACCTTTTTGGAATCAACTCTGCATTACTATATCAGATGGCCACAAAGAATGCAAGCTGCATAAGTTGGCTAAAATGCCTGATATTTTATTAATTTGATTGGGAAAAAAGAAATGACCAATCACTTTTTAGAGTTTTTTTTTTTTTTACAATATAGCCGCTGATTTAATAAGAAAAAAAAAAAAAAAAATTGACCACTTCATGTAGTAACTTATCCAACCCGGGCTCATTGTGGAAACGTAGCCCCGCCTTCTGCGGACCACGATTTACGTCCCGGGAGATACGTATTCGAGCGGTTTTTGTTTTCGCGGATCCGCGAGAGGCCGCTGTGCGCGCTTTTTCGCATCTCGGGCGCGCGCCGTTCTCGCACAAAAAGCCGCCGTATCAGCTGACTCGGCTGCCCTCCTCTTTCTCCTCCTCCTCCTCCTTCCCTAAACCCGAGCGATGGTTCGCAAAAGCCGTCCAAAAAAACAAACAAAAAAAAAAGCAAAAGCAAAAGCCCTCGTCCTCGATTTCCACCGTGTTTTCGGATCCCGTCGCGTTCTCACCCTTATTTTTCGGATTCCGTTTTTCGTCTTACCTGATTTCCGGAACCGCTGTTCCCCGGACTCGAGCCCGGTCGTCGTCCCAGCGGCCGGCTCCTCCTCCTCTGGGGCCTCCGCTCAGCCGACGCAACGCTGTGAGCTAAGCGGACAAACTGGTTGCATTGGGAAAGCCCTCCACTCGGGGGACGGAGCGGCGCCACACCCCCCCGCAGCGTTCGCTCGGAAAAAACTAAACGCGGCCTTACGTACCTCCGGCCACGTAAATCGCGGTCTCCAGAAATGTCCGCGGGGCTACGTTTCCAGAATGAGCTTGGGTTGAACTTATTATTTACAAACTGCTACTCTGATGATTTGAATTGCTGTTTTATCCTCACTTGCAAGTTGCTTTGGATAAAAAGTGTCTGCTAAATGACTACATGTAAATGTAAAGAAAACAATTGGCCTTTGATTGCAAAAGCGAAACAAAAAAGCATTCGGTGTGATCAGGGCCTGACTTACTATGTTCTCTGCCTTTAGGACATGCTGAAGAACACTCCCACTGGCCATGTGGACAGACTGCCCTTGCAACTGGCTCTGACTGAATTGGAGACCCTCGCTGAGAAACTCAATGAGCAGAAAAGGGTGGCTGATCAGATCACTGAGACACAGCAGCTGGCCCGCTGTGTCAGTGACCGTTCTCTCAGCAAGGTGAGGAAAACACACACATGCGCCCTTTTTTCTTCCTCAGCTGTGATGGCAGAATGATGCTGCTGCCGCCTTGATGTAATCAGAGGAGTGTAAATCCTAATCACAAAACCATTTCATGGTTTCTTTCTGACTTCCTATTTTCTTAGACCTTTTTGCAATTACTTTACACCAGCTGGTCCCAAGGTCATTGTGTTCACACTGCTCTCATTGTAGCGAACCACAGATGTGGTTCATCACATTAACTGTTACACTTGCGTTTGACAAGCAGAAAATGTCACAGTGCTTTAGTCTTAATTATGAAATGGCTGTCTATTATTCCATTTTATCTTTTGAAAAAAAATGCAATCACAAGAATGAGGAAATTAGCCACTTTAAATAATGAGAATATTCCATCTTACAAGATTTCCTGCTAAGAATCAGGATTATTAAAGTAACCAAAAACATTTTTTTTACCCAAAAGAAATGCATATATATATATATATATATATATATATATATATATATATATATATATATATATATATATATATATATATATATATATATATATATATATATATATATATATATATATATATATATATATATATATATATTATTATTATTATTATTATTATTATTATTATTAATGGGCATTTATTTTACCCCTTTTACAATATAAAAGACGAGTCTTTGGTGTCTCCAGAATGTGTCTGTAAAGTTTCAGCTCAAAAACCCATCCAATTGTTTAAAATTGCCTCCAAAATCTGCCTATTTTGGTGTTTGAATACATTGTAGCAGTTTTTGTAGCCTGTGGCTTTTAATCCAAATGAGCTGCTTCTCGCCGCCCACTGCTCCTACATGCGTGTCTGTTATTCAACATGCGTTATGTCAGGTAAACGGCAGTCAGTGACAGAGAGAGACTTGGGTGAAGCTGAAATATAGCTCATTAGTCAAAACTACCAAGTTTAGAGTCCAAGTCTTCCTGAAATGAGTCTCACACAAATGCCATTTGCAGCACACACACACACACACACACACACACACACACACACAAACAAACACTTCTGCGTCACATTGTGGTGGGCCTCAAAATCACTGAGATTTGGGTCAGGGTTCAACGTCAGGGTTTTTTTAAAAAGAGACCTGTTTGTCTTATTTATCATTCCAATATGACAGTGGACACACTGTACCTACACAGTTCTGTCCAAACAGCTTACAAAAGTAGATTTTCATCATAAGTGCCTTTTATTAGTGATTGGTTATCTAAAGATTTATTTCAAAAAGAAGAAATGAAACCCACCCCAAACTGTAAACTTGCTGTTGAGACAAATTGATTGATACAGAGATTTTTTTGATTGTAGTAGCACAATGTAAGTTTTCTACAGTTTTGTGGCAGGTTCACCCGCTGCCAATTAACTGAAGCTCAGCAGTAATTCTCAGCCTCCGGTGAAATTCTTGGAAATGTTGGGTTACTGTTATGAATTGTGTCTGAAAGAGAAAAGTAGAGGGAAAGGTGTTCAGGTGTTACAGCACCTTGATATAAGCTTGCCTATTTATTATTCATTATAAATATCTCGTTACTTAGCGTTCCATCAAATTCCCTCTTTAGTCCAGCCCTGACAGCCTGCAGGCCTTCTCGCTTCATTTTGTTTCTTGTTTCAGACAAACCCGAACATGATTTTGTTTTGGATTGTTCTGTCTATCAGATTGTCACAACCTGACATGATTAATAATGTAGAAAAAACAGACATTCATTTGAAAATAAGTTGTGCCTTGGCAGTTTCGGAAACATCAAATTGACAGTTGATCATTGGGCAGTGTCGGGTCATCGGTGTGAGTTTTGCAGGCTAGTTCACTGTGTTCCTCACTTTGCTTCTTTTTGGGCTCACATTGCAAGGGGTTTGTCAGATTCAAAATGTAGAATTGGCCTTAGCCATCAGTAACAGAGAGTGATCTTAATAGCTGTTTATCGATGAACCTGATTTCCCTTAAGGGAATGACAATACAAATACTGCCACCTGTGGGAAAAATACCTCCTCTCATGCAGGCACAGAAATTATATTCTCAGTCGACTGTCATCCTTTTGGTGTGTTCACATGCAGCTTTTTGGTCTAGACAACAGTCTACAGTTTTCATCGCTGCTAGTTCTTTGACATCAGGTTAGCATGTCCCAGGCTTTAGGGTTTACTCACACTAGACGATCTGACCGGAACATAATTGACCACAGTAATGTACCCTGGTCTATTTAAAGAGGTGGCCTCATCTCTAACCATGCACACTATGGTCAACATGGGGAAAGTAATGTTGACATTATTATTATTACTTGGATAGGGTGACCAGGGATCCTGTTTTTCCCCTGGATTTTGTATCACCATGGGCAGGAAATTAGATTTAAAAAACACAGAACAAAATCCACAATTTCACTTTTCAAACCAAAAGGTTTAAAGTTTCAAACCTCTCTTACCTTATTGATAGTACAGAAAGTTTTGTTTGAAAACAAAGCTGTGTTGATATACATTTCAAAGTATGGCATGAGAAATGAGTGATGGAAACACACAGGATTAAAAAAAAAAAACCTTTGAATTTGAATGCTCACTTAGTTTAGTTTTGGACTTGTGAAAAAGGCTTAATGTTAGTAATGGCAGATGGAAATTACTTTGTTGGATAAACTTGAAAAAAATACTTTAGTGCATACTACACCCACATGACTAATCAGCTGTTTCGGTTATGCTTGGCTTGTTTACTGTTGGTTACTACCAATACTACAATCACATGCTCTAATAACTTAGTAAGTAATTACTTTTTTTTTTTTTTACAAACTGTGAAAAGTTTTACATTAAGAGGCAAATCTGGCTAATGTCAATTTCCTGTATAATACATTTACATTTACATTTACATCTACATTTAGTCATTTAGCAGATGCTTTTATCCAAAGCGACTTACAAATGAGGACAAGGAAGCAATTTACACAACTAAGAGCAACAATGAATAAGTGCTGTAGGCAAGTTTCAGGTGTGTAAAGTCTAAGAAGGAAAGCATTAGTAATTTTTTTGTTTGTTTGTGTGATTAGTTGAGGAGTCAGAGAGGTAGTTGCATATTAGTAAGGAAAGTGGAGACTTCAGTTTTTTGTCACTTTTTGAAGACAGCAAGTGACTCTGCTGTTCTGATGCAGTTAGGGAGTTCATTCCACCAACTGGGCAGATTGAGCGCGAGCGTTCGGGAAAGCGTTTTCTTCCCTCTTTGTGATGGAACCACGAGGCGACGTTCATTCACAGAACGCAAGTTTCTGGAGGGCCTATAGATCTGCAGAAGTGAGAGCAGATAAGAAGGGGCGGAGCCAGAAATCGCTTTGTAAGCAAACATCAGTGCTTTTTAATTTGATGCGAGCAGCAATTGGCAGCCAGTGCAAATGAATGAATACCTTTTTTCTTTAACTTTTTTTGCAAAACAATTTGCTTTATAAACGATGGCTGTACTGTATTCAGTTTCTCCATTGTTTTTTATTCTTTCTTAGACTTTTTTTGTCAGATAAAACATGAACTGGCATCTGTCTGCACCATTCTTGATGTCAGCTGTTTAGTTTAACAAAATAGTCCAATCATGAAAGAAGATGTGTAGGTGAAGACAGCAAGCAAAGAACAGCACTGGTATAAAGCTGTTATGATATAAATATAATAATAAACTGTTATAATACAAATATAATATAAAATATAAAGTGCATGTCAGAGCTGTAGCCCTTATGTAGATACAAAGCATAGTGACAGACAAAAATGTAGCAGATCTCTCTTACTAAAGTAAGAACTTTCCCAGCTCTTATCTGATATATTTGTTGTGGAGTTAATTCAAGCCTTTCTGTAATGATGAGTCACACACAATGTCGTTATACAGTTCACTCAAAGACACACAGACACGTTTAGCTTTGCACTGTTTTGCACGGTAATTGTGACACAAAACACATTAATATATACTGCTGCATGGGCATCTGTTATGTTATGTACAAAATAAACCTGATTTAAGTCCACCAACCGAAATTGAAGCATCTTCTTTTATAATTATAATGACTTTATAAGGCTGTGGTGATGAATGACGTAGCATTTTTACTTTCTTTATCACAAACATGAACTGTTTTATAAATGTTTTAAACTTATAAAAATCATTCTTGAGATGCAGATGATCACAGAAAGCTACGATCTTTTAATTCCAGTTGCTTTGCGCACTTGTGGATATGATTATACATGCTACTAGAGACCTCTGTCAATCAATTCAGTGGGCAGGGAAACTGCACTTCAATGGCACGTTGCGGTGTACCTCAAAAAGGAAGGGGAATTTGGATCCTATTTTTAACATCAGGAAATAAAAAAAGAGACTTATTGTGTTTCTATCACTCCAATACGACCGTGGACACACTATACCTACACACAGCTCTGTTCAAACAGCTTTCAAAAGTTGATTTTCATTATTGGCGGCCTTTAAAACATGAGCTGTCTTAAATTATAAGCTTAACTGTACTGTTTTGCATATGCAGAGTTCTAATGTCAACTCGCCCTTTTTAATGATGAATATAGACTATGATACTGTACATGCCATATAGAAAGTTAAACTTACTTATGCAGGCTCAGACCATGCCTTTTATATTTGTATCTTTCTCTTTTTTTAGTCCAATCACAAGACAACAATATAAACTGTTCACATATGCATTAGTTCTTTGTTGTTGGTTTGGTGTCAGGGTCTTTAAAACCAATCTCCCTGGAGTCACGGATCACAAAGACAATTGCACGCTGTAATCTAAAACTAAATGCAATTTGTTAACTCGTTCTAAAGGTCACCATTATTACATATATGCAGTTACTGTACATTCACAGGGCCACTGTAGGTCTTCATCATCTGACAAACAGCCTTTAAACAACCTGCCAAGTACCTGAGCATTTCTGCTGACCCTGAAAATAACTAACTCATCTCCCGTTATCCCTGGCCTGCATTTTTCTTTACGAAATCATCAGCGAGCAATGATGGTCCATTAATGCACTATGTTGGTGCCTGGATACATGGCAGGGGTGTTTCTCTTCCATTACCATGCTCATATCACAGGCCAGCTGCTCCAAATCCAACAAATGCATTTCTGAATAAGAGAATTAGAGAGTAAATGAGACACTTAATTGGAAAATCTAAGTTGTTTTCAGTATCTCTTGTTTTGGTTCGCCTGCTTTCACTTTCTCTCTTTATCTGTCTGGAATCTCTGTGTTTCGCCCTCCTCTGCTGCAGTCATTTGTCTCTCTTTCTCTTCAGTCTTTCTTTAGGTTGCATCTTTAATGTTTTGTCCTTTTTCTGATGTAGCAATTATTCTCAGCATTATAAGTTTGTTTATTATAAGGCATTATAGGTACATATGGTACCTTATTATTACAGTTCCTGACTAAAATCTTGTCGTCAATCCCACTTGTAAGAGCATCAAATAATACCTTAACTTCTAGTTTATCACTGAAAAGAAGCAGAAGATTGATTTTTCGATTAATCATCTGTTGAGCTGCATTCCAATCATGACAAATATTGCAGAAGACCTATTGAAACCTTCGTGGACCCAAGATTCTTACAGAAATCAGTCAAGTTTGCTAAAAGAAAAATCATGGTTTGAGATTACATTCATTGAGGGGTGTGTGAGAGATCTGCAGTGTGGATGGCAACTTAAACAGCCTGAGGTAAGACATTTGTGCTGCCGATTACATTACAAACCACAGGAGAGGGCAAATTCTTCAGCAGGATGGCGCTCCTTCTCTTACTTCAGCCTCCACATCAAAGTTCCTGAAAGCAAAGAAGGTCTAGGTGCTCCAAGACTGGCCAGCCCAGTCACCAGACATGAACATTATTGAGCATGTCTGGGGTAAGATGAAGGAGGAGGCATTGAAGATGAATTCAAAGAATCTGGATGATCTCTGGGAGTCCTGCAAGAACGTTTTCTTTGCCATTCCAAATGACTTTATTAGTTAGTTATTTGAGTCATTGCAGAGATGTATGGATGCAGTCTTTTAAGCTCATAGGAGTCATACACAATATTGTCATACACAAGAAGGTAGCTGGTTTGAACCTCTGCAGGGTCAGTTGAAATTTCTGTGTTGAGTTTGCATGTTCTCCTTGTGTGGGTTTCCCCCGGGTGCTCCGGTTTCCCCTGCACTCTAAAGACGTGCTATAGGTGAACTGGGTATGCTAAATTGTCTGTAGTGTGAATGAGTGTGTATGAGTGTTTCCCAGTGATGGGTTGCAGCTGGAAGGGCATGTGCTGCGGGACTAAACAGAAAAGAATATGAATGGATGAGTAGTTACATTAATAGGTAACCTATTCCATGTTGAAAAAAAAAAAAAAAAAAAAAAAAAAATATATATATATATATATATATATATATATATATATATATATATATATATATATATATATATATATATATATATATATATATTGTAATTAAAGACATTTTTAAATACAGCACATACAAACCGGCAAATAAAGTATTTAAATAATAGTTAGAATGTGTTATGATTTGGTTTCCACATTTCAAAGCTAAAATGTGTTTATGCATATTAAATATAAGTTCATTCATTGGCTTGTCACCTGTGCATCATTCATAAAGATGCACTGACAAGTTTTATCCACAAGCTTATAATTTTATCAGTAGCCATTTGTGACACACATGCATGTCTCTTATTCCCACACCAACCGTTTAATTATACATGTTTCTCATACTGTATAATTTATAATATAGTATAAATGGAAACCAAGCCTTTGACAGAACCGCACTCTTTCAATCAATGCACAAAGAAGAGCGTTTAAGATGAAGAGACTCTCTTGCAATAACTCCAATAACTAATATGCTCACTTTCAGAATCAGACACCGCTGCTAATTATCTAACACATTTGTTATTACAGAATAGCAGATGGAATTACCATACAGCTTGTTCTGTTGGTCTTGTTTTCTTTCTCACCTCAGCCGAAGCGGAGTGTTTTCAATGCACATTATTTTGAATCCAATGCTTCAAATGAAAAAAAAAATCACCTTCAGTTGTTTGTTTATTTTTATGCATTTCCTAAAGTCGAGAGTAACAAGAAAGTAGAAGGCAAGTTTTGAACTTGTCTTGTGTTCTTGAATGGCTTTTACTGTACAGGTATGTGTCGTGAGTGCATCACCCACTGCAGAGGCTCAATCCTTACCATATTTTTTTTTTTCAAGCATCCCGGCTGTGCGTTCCAGTCTGTTCCATTACCCCATATACACGCAATGAAATATTCATCGTCAGTCTCAGGCTATGTGAGTTAGTAGGGCAGCAGATAGTATGGTGTACAAGCATCTCTCTGTCACTCCTCAGCAAGCATGTCACATACATCTCTTTCTCTCACTCACGCTCGCAGACATCCATCCTAACTTACAAACCATTTCAGTCACACTCCCAAGTCCCTGAAAATGATATCTGTCCTTCCCTGGAAAATTCTGTGTTCAGCCTTCAGGGGGCGCTCTTACTATAAAAACACTGAAGCCCGAAGCCTGTTTTCTGACTGACTGAAGGTCTAATTTTTCAATGCATTTCAACAAAGGCCAAGCAGTGTTGCCAATTCCCTCTGGATCCGGCGACTCATTTTGTGTGATGCGGGCTACAGAAGCAGATGCATTATTTATACAACTACACTCCTGACTGATCAAACACCAGCAAGCAATATTTATTTGAGCCGCTGGACATTGGGTTTCACTGCTGATGTAATGAGGATGAACTCTGGGACTGTCTCCTAACACAATGCACATTATGATCTTGTTTTTGTCCCCTGCCTTGTTTTGCATTCATGGATGAATATAGAATGGCTATACAGTAAACAAATGAAGCGTGTAGTATTGCATGTTGGGCTGATGTAGTTTTGAAAAGGTATACCTTATTTGCAGTTTTGACAGATTTGCACATTATAGAGGAATAATTGTAATGGAAATACTTATTTCAAGAGTTCACACTCAGCTGATGATTGCGTATAAAGCGTGTTTGGCATGCTGTCCTGGGAGCGAGCCCTGAGCTCAGAAGATCCAAGGCGGAATGAACCACCAACTACTGTATATCAGCTGTATATCAGCATATGGTTATCCATTGAATGCCCAGCAAAATCTGGTCTTTGAAATAAACCTCCAGGGAGTTGAAATCAACTCAATCTGAGTGTACATTTGTGAGCATCGAATTTACTCCTCCGCTGAGGTAAAAATCACTCTGCTTTTTGAGTTGAATTATAACACTTTTTTTTATTTGTTAAATTTTAACACTTTCTGGAGTTAAAGTTGTAATCCTACAGAGAGTACTTTTACATTTGGGTATAACATGAACTCCTTACCAATGTTAAAATGTTAACACTTCTTAGAGTTAAAATGTACTTCAAACTAATTTTTTTTTGTGTGTGTGTGTGTGTGAAAATGACTGAACTGCAGTACTCCACTTACTGCTTTTATTTATGCAAATCCACACATTAGATTTAGAAATTCCATCAATGGACACACTTTCAATTTCATTGTCATTATAGCATTAAATCTAATAGCAAATTTACAATTGATACATTTTGGCAGCCAGTGTCAACTAAAACCAATGGCTTAGTAAATGCATAAAACAATCAACACACCACAATAAATAAAATAAAAAAATAAGTTTGCAGGAATAAAAAGCTGCAAAAAAAAAAAAAAAGTCTAGTCATACTTCTTAATCACAGCCTCTTTTGTGATGTTTACAGTATAAGATCTATTCGTATGGAAGTGAAACAACAAACAAACCTACATTTTTTACATGGACACTGCATTAAAGGCTTTGAGGCGACAGTGCTAACCACTGAGCCACTGTGCCACCCTGTCCTTGATGAATCTAGGAAAGATGGGGAGAAGTAGGGGTGGATGGGTGTATTCTAAATCATATGATATCTAAATATGAAACCAGCCGTGGACATAAGCACATGATCCTCTCAAAATTAGTTTATGAATAAACTTCAATTATTCACTCTGACGTCCAAATTCTCACTTTGACGGTTTGTTGTTAACACAAAGGATCACTTAAAGGAAGTTCTGAAAGCTTCTAAATGTTGCAGCTTTACATTTTTAGTTGAATCAGCTTGAGCTTATAAGTCATTTCTATAGCATTAATTACTACGTTAAATAACTACATACCAAAAAAGCTTAATTAAACTTCCATTTAAAGATTTCTTTAAAAACATGACTAACTAAAATGTCACTAACATATAATAGATGCTTTTTTTTGCTGTTAGGAATAGATTTAGTTTTTCTAAAGAACCCTTAAAAGTTTCTTTAAATAAAATTCAGTTTAATGCGACCTGCTCCATTATATTAAATCAATTTTTCCAAGAAACACATTTAAAGTTTTATTAAATAAAGAATGTTTCTTTTCCAAACCATTACCAAAATATTATAATTATATAAGTTTGTCCTTTTTACTTTAGTGCATAAAACTCAAATGGGTTTCTAAATTGAATTCAAATTGATGGAGCAGACCCTGCAAGTGAATGAACAATCAAAAGTGCTGCAACAAATGACATTTATTTGAAAGCAGTTTTAAGGTAAGTAAGGTCATAATGACATTATAAATGCCTCTTCAGTTTAGACATCATTCTAAAACTATTTATGTAATAAAAGAACCTTTAGTGGTCCTCTATTTTTATTGTACACATGCAGTCAAATTTAGATAGTTTGTGGATGCAACTTTGTGCTTGTCAATTCAGTTTGAAAGGAGTATTTTCTTCAAGATTGGCTTTTATTCCCACAACCTTTTCCACTACAAATCTACCACTGTGTTTCCAATCTTCTGTGGTGCCTGCCTGTGAACCTTCAAGTGTCTTATATGCCACGCTGTGGCCTCTAAGTAAGTGTGTAGCCATGTAATTGTAGCCTCTATTTTGTAAGACTTGCGTGTAATCAGTGTGTCCCCTGTCTTTTTCTTCAGTTGCTCAACTCGGAGCAGAGCTCTTTGATCCTTTGTGAGACGCTGATTGAGACGGTGTACGGTGAACGAGGACAGGTCCTCAAGTCTAAGGAGCGGAAAGTCTTTCTCTTCGGTGACGTGCTCATCTGTGCCAACATCAATGTCAAGTATGTGTCCTGTGCAAGGTCGATTGACTTTTTCTTTCTTCCTCCATCCCTCTTTTGACAGATTGTCGCTCATCAGCCGATCTAAATATGAGTCTCCTGAAGCATTACAGTGACGTTCCCCCCAAATACCCCCCAGTCAATGTTAGAGGGTTAGCTAATGGCTAAGGCACAGGACAGAATTGAGCAGAGTCAAATGGGCCATCATTATCTGGGGACAAATAGCGGGGTGTTTAGCTACAGAGACAGGAATTATCCCCATAGATCACTGGCATAAAGCGCTCTTCTGTTCCACTCAAATAGATTATCTATGACAGCTCCATTGATCACATCTCAGCAGTGCAAAAGGTAAACAGCTAAGTGAAAAAGCTCACGCTTATAGTGAATTTCAGATCTGTTGAGTTGGTCCCTCTACTGCAGCAGGGTGGTTCTCTGTTCTTCTGAAGCGTGACTCAACATGATCCCGCTGCAGATCCCAGTTTCCGAGAGTATTTTCAGGGCTTATTACATTCTTCCACAAGGACATACTGTATGTGCTCATAATTTGCACCAAAATATATAACAGCCAAAGTCAAAATTATTAGCCCACCTTTATTTGCCCAATTTCCAACCCAAGCTCATTCTGGAAACGTAGCCCCATGGACGTTTCTGGAGACTGCGATTTACATGGCCGGAGGTACGTAAAGGCCGCGTTTGTTTTTTTTCGAGCGAACCCCCGGGTCGGTGTGGCACCGCTCCGCCCCTCCTCTTCGCGCTCGCCGGCCGACGGCTCGCCTCCGAGTGGAGGGCTTTCCTGATGCAATCAGTTTGTCTGCTTAGCTCACAGCGTTGCGTCGGCGGATCGGAGGCCCCGGAGGAGGAGCCGGAGCCGGCCACGGTGGACGACGGCCGGGATCGAGTCCGGGGAACAGCAGGTTCCGGAAATCAGGTAAGACAAAAAACGGAATCCGAAAAATAAGGGCGAGAACGCGGCGGGATCCGAAACATGATTCAACATGATCCCGCTGTCGAAATCGAAGACGAAGGCTTTTGCTTTTTTTTTTTTTTTTCCGATCCGGCGGCTTTTCGCGCGAGAACGGCGCGGGCGCGAATGCCGTGCGCTCCCGAGAGGCGCCCGAGACGCGAAAAAGCGTGCACAGCGGCCTCTGGCGGATCCGCGAAAACAAAAAAACGCTCGAATACGTACCTCCCGGGACGTAAATCGCGGTCCGCAGAAACGTCCGCGGGGCTACGTTTCCACAATGAGCCCGGGTTGCCAATTTCTGTATAACTGAAATATGATTTCTTCAACACATTTCTAAACATAATAGTTTTTAATAGCTCTACTGATTTCTTTTATCTGCCATGATGACAGTACATATTTTCTACTAGATATTTTTAAGTTACTATTATTTATGTTAAAGTGCAATTTAAAGACTTAATTAGGCTAATTAGATTAATCAGGCAAATTAGCGTAATTAGGCAAGTCATTATATACCAGTAGAAAAAAAAAAGACTTTCTCTAGAAAAAAAAATACAAGAAATACTGTTAAAAGAAAATAAATCACAGAAGGGCTAATAATTTAGCAATTTTACAAGCAGAATTTGTTGTAATACACAAAGTGCACTGTTATTTCAAACATTTTGCTTCAAACTGTATTTATTTAAAGGGTTAGTTCACCCCAAAGCTAAAATTAAGTCATTACTGAACCTTATCATTCTAAACCCACAAGACATACAATACGGGTCAAAAGTTAGGGGTCAGTAGGATTTTAAATGTTTTAAAATAATCTTCTCCTCCTCACCAAAGCTGCATTTATTTAATTAAAAATACAGTACAAATTGTACAATTGTGAAATGTTATTGCACTATAAAATAACTGTTAAAAGTAGTTTATAATTTAATTTAATAATTTGTACCAGTGATTTTAAAGATTAATTTTTTTTAGCTTCATTACTCCAGTCTTCAGAAATCACTCTAATATTAATAATAATAATAATAATAATAATAATAATAATAATAATTATTATTATTATTATTAATGGTAATATTAATATTGACTGGAGTAGTCATTTTATTTGAAACTACATACAATAAGAAAGCAGTTATTTAAAATTATATTTTACAATTAATATTTTTTTTTTGTGCCGAGTAAAAACATAAAAAACTGACTCTAAACTTTAGCATAAATCAAAGATAACTAAATATAATAAATAAATAAAAAGGACTAGCGGTTTTTTCTGTAATTTATACTTTTCTATCAAAGATAGAAAATTAATTGCACTTTTTGTTTTCATTATCTTAAGGGATTTTATATGAAATAATCTCATTATAAAAAGCACAAAACTTTGGTTTCACCTTCAAATATTTTGATTTATGTATGTAAAATATTCCAAGCATAAGGATGTTGTTGATTAGGAAGGCATCTTCATTACCGTCTATTACAAGTCCATAAATGATGTGATTCACATTAAAGATCCTGAGGTGTGAAATCCTTGGGTAAAGCCAGTCATGAACATCTGACCATAATGCATCCACAAACAGTGAAAAAAATGATCGGTTGTTGCAATATCATCACAAAAAATACATTTATTAAAGTCAAATCCAAATCTTATGCCTAAATATTCAATTGATGGATATATCCCACTTAAATTTTTTCAATTCCATTGAAATGTTCTTGCCATGAAAATAGCCTTTGTTGCTGACATGGAAAAAAAAACACACACATACATTTACTCACTCATCACTTGTTCCAAACCTCTTATATTTTAATTCTATAAACTAGTATCAATATGCATTTTTAGTATTTCCCTCTCCCCATACTATAGATGTCATTCATCAGTATATCATCTTCTGTGTTAAAAGGTTATGAATAGGTTTGAAGTTATGAATAAATTGAAATTTTTGATAGAACTATCCCTTTAAATACATTCTACATTCACACATTTATTTTTAGTCACAAATGTGACTGAAATACACCATTGAGCCCTGATAAATAATAACAAACCCTCCAAACAGCTGGAAGTCTCTCCACAATATACTCACAGCTGATCAGTCAGCCTCAATCTATTTATATTTATGCAAATACTGTTCATCTTTACACGTTTTTCCTTGTCACCACCAGGGGGCCCCCTGACATCAGCAGTTTGGTCCCAGTTGGTCCCAAGTACACCCTCAAATGGAGCGCCCCCTTACAGCAGGTCCAGGTAGTTGAAGTGGGTCAAGAAGCATCCCAATCCAAGGACACACTTTATCAGCTTGGAAGTGTCAAGCGTCCGGGCAGCTCTTTTGGACAAGGTAATGACAGCACTGTTGGCTCCTGCTTTCTAAACAATCAGATAAAAATGCGCCCTGATGCGAGTCTCTAAAACATTTTGGATTAATTGACCATTCCTTGTGATCAGTGCACCTTTTTATGGCCTCCGCAGATGAGTGTTTCTTGGTAAAGGTAGATAAGAACAACAGAAGCGCAGTATAAGCAATCTTATTTCACTGTCTGATAGGCCGCAAACATATTCAGCCTGCTGTCATCAGTCTTGGTGCATTATTTCCAGCTCCACTCCCAATCAGAGCAAGTACATTCAGGAGATTGGAATCAGGGCTGAACATCCTTACAAAACATTATTGTGTTTTGAGTTGGTAGACGACGAAGAGGAAGAGAGCAATTGCGAGGCGCTAAGATAAATATGCTGACAGAGCTCCAGGTACAAAGTGTTATCAGGATGTACAGGTTCTGGCTGTTTAAGCCTTTTGCTTTCCGAGCTGAAATATTAATGGTGTTGTCTCTGGAACACCCATGTTGGATTGTGCACACAGGGGAGCCAGGAAATTAGATGACAGAAGATGTTTAATGCCGAGGCACTGGCAGACAGCTCGCGGGCAGGAGTCTTTCCAAGACCTCTTATGCTCCCTATACCTTATTTCTCAGTGAAATCATTACAAAACAGCGTTCTGTCCAATTTATCTGCCCCTGTTCTCTTCCTGCTGCTTTATAACTCGGCTGAAGCCTTCCCATTTCTCATTCTCTTCGTCTTTCTGTAATTTAAATTTCAAAATACTAGCATGCTTGTTTGACATCAAATGTTGGCAGGAAATCAATACCAGGAAGAAAAGCGGTGACGGGAAATATGATCAAATATTGTATTTTCTGAATGGGTATAAAAAATGTTTTTAATAAACGGCAAATATTCGCTGTCAGATAAAACATCCAGTCAGACTCCACTAATTATTATTTAGTAACCAGCCCACAGATCATTTTTGTTCTCTCAGTTTCTGTCTTTTGAATATTACATGTTGTATTGCTATTTTTTTTTTTTTTAGTAGGCTCAGACTTTTGTATAACATTGGCTTGATTTGTTTGCTTTAGTCCAGTCAACATTAACTATTCTGAATGTAAGATTTTAAAATAACTCTTCTTAAAAAAAATATTCTCTACCATTAATACTTTTGCAAATTAGCTCAAAGGGAAGAAGATTCATTTGAACGGGGCTTCAAAAGTATTGACTCTTTAAATTCGAACAAACGAATCATCCAGCGATCGTTCAAACGGACTGTTGACTTTGATTACGGCTTTTGCTATCAAAATAAAAACCCATTTATGTTTAAGCAGGGTAGCAAGATCCAAGTTTAAGACATTCATAAATATATACAGGCACCTTTCTTTATACAAAATTAAACTTTATTGACTAATCTAACAGAAACTAACACCTAACACATTCACACAAGTGAAAAGAAGAGTAAAGAAAGTAAAATAAGAGGTTGAGAGAATATAATGATGAAAACCCTCGGATTTTGTAAGACCAAGCCAAGCGAACCAAAAATAATCAGTTTAACCTTTCTATGGTCTCTTTAGGGTTGCATTTAGTTTAATTATTAATTAATTGGGCAAGTTATTTTTTAATAATGGTTTGTTCTATAGATTATCGAAAAACATATAGCTTAAAGGGGCTAATAATATTGACCTTAAAATGGTTTTAAAAAAAATTAAATCTGCTTTTATTCTAGCTGGTAAAAAACAAATAAGACTTTCTCCAGAAGAAAAATTTCTTGCTCTATTAAACATCATTAAGGAAATATTTAAAAAATAACAAAAGTATAATAATAATATAATAATTCTGACTTCAAATATGTATTTTTATATTCTAGATATGGCATAAGACTAAAAAATGTTCATCCACGTAACAATTGTTGGACCGACAAATAACTTAATTACAACAGATATGTCAAACGGTCTATCAACAAATTTAAATGTGTATTTCTGCGCAGCCTCTTTGAGCAAACAGATACATCATTTGCGTGAGAGAGACTTTAGGAAAACAGCATCAACCTGAAAGACTTCTTTCTGAAAGACCAGCATAGCCTTGTATCCATTAAAAGAAAGATCTTTTTAATAGGGCCAAAGATTCTGCCAAAGTTTCTGCCAAAAATGCAGAACCAAAACTTTTTAAAATCCTGAGTCAATATCAGAATTATTTTTACACGTTAGGGACATGATGTGAGTTCAAAACATCTATCTGAAGTATTACTTTTAGACAGGTATGTTTTAAAACTATTTTAGCCATTCAAAGCCTATGCAGATTGTGTTCTTGTTTATGAATGGATTTATACGCATGGAAGTGTGTTTCAGCCACTAAAACTGTTCCTCAAAATATTGATTTGACAGAATACCATTTACAGTATCGATATTATAGTCAGTTAAATAGACTTAAGCATTAATTTAATTGTTCAAGAGTAAAAAGAGAACAAGTGATGTATGTGAGGAGCAGCAAGCACAATTGAAAATGAATAGTAAGTTGCTTGTTGTCTTAGTAACATAAACGTAATGTAAAATGATGGCAGGACATTTCTGTTTTTAGCTTTTTTTTGATCTGTGTTTTATTTAGTTGAATAACGAAACAAAAGTAAATTGCGCTCTTCCACCTAACCAGCTTCACTGAGGTGAAGTTTGATTTATATTCACACATTTATTCATTTTTGAACAGTAACATCGTGTCACACTCCCACTCTAATGCTACTTTGAATATACAGTCTGAAATAGTGTGTATGAATGACTTCAAAACAACATTAGCACTATTTAACCAACTATCAATGATGTTGTATTTTATAGGAAATTGACAGATTATTTAATTACACTATTTAGAGTTTTCAAACAATACTGTTCTGAAATTATATTATTAAGGAGAAAGTCAGAATGTGCAAATATATAACCAACTTTATCCCAATGTCTGTTTTGGGGGAAATAAAATTCCTACACCCGCTGACCTGTCAACAACTACACTGGACAAAGTGTGTGTCTCCATAACTTGTGAATGACATGATCTAGTGTTATATAAGGTTGTCTATCGCCATCAGCATTTGCACATTCATGACTTAAAGAGGCGTGGCTTGAGACGGAAGGGGAGGGACGTCAATTTCTAAGCTATTATGCTAATGCTAGCATTCTGGACACCTGAACACCTACTGCACCTTTATTGTAATACATGTTTTTATTCCCATAAATATACGTAACTTACAGAGCAGATCAATGTGACCTGCAGTTATATTTGTCATTGTAATAAACAATACAATCAATTTGACATGAAAAGGGACACAATTCATAAATCCAAAAGGCACATATAACATATGCACTAAGGTTTGAGGTCTCTCTGGCTCATGTTATTTACGTCAGTGTGTGAATTTGCTCACTCATTTTCCTTTACCCCTCACTGATGTACTCTAATGCACTCAACTGACATGCACTATATTGGCATTAGTAAATAACTGAGAAGTTTTGGACTATATCTAAAAATACTTTTTACAAATTTTCTGGTCTAATATAGGTTTTGTGCAAAAATGACCAACCCTCGGTATCAGTAGTTTTATCATTTATTTTTCATATTAAAGTATGTCTCAGTCTCAGCAGTGTTAAAGATAGCACCAGACTCTTTCTTCTTCTCAAAATGTATTTGGTGAGGATCTGTTTCGGCACCTCCGACCGTGTTGAGATGTAAGCCAGACTGTGTCACTTTCTTTTTCACGCTATTCAGTGACCTGTTAGCACACACTTATGGTTACGTAACATGAAGCTGGCGCTTTAATCACTATTTTCCAGACACCTTTGTCGTTGCCTGCTTCGCTGTGTCTGAATGTGTCCATCCTCAGCTATTTTTAGCACCACATACAACACACACAGCCCTGTTTTTTCCAGCCCGCGTCACATCTCTCCTCCCTTGTGATGTCACTCCATGGGGCTCCTTGCCCAAATCAGATCCCCAGCTCCCCTAGTGTACCTTAAAATGGACTCATTTTTCATCTCCTGTAGGCCCCAGTGCCCTCATTTATTGATGGAATAGGCCAGCGTTTCAGGAAGAGCCAGACCCTCTGCTGCTGCCACTGTAAAATAGTGTAAAACTGTGGGGTACTGTAAATCTTAGAGGCCCCCGTGAGCCACGAAATGAGGCCTGGGATACAAACAGGGAGGATATGCAGAAGCATTTGTTTTGATGTGGAAACTTGTTTATAATAGAGACGTTTTATTCTGCTGAAATGCTTTCATTCTCATTCTCTCTTTGTGTGAATTTTATTTTAACGTACACAACTTTTATAAAAATACACTAATACAATAGTTATTATTATTAATGATGAAATATTATAAGTGTAAATTAAAGGCTTAACAATGTGAATTAGTTTAATTAGGTAAGTTAGAAAAATTTGTTAAGCCATTGTATAACAGTGGTTTGTTCTGTAGGCAATCGGAAAAAAAAAGGTGAGTTAGGATATTTAGTTAAGGTAATTATTAGCTAATCAGTTTATTTATTTAATATATATTGCTTATATATTTAATAAATAATATTGAATATTGTTTTTTATTTAAAACTGCTTTTATTCTAGCCAAAATAAAACCAGACTCTCTAGAAGTAAAAATATTAAATACAGTGAAAAATTCTTTGCTCAGTTGAACATGATTTTGGAAATAAATTTGACTTCAACTATATATTATAATAACAACAAAAACAAGAACAACAATAGTTATAACACTAGTTATAATAAAATTATAAAATGTTTGCGTGTACATAAATTACATCTATAATTAAAGTTTTAAAGGGCACCTATGAAGAAAATCCAGTTTTGTAAGATGTTTGGACAGAACTGTGTGTATGTATAGTGTTTAATGTCCTATTGAAGTGATAGAAACACAAGTCTCTTTTTGTAAATTTCCTGACGTTAAAATAGAATCCAAATCTCAGGGATTTTGAGACCCACCACAGCATGATATAAGAGTGCAATTTTCCCCATCCACCGGTTTGATTGACAGACGC